GTTTAATTTTGGACATCCAATGCCCCTCGCTGCTAGAATTTATCTTTGAAACTATAGCTTATATTTGTTTTAAGTGCTATGGTGCGGAAAACGACAGAAAACTTCAAGTTCCAGGCGAGGTATACAAACAGCTTTTCCAGATTTCTTCAATTTGCTAGTTGTTCCAAACATATTTTCTTCTCTGATAGGAACATCATGGTGTTTATTCAGCTAGACATTTTGTGGAATGGTATAATGGTTTACCAGCAAGTAGTGACGTAAGTCTTCATTAGATTTCCTCAATTTTTCTATTCTCAAAGAGAAATAATTAAGGGCACTTATCATTTCTTTGTTTTCTCAAGTTAAAGCCAGATCTTAGTTCTGAGACTGCTGTCATAATTGGTCAAGGAAATGTGGCTTTAGATGTTGCAAGGATTTTATTAAAACCAGTTGAAATGTTGGAGGTAATTCAGTAGTCTTCAAAGTTAGACACTCAGTAGAAAGAATTATAGATCTATGATTGGTATGACTGGCCTGCATTCAAACCCACTTTGCCAAATTTAACTAATATTTTTTACTGTTGTTCCCAAACCAAATTCATCTACAGCAGTTCGATCTATTTTTGCTGTAGAAAACGGATATATGTGAGCACGCTTTGGACCTGATCCGAAAAAGCAAAGTGAAGCGAGTTTACGTCGTTGGCAGAAGAGGTCCTTTACAGGTTCGTCGTAATATCATTTTACAATCGACTGTTTTATTTTCGCTTCACTAAAGGAAATGATCACTTTCCATTCACTGGAAAATGTCCGTCTTTCAGATATCTTTCACAATCAAAGAACTGCGTGAAATGACAAAATTACCTGGATGTCGCTCCGTTTTCTCTCCGGAAGATTTTCAACCCATACGAGAAATGATTTCAGGTAAATCGTTTGAGAGTTTTCTTTTTACCCAGTTTTTCGATCTTACTCTCAAATGACTATTAGAAAACCAAGTTTTACGTCTTTTCCGATAGAAATCCCGCGCCAGAAAAAGAGGTTGTTTGAGCTTCTCTGCAACACAGCATTGTAAGTTTGAGATGTTGTTTTTAGATCAGATAACTTTGCACGATTTTCCTAAAAGGATTTTATTTTGTTTTCGTATCAGAAATACCTCTCAACCTGACGATACAATGTCGGAGACTACAAAAGAGTTTAAATTGCTGTTCCGTCGAAGTCCTGTTGAGATTATGAGTAGTGATTCTGGAAGAGTTTCGGGGATTAAATTCGAAATAAATAATTTAAAAGAGGTATTGCATTCCTAAAGTAGACAACGGGATTTTTACGTTCAGTTCAGACACAAACCACGATAGCTTATTGTAGAATACTACCTACACTAGACCACCACGTTTGAGATATCTTTCTCAGGTAGTTCAGACACAAACCATGACAGCTTATTGTAGAATACTACCTACACTAGATCACGACGTTTGAGATTTTTTATGTTCTTCATAGATGCCAGATGGAACAGTGAAAGCCAATGGCAGTGGAAAGATAGAAACTTTGAACTGTGGTCTGGTAAGCGACTGTTTTTAAACTCAATGGGATCATGAGAAGCACAGCTTGAATCCATCTCAATTCTTCATTTTTTTCTACAGATATTCCGAAGTATTGGTTACCGAAGTGTCGTTATTGACGACGAAATACCATTTGATGGTGGAGTGGTATCTTGTGAATCGAATGATGGTCATGTCTCTGGATTACCAGGTTCGTGAATGGTCGCTTTTAACAGAGCTATTGCAAGCCTTTCACTCCGTTCAATTCTTCATGAAAATGAGGTATTGTTAAACATGTTGGAACGATGACATTGTCTTATTTGGATTAGCCATTTAACAGTGTTTGTAAAAGATAACGTTGGTTTATAAACCCATCGTAATTCAATCAATTCAACTAAACAAAGCTTCTTGCTATTATTTTGTTCAGGTGTTTACTGCTGTGGTTGGGTAAGGACTGGCCCCACCGGAGTTATCCTGAGTACATTAAACGAAGGCAGAGCAACAGCTAAGATTGTCGTCAGCGATTTGAAACAAGGTAGCGAGCTTTTGTGACTGAATCAAGTCTTGGAAATCATGTAATTGAATTGTTCCCAACGATGTAGTTGTTTCAATACTTCTCTGAATATCACAGGGAAGTTTCCAAGAATCACTGAGAAAGATAAAGGTTTCTTTGCTGTAAATCACCTCTTGGAATCCCGAGGTATTTTGGATTCGTTGTGTTTAAATAGTTGTGCTAAGAAAATACCAGTTGCCTAACCATTCAGCTCTAACTCTTGTGTATTTCAGGGATAAAACCAGTATCGTTTAAACAATGGGAACGTATCGATAAACACGAACAAGAGCTTGGTTTGCAGACAGGAAAACCGCGAGAAAAGATTGTGGAGAACAGAACTCTTTTGAATTTAGCGCATGAAGTCGATTAAATAATTTCTCCTAACAATCAGCGTCAAAATTTGCCCCATAAATGGAAAATTAAATATTTAAATACAACAAATTTAGAATTAAAAAAAATAATTCAAAATCCGATCAAAAGGAACGCTCTCTTGAGTTACAAATTCTCTACTCTCACTTAAATAGCCTCACATTGATCTCAGCCAATCATAACATAGTATTTCAGCCAATAACATCACAGTATTCCTACCAGACTGTTTTTAACCAATAGTAACGCAGTATGCTTACCTAATAGCAGCACACTATTCTCAGCCAATGGTGTTTCAGCTTTTCCCATGGATTAAGCATGAGAGGCGATCAGATTAGGATCAGCGATTAGGATTGCGTAATTACTGATGTGATGTGTTTACAAGATGGCGACCAGTCGAGAAGGTTTGACAAGAAAGTGTACTGTCAAACGTGGAAGTTCTCTAGTAAATGACGAGCTTCAGGCAAGGTTGAAACAAATAAAATCAATCTTACAAAAAGGAACTGATGAATGCAGCCAAGAAGAGCTGAATATCTTGCGAGAGTCGCCTGAAATGGTGCAAGAAATTGAACGAAGAGCGATCAAACAGGCGAATGCCAAAGCCCGTAAAATTGAGGTTGATTTTTAGCATTTCCTAATTATTTCGAGAAAGGATTTGTTAATAATACTATATATTTTTCTTCTTAAGGTCTGCGATTCTCCAGAAGAACTTGTTGCAAAGGCAACGCAGCTGGCAAATGCCATCAAGGAAGCGAATTTTGTAGTTGTTTACACTGGTGCTGGTGTCAGTACGGTAAAATAAATATTTTAAAACATTTTATAAATACTTCTTTAAAGTATTCCCGGTTTAAAACAGTCTTGTTTTATAATATATCACTGTTAATTTTTCATAATGCTAGTTGAAATAAGTGATATTCAATACTCTCCAATATATTGGTTTGAAAAAATGAAAGTAATTGAACCTACACGAATATTGAAAAGTATGTACGCTTCTTAATATTTCACTATTATTATTTATCGTTTTAGGCAGCTTCTATTCCAGATTATCGGTAAGAATATTTCACCTTTAAAAATAAAAATATATTTATAAATTAAAGATAGAAGAATTCTATAGGTTAAAATGGAAAAAATTAAAACAATTAGTTAATTAAAACTATAAAATTACAGCTGTGTTTAATTTTCTTACAGGGGTCCAAATGGAATTTGGACAAAACTTTCAAAGGGAGAGTCAATAAAGTAAGGAAGCATTGCTGTATTTTAAAAGTATTTAAACTTGAATTTATTTACAACAAAGAATAAAGACATGTTTTTAATAAATTATGAGTGTCTGGTACCAACCATTAGCTCAAATTGTCTTTAATTTATGAAACCTTTATTTCAAAAAAATCAATATTATTAAGCTATTAATGTATGCTTTGTTCTGCTATATTTTCCATTTTATTTAGAAACTGCACCAATCTTTCTGATGCAGAGCCAACCTTAACGCACATGAGCATTTTGAAACTTTATCAGGAACGACATGTATGTCAGGAGGACTCATGAATATGTCTTCATTTTTACTACCAGTCAATTGCTTGTGCCTTGAAAAATTTAACTCTATAGTGTCTATATATAATTTTCTTATTTCTAAGGTGAAACATGTTGTATCACAGAACTGTGATGGCCTCCACCTTCGTAGTGGCTTGCCAAGTGAAGCGCTGTCTGAAGTTCATGGCAATATGTATATTGAGGTTAGTTTAGGCTTTCGATATAGATCATTGTTGCATGCTGAGAAGCCCTCAATACACCAAGGATGATATATCAGGCTCTTCTTCATCCAAGAACCTGAAGTATATCTATGTCTTATAAAAACTGTGTAATCTGTTTTGTAAATATAACTAACAATAATTTATTTCTCCAGGTGTGTACCGAGTGTGAACCAGAGAGAGCTTATGTTCGAACGTTCGATGTGACAGAAAAAACAGCATTACGTCGCCACAACACTGGTCGAATGTGTCATATTTGTGGAGGAAAACTACGAGACACAATTGTACATTTTGGTGAGAAAGGATGTTTGGAGTGGCCACTGAATTGGCAGGGTGCCATTGATGCAGGAAAAGCAACTGATTGTATTGTTTGTCTTGGTTCAAGTCTCAAAGTAAATAAATTAACCCAATCTGTATAAGAATTAGATAAAATATCTTTATTCACACTTTACATTCTATCATTTCTTTAATAGACTTCGATATATACATAAAAATATTATAATTTAAGGTTTTAAAGAGGTATAATTCTCTCTGGGGGATGACAAGAACAAAGGCAAGAAGACCACAGCTATACATTGTTAATTTACAGGTACAAAAATTACTATTGGTTCATAATTTCATGGTAGCAAATGTAGCAAACAGTTTACCCCTAATCAAAGTACAAATAGGGTTTATTTAGTGCATTTCCTCATATACTAGTTGTTCAAATTTCAAAATTTTATTTTTCCACTAGTGGACTCCAAAAGATACATCTGCAACTTTGAAAATTAATGGTCGCTGTGATGATATCATGCAATTGGTCATGGCAAAGCTTGGCCTGGATATTCCAGGTTATAAAAGGTGAATAATGTCAATTGGGCTCCATTAACTGCTCTGTCTTTCTCCATTATCAGCTCAAGACCCTCTTTCTTGCCAAATGTTTTGCCATTGAGGCTTTTCTGAAATGGGACAATTGCTTTTTCAGGAAACATGACCCATTATTTCGCCTGAGCACACCATTACGGGAACATGAACTTTGCACGAAAACAACAAAGAATTTTGAGGTTCTTCTAGAAAGCAGGGCAAATGAGCATTTAAATGGTGAGACAAACCCTTGTTCGATACAAGATGTGAAACATTTGGAACAAGATGCAGTAGAGTGGGACAATAGGGAACATTTAGGTGCAGGATGGTATGGCAAGGGTTATGCCAAGTTAAAGAAACCACGTAAAAGACGAAAGCTTAAATAGTCTGAAGTATGTTGGAAATAATCAGTGCTGCAATGATGTCTTTTAATATGTATATAAACAACTATTTATAATTGTGTTATTGAAGAGAATTATGCAATCTTGCATTTGACCTTTCTCACATTAAAACCTTCATTCCAATTACATTTGATATTGTGGAATAACTTAACTCAAATCACTATGTACTCAAGTGTGTGTTGTTTAGTTATGTTGATTGGAAAAAGAGTTGTATACCTGGCTTTGGTTTATTTACTTTGGACAAGTTCTTTTTCCAGTCTTGCTAATTCCCTTACACATGCATCCCGCTTTTCCTTTATTGCAGCAATTGTTTTGTCATGATGTGCCAGAAATTCAAATAAGTCACCCTAGGTGTGAGACATTGCAGGTTAGATATGAAGCCATCATACAAGAGCTAAGATGTCCATGAAAATTACTGACATGAAAAATTTCAGGTGCCATTTCCTCTGGTATGTTACATTGCTAGAGAAAAAAAGGAATTGCATTTGAGGTCATAGTCTGGTGGCAATCATTCAAGAACTGATCAAGGAATATTAAAGAATGGCACAGTATAAGAGGATAATATCACATACAAGGTATAGTCCCGTAATGTTGTGACTACCATCTCTTTAAGGGTTGTAATTTCATGTTGATAAAGGTTGACAATGGAAGAACTGTTTGGATTACCATACCCTGAAACATAGAAATACATAAATGGCTATTCCTCCTACATTATTTTCACACATTGCATTACCTTGGAGCAGTTGCTCAAGCTCTTCAATTTCTTGCATTATAATCTCACTTGTTTCTAATCTTTTCATGTTTTCTCTAAAAGACAGCAAGCCACAATCTGTGTCAATGAAGTTGATCTTGGGGAGCTTATTAATCAGATGAACTTCTTTGTTGTTCTATACCTGGACTCAAGTTTACCCTGTTGCTTCTGGCCATGTTGACACTGAAAGGATTGATCTTCGTTTTCCTTCAAGAATGATAGCACTGTGTTAAGGTTTGTGGAACTAATGGCCAAACCAATATATTTTGGTACTTACCAGGTAGTTATAATTGTGGAGAATTTTTGGTGGAACATATGCCTAAAAAGATTTTCCCAGTGTCAATTTCTGCCATCAAACCATAACTAGGTAGTCTACTGCAAATAATACTGCATCACCTTAATTTCCTGAACTGATCTTTCCAACAAGGTGTCTGTAGGGCTCTGTGGAGGTGGCAGACAATTGACATCAGCTGCAAATCCACTTGGTAACATTACAAAACAGTTTTCATTTGCAGGAATACCAGTCCTATATTGAAATATTCACAAGAAAGCTGGTAATATCTTGCCCTATTAGATATACCTTGCAACCATATTGCATACCATGATTCAAGATTCTCGTCAGTCATCCAGGGTTCCATTGAATCAATACCTCTTGGCAACCTATTGGTAAAAAAAACTGTCTAGCTATCTCAAACTGTTCTTCCTAAAGGGGTCCAGTATTAATCCTAGATTTTCCTGCCTGGGTTTTGTGTCATTGATTCCATGATCTTCTTTGTCAACATTCCTTATCAAGGGTCTCTTGCCATAAATGATCTCTTTTCGAGCCTGACTTAATGATTTATCCTGACTGAAAGGTCGCCAAACTGGATTGACCAGCTGGTTTTCAGACTTGTTCGGCTTTAGTTTCTTGGTCCGATGTGATGATGACTTTGGTACGCTTTGAGGCCGACTGGTGTTGTAGGTTGCCCTCTGAGCAGTGGTGGGAGGTCGCTTAACCAGCACTACATAGAGAATTGGTAGATTAAGCCACAATTAACTGAGCATGAACTCAGATCCTCAGATTTACTCTTACAAGATAATTTCTTCCCTAGATGATGGATGTGTTTATTTATGTCATGCCTTAAGAAAAGCCTAAAATGCATCATACCTTTGGACTCAAACAGGCCTTTGGCTAATCTTAGCGCATCTTTCATTTGGTCGTTTGTAAACGCTGTATTAGATCGTGTTGTCATGGATTTCGCTTTTCAACAAATCATCAAAGTCTTGCTGTTTACGAAGGATTTTTATGAAAATAATCGATCTTTTGTGGCTATGAAATAAAGGTACAACCCAACATTGCCATGGCATGCGAAAAATAGAGAAGAAAGTCCAGTATATCGAGTAAATTCAGCAAAAATTCGGAGGCCAAGGCATATAAACAATACTTTTGGCCATAATTTTCTATTGTTTACACCACGCGTGTTGCGTGTTTCACCCTTTCTGGTCGCACGCGCGCTTACACAGGCCTGAAACTAGGAACTGCGGCTTGACCAATCACAAGCAACCGTGTGTAGAGGTCATATCACGTGTCACTTTCTTAAATCTGAGGCTTGAGGACTGGGGATGATTTGGCCAGTGAGCAAGTCCTCCAGGAATTTTTATATAGCTCAGTGGTAGGGGCCAGTCATAGGGGCAGTGAGGCTATTTCAGATCCGTCTGAGCACCTATTTTTGCGAGATTTATCAAGCATTTGCTCATATTTTTTCCGTTTTAGGTTGCAAAAACTATAAAACCGTGAAATAAAGATATGAGATTATTCCACTCAAAAACATTTTATAGTCCAGCAAAGAATTGAATTCACTGGTCCATAATAAATACAGGTCAGTGGTCTATTGCATTGTGGGCAAAGAATGACGTGTGACCAAATTGGCCAATCACAAGTCGCAGTTTCAGACATGAGACAGTTTTTGACAGATTGAGTGATTGACAGTCAGTTTTCAAGACCATGTGGACGATGCGGTGGCAAGGAAATTCGCTCCTCGTTGCAAGGTGTGTATATCTCTGAATACTCTGCATAAAAAGATCGAAGATGTTATTCAAACAATGTTTTAAATATTTGCATAGTTATTAAACACTTTTTTGTTTTCTTTTTAGGCCGAAATCCGTCGACGAAAGCTGGATTCAATGGTCGTGAATTGTAAAGTATGTATTAATTGTGTTTTTTTCTGTTAGTTATTGAACTAAAACGTTTATTAGCCAAGCTAGAATAAGCTAGAATGGTTCTGCCTTTAGTATTCGTAACAATTAGTTAAATGATTAAGTCAATAAGTGTCAATTATTAAGTGCTGAAAATTAAGTTCAATTTTTCAACGTATTTAAGTGCGTTTCGCTTGCACGTGTCTTCACACTATGATTGGTAGGCGCCACCGTTTAGAGGCATATTGTTTTGATTTTTTAAATTTCCTTTGTTGTAAGCAAAGCTAGAATAGCTTCAGCATAGTATTCGTAGCGATTTCTACTAATTTGCAGAAGAATTAGGTCCAAATTTTCAGCATTTCTAGCGAGTTTTCATCCGTGCGTGTTTGCGACGCCGGTGTCCTTTCCAACTCGTAGTCGCCGCCGCTTAACTTTTAGAGGAAATTGTTTAGTTTTTGAAGCTTTCTTATATTGTAAGCAAAGATAAAGTAGTTCTGCTGTAGTATTCGTATCAATTTACAGAATAATTACGTCCAAATTTTCAGCGTTTCTAGTTTCTATGTGCGATTTTTTATACGACGCTGTTGTTCTTTTTTAAACTGTTGTAGACTTGTAGTCGCCGCCGTTTAATTTTTAGATCATATTGTTTAGTTTTTCAAGCTTTCTTATATTGTAAGCAAAGATAAAGTTGTTCTGCCTGAGTATTCGTATCAATTTACAGAAGAATTAGGTCCAAATTTTCAGCTTTTCTAACGAGTTTCCATGCATGTGCGTGTTTGCGACGCCGGTGTCCTTTTCAACTGTTGTATTCGCCGCCGCTTAACTTTTAGAGCATGTTTAGTTTTTGAAGCTTTGTTATATTGTAAGCAAAGTAGAGTAGTTCTGCTGTAGTATTCGTATCAATTTACAGAAGAATAAGGTCAAAATTTTCAGCGTTTCTAGTGAATTTTCATGTGCGTGTTTGCGACGCCGGTGTTCTTTTTCAGTTAAACTGTTGAGTGTTGTAGTCGCCGCCGTTTAATTTTTAGAACATATTGTTTAGTTTTTCAAGCTTTCTTATATTGTAAGCAAAGATAAAGTAGTTCTGCCTGAGTATTCGTATCAATTTACAGAAGAATAAGGTCAAAATTTTCAGCGTTTCTAGCGAATTTTCATGATATTTGATATGTGCGTGTTTTTTCGACGCTGGTGTTCCTTTTTCAACTGTTGTAGACTTGTAGTCGCCACCGTTTAACTTTTAGAGCATATTCTTTAGTTTTTCAAGCTTTCTTATATTGTAAGTAAAGATAAAGTAGTTCTGCCTCAGTATTCGTATCAATTTGAAGAAGAATTAGGTCCACTGAAATTTTCAGCGTTTCTAGCGAATTTCCATGTGCGTGTTTTTGCGACGCCGGTGTTCTTTTACACTGTCAGTGTAGACTTTTAGTCGCCGCCGTTTAACTTTTAGAGCATATAATTGCTTAGTTTTTCACGCTTTCTTATATTGTAAGCAAAGATAAAGTAGTTCTGCCTAAGTATTCGTATCAATTTGCAGAAGAATCAAGTATTTTTTGGTGTATTGGGGCCGCCATGCGGGGCTTCTTACTGTTTATAGATCTCGCCGCTCGCCGTCTTTTTTCAAATCGAGGTCTTTGAGCTCGAGGCATTTATAGCTATACGATAGATAATAGATGTTTTCAACTGATACCACTGCAATAAGGAATTGATATATTATGTTTATACTGATGAATAAATGTGTTTGATTTTGTGCATTCGTAATCATTGTGCTCTTTGATCCCGTAAAAATGTGAGTTCGCATGTGCTTTGTGCCATTTGCATGCCGGTGTTCAGTAAAGGCAAATTAGATTAAGAATATTTAACTAAAATTTACTTGGTGTGTTAAAAAGGTGAAAAATAGGCGTTTAAAAGCCCCAAATGACATGCGCCTAATCAAAAAGGGGCTTATTTAACAAGGCTAAAAGTTAATAATCAACAAGTGTGTATTTTTCAAGTTCATTGTCAGTATTTGCAAATCGTAGTGAAGTCTGTATTTCAATAATTTAAGTGTTTTCCACGAGGCAAATTAATTCCCGTGAACAGATAAAAAGTAGGAAACCATTCTACTTTTTCGCGACAAATTTTTTCGCAAATCAATCACATCACCGGATTTCAGATCTAACCTGACATCACTCTTCATGCCTGGACATGCCTCGATGATTTTTACTGTGTTTCCACAACGTACCATTGAAATGTCCTGGTATATTATATTAATGTCCTGTAATTTGAGTGGTATACCAAATCTATTTTCTGATTTGAAACGAATACAATAAACCAACATAGAAACACTATTGTAGTATTCCTACTTGAAACTGGGAGTATTATTAGAACACCCTAAATAATCCTGTATAAACATATACTACCATCAGAAGTATGGATTGATAGGCATGTAGATATTGTGCTTATACTTATCGCTCTTTCGTTTATTCATTTTAGTTGTGATGGAGAAATGTTACCATTTTGCATGCAAATACAAAATCTAAATTTAAATTCAAACCACACATTTTATGAAATCAAATCAAACCACACATTTTATGATATTCCCAATTTCCCAGACATTTGAGGCTCCTCTGTTTTTAATTTTCAATTTTTGGATTGCATGCAGTTCAGATCCCAACCCTTGGTTATATCTTGCATGTTTTGTCAGGAGTAATGAGTAAGTATAAGTGATCAGGGGCCCGGGTCATTTATACTTTCTGTATGCTCGACTGACCTAGTCTGGCATAGGCAAAATATTGCTCTTGGAGCACAAAAAACAAATGCATGTTGAAATGATCTTAAGATATAATGGTCGAGTGTTAAATGTCTATCCCATTTTCGAATGAATGCATGTGTTTAATAAATCTCTCCAAATTTGCATGTAATTTAGAAAATGCATGAAAATTTTGTATTCGCATGTACAATGAGCGTCGTGGTGAAGATGATGTTGGTGGAGCTCATGCAGGTAACATACCATAGGTGATTTTGTTTCATATCATTTCAGATGTTAAGAAATGTATCATTTCAGATGATGATGGACCACTTGATGCAGATGATGATGGACCACCCGATGACAGATGATGATGGACCACCCGATGACAGATGACGATGGACCACCCGATGAAAGATGATGATGGACCACCCGATGACAGATGCCGATGGACTGCCCGATGACAGATGATGATGGACTGAAGACAGGTTTGATGGGTAGTATTATTCAGTTTTCTTGCATTCTATCCTGGGTGTCTGTGCATGCTTGTTTTCCTGGTGGTCTGCACTGAATGTGTTAGACATTAAGTGAAATTCTGATTTCATACTTTGACAATGATAATAAGTCAAAATTTCGGATTGCATGCAGAGCAAATTAATGTATACAGCATGTTTGATTCTTTGAAAATGCATGTTCCTGTTTTATCACTTAATGTGTAATGCAATTGGTGAAATGCATGATATTACTAAATTAAGTAGCCAGTAGTGTGTCTAAAAATGATGAAGCATGAACTCAACTTGAAGAATGGAATTCGTACAAAGGTAAGTGAACAAGAACCAGGTATGCATATATGATTGTATGAGTTTGTTTGCACCTAAGGCATTGGCATCAAAAATTTGCAACAAAATATTGAGGTAATGCATGCCATAACATTGATTTCTGTGAGTGCATGTGCAAATAAAAATATAGTTGCCAAAATAATAGCATGATCAATTATAGGTTGTTGATATATTTTAACAGGTATCAGATCCAAAATTAGCTGTGAAATATTTCGGCTGTGCATGCCACAATTTAACATGAAATACATTGCTCTTAAATTAGGGTAATTGACTTTCTAAGTGCATGTGACGTTAAAAATGATTGCCTGAGTAATAGCATGATTATAGACGACCGTATTCTTCCATGTATAAGATCAAGAAATAGGTGTAAAAATATTTTGTTTATGCATGCAACAACATAAAATACATTGCTCTAATTAGGGTAGGTGCATGTGATGGTAAAAATATTTGCATATATAGCATGATTATAGGTCGTATTCATACATGTATAAGATCAAAAATTAGCTGAAAAATATTTTGTTTATGCATGCCACAACATAAATTACTTTGCTCTAATTAGGGAAATTGGCCTTAAGGGCTTGCAAAACCAGTTGAATAAGTTATAAATGTAGTATATATTATAATTATTTTTTATTTTTTTTTTTATTTATCAAGTAAAAATATTTGCCAAATAGTTAGCAAGTTTAGTTAAATATTACCGGCCGGTATAGACAGCAGATTAGTTTAGTTTTGATAGGATAGTGAATAGTAATAGTTTAGTTTAGCTATGTTCTATTATAAGGATTTTTTTACTTCGAATCTATAGGAGTGTACCTTGAAAGCTGTGACTTTAATAAATTTCTATTTATCAATTTTTATTTTCGAAGCTTGTGGGAAAGCATGAAAATAGCATAGGTTGATATTTTGATGGTTAGAATAAATTCGAATCTTGAATAGAATAAAGTTTATTAATTAAGGATGAACGTTAATTAGAGTAAATTTGTGCATGGAGTAATTATCTATTATTAATTATTATATAATTATGTTGAAATATCACCGTAATTCTTCTAAATTGGGACTCTGGACTTCAAGAAATTTGTTCTCGTTTTTGAAAGGAGTTGTCTTTAGTGTTTTTTTGATTACTTGTATACGAAATATTGCTTGAAAAATAAGCGACGTAATAGAGAGTAATTTGACTTCGCCTACAATTGTTCTGATCTCTATGTAGTATTTTGATTTCCAAGTTTAATTATGTTGAGTCTTTTTTGCAACTGATCTCTAAATACCAGCTATATTTGACTAGTGTCTAGTGAGTGGGCTATACGCGCTCGATTTTTTTTGGCCCTGATCTCAATATGATCACTGGATGACACGCTGTTATTTCCGCATCTGATCTCTATGTAGTAATATAGACCTGAACGACGCTATTGCAACTGATCTCAATAGATTAATTAATAGGAATATCACTTTAGGTTTTATAACGATGGATTTGATGATGATATATGAATAAGCCAAGGACTTGCAAAACCAGTTTGAATAGATGAATGCAATTTCACTTTGGCCAGGTTTCAGTATAACGATGGGTCATATTACCAAAATCCCCATTACCTATAGGTAAATTTTTTATGCCATTGCCTTAGGCATGTTTGTTTTAAATAAATCTAAGCGCATGTTTCAGACCACCAGGATCATTTGACGAACCCTTAAAAATTGTGTGGCAATTTTTAAAGATTGGTCAGATGAAAAACATTGATAATGTATAAATGTAATGCCGTTAAAAATAGTCCACATGGTTGCCAGATTATCTCCAAAAATTGGTAAAATACAAGAACAAAAATAACTGGCAAACCTGCCCCAATTAATTATTGCGGAATTTCCAACTAAAAATACCAAAATGTCGGACCAGACCAGTTAACTTGAGATCCGGATTTCATGTTGTGGTCACGAGGGTTTTTCTCCGGGAACTCCGGTTTCCCTCCATTTCATGTTTGGCAAAAAACAGTGTCCATGTCTGGGGCCAAACAAAGATCTATAGTGAATTATATTTTTTCTTTAAAAAGTGCTTTTATGTTTGGCCTCTGGGTTAAAATCCCAGAACACTGCCTTATTGTGTTAAAATTCAGGGGCAACTGTTCTCTGTCTCACAGTTGCAAGGGGGGGGGCAAAAAATGCATCCACTTCTATTCAGTTCAGTTCACTGCAGTGAGCTATCCAGGATATATTATATAGCTCAGTGGTTCACTGGACCTTCCGGAATCCAATATGGCCGCCAACGTGAAAATCCAAGATTTAGCTTCCAGTGATGAACTAACCTCCCTTGGTAAGTCCCTGACGAAGAAGATAATCTCGAGCGTTTTATAACTTATGATAAGAAACATAGTGCTGTGATATTGTCTGTTTTACGGGAACTCTTCAATTACAACAAGATAGACGAGGTGATTTGTGGACGAAAGATAGAGACTTGTCCTTTCGAAAGTTTACAACTGGATCCAATGAACTTCGACGATGAGGTGATATGGCAACAAATTCAACTTCAGAATAAATCTTTTGATACAAGAAATAAAGACTGGATTCAAACGTCTTCTTAAGAAGGAGATTTATTTGCATTTAAATGATGAAGAATGTAGTAGGAGTAAGGAAAGTGACGTGATCACGTTGGATAAAAATGAAATTCCTGCTGATTTGGCTGAGTCAAGTTCTTGTGGAAATAATCATGCTGATAGCCTGCTGGAGGAAAATACTGATGAAGAGATGGCAAAAAGTATTGAAAAAAGATCGAAACCCAAGAAAACCAGTTTCAAAGGTTCCATTGTGGATGATCAGTTCTTTAAGTTGGCCGAAATGGAGAGGTTTCTTGAAAGCAAGCATGCCAGAGATGACGCTTCTTCAGATGGGAGTGATGATGATGAAAATATTGATTATTTCACGGATTTAAATAAAGGGGATGGCACATCAAATTTTGTTGAAAAGTAAGTACATGGTATATTAAACTTATGCAACTTTCAGATGTCCCTTGTCTAAAACAGAATGTAATGTTTTCTTTTTTGTCTAGAAATGTTTCTCAAAGTGTGATGTATTCCGATTATTTTGACATTCCTGATGATCTGACTGAAGAAAAGATAGGTAATGATCAGAAGAGTGATGAAAGTGTGGATGATGATTTTCAAGATAAGGATAGTAGTGACTATGAAGAGACAGAAGAAATTTCCAGTGCTTTAGTTCTACCTGATGATGATATTGGTACCAAATCAACATTGGAAAAACAACAAGAAAGGGTAAGATATTTCACTGCTTGTATGTTGTGAGTCAGCCCAATCATGACAGCCTCTAGATGACTAGAAATTATTCATGTTTTTCCCAAAAGGTGAAGAAACAAATTACAGCATTAGAGGATAGCAATGTTGCTGCAAAGTCGTGGCAACTCACAGGAGAGATATCAGCTTCTGCTCGACCCTCAAACAGCCTTTTAGAGGAAGTCTTGCAGTTTGATCATACAACTGCTGGTGGTAAGATTGCTTCTTTCTGTCTCTAACACCAGTAGATGCAAGAGATAAATAATATTTTCCTTTTATTTGTAGCTCCTGTAATCACTGAGGAGACAAGTAAAACGCTTGAAGAAATTATTATACAGAGAATTAAAGATGGTGTAAGTAGTGTTTACTGTTTTATAATTCACTGGGATCTCTTGATCTTTCCAGCATCTCTTGATCTCTCCAGGATCTCTTAATCTCTTTAGGATCTCTTAATCTCTCCAGGATCTCTTAATCTCTCCAGAATCTCTTAATCTCTCCAGGATCTCTTAATCTCTCCAGGATCTCTTATTCTCTCCAGGATCTCTTAGTCTCTCCAGGATCTCTTAATCTTTCCCGGATCTCCTGATCTCTCCAGGATCTCTGGATTTCCTCCAGTACAATTTAATGTATTCTGTATTTAACATCTCAAACATTTGATGAAAGGAGCATTACTGTACATCTGTTATCTTAGGCTTGGGATGATGTTGAGAGGAAACAAAAGCCAGTGAAAGAACCTTATGAATATAAAAAACCTCAGCCTCTTAATCAAGAAAAAAGTAAAATGAGTCTCAGTGAAATCTATGAAAAAGAATATCTTCAACAACAGGTAGTTCATGAAGGTGTAATAATGCATTTTATGCCAGTTCACTCCCACTGATGAGAAAAGATCTAGGCTTTCGTTTTTAAAATTTCAATCATGTGTTTATTTGATTTTTGAGAATCCTGAAGTAGAACAAGAGAATGAAGAACATCAAGAAATTGAGAAATTAATGAAGTCTCTCTTTTCAAAATTGGATGCCTTAACTAACTTCCATTTTACTCCTAAACCGGTTAGTATGCTTACGATTTTTGTGTTTAAATTGAGATGTGTTTTGATATTTGATGTTTCATCTTAATTCAGCTCAAATCTGAAGTGAATATCGTCTCAAACGTGCCATCAATAAGTATCGAAGAATGTACGCCAGTGAACGTGAGTGAAACTGCTTTGCTGGCTCCTGAGGAAATCTTTGATAAACAGAAAACTGAAGTGAAATCTCAGGGAGAGATGACGAAGCAGGATCGAAATCGTGAACGGCGGGGGAAAAAGCGGAAACAACGCTTTGCAGCGAAAGAAAAAGCAAAACTTCAAAAAGTTATTGAGAAAACTAATCCAGGTAAAAACTCATTCTTTGCATAGATTAGGTTCTATTACCCTTTTCACTTGGTCGCTTTGAGATAAAAGATGACTCTTATCTGGTAATAAGGAAATAATGAACAATATTTACTTATCATCTTTTTCAAAGACTTTCGTATGCATCTTTCTAGGTCTTGGGAATAAATACGGCAAGGCGAAAGCTCTGGAGTCTCTGAAGAAGGACAAATCAAGCACGATTGTCGACGAGAAGAAACGAGACTCTTCTCTGACATCATCCTCCGGTTTCTTTACTCAACTACAGGACAGCGTCAAAGAAGAGATTCATAAAAAGACCCAAAATGGAAAGAAAAAGAAGAAGAATGAGACAACGTCTGCTCATTGCAGGCTTTGAAATGAGTGTGAAAGTTGTTATTGTGAGGTCTAGTACCTCGTTTAACACTAGATCAGACTCGCTTGACAGGACATCGTACTTTGCAGTTGGAAAATGAAATAAATGGTGCTTGACATTACGATGATAATCCGATCAAATAAAACGAAAACCTCAGCGTTTGAGATTTGGTGAGGCGAATATAACTTATGGTATAGTTCGAGAAAGCTTTTTAGCTGAAAGTGAACAAATATAAGAGGATCTTGTTTGATGGATTTTAGTGATGACGTTTCAGACATGAATGGTTAACGTCATGCACGAATACATCAGAAAATTTACCTCTCCACTGCTCATCACCACTGACTATAAACCGTTGCAGGCTCATATTCACAACAGTTGGATTCCGTTTGAGTGGCACCCCCCTGAGCGATAGCATTGTGTTTAATGTTAATACCACGCTGATCTCGTTAATACTTATTCAAAAACTATAATAATTTTCTATTAGCCATATTTATAGTCTCTTAAGTACAAATATAGAATCCAAAGTCTGAACCAAGATATACGCGAGTGTGTTATCTTATCTGTGTCTAGTTTTAAAATGTGTTTTAAAGACTAGCTTTTGGTTCGTAATGGTTAGTTCTCTTGTGTTCATTTTGTCTGGTCTATGTATTTTTACTGGATTGTATACCTTCACTGCTGGTGAGTTTGATTATATTTGTACAGTGATATAGTCACTACATTGACTAATCACTAGATATTTTTCCTTTCTAAAGCAACATGCAGATGTATTTATAACGTTGACGGGGACATAAACGCTTGTTTTAATGTGGATTCGTTTTCTGACTGTACGTTGTTTGATCAAATGAAACTTTTTACTCTTCCAGCATGTTCCATTACGAATGAATGCAGCAGCAACAACGAAATCTGTGCAACGACAGGTTCTTGTGAGTGTAAGAGTGGTTTTAGTCGCAGTAAGAACGGAACGTGTGTTATTAAAGGTTCGTATCAAATCAATCTGATAATCTACAATCGATATCTATTTGTAAATAATCGAAACTTTTGATTATATAATTAATTTTGGTAATTGATGCTGAATCATTAATTCACCATTCATTTATTCACAATTTGTTTCAGGGGACGAAGCAAGCTCAAAATCTCTGTACACAATCCTTGTTGTAGTACTCTCAACTCTCATTATTCTGTTGCTTCTGTCACTTTGTCTTTTTGTCCTTCTTTATCGCAAGAAAGTCAAATGTCTTTTGTAAGTTTCGTTTAAAGATTATGTCATAGTTTAACCTACTGTCTATAGTCTGTCCAGTCAGAACTGTTCGCAGGAAATATAAACTGATTTAATCTTATTCCAGTTGCATTCAACGCGATGATGAGGGAGAGGAACGTCTTCAAATGACAAGCCTTAAACACAAGCCAAGTATAAGACAAATTTTGGGAGAGGTGCGTTTGTAACTTTGTACGAGCTCTTGCCTGTGAGGAGTTTCAACGTTTTTAGCAAAGACCCTTGTGAACCCAAAGATAATTATTGAATCACGACTCTATTCTTTTTTAGTACGATCAACTTTCACATAACCGGCCAGGTTTGTTGTCTACTCTTTTTGTTAAGTGTTGGATAGTTGATTTAGATCAGGTTTTCTTTTGTAACGCTGTTGCGGGAAAGATGAGCCATACTTGACTAGTATAGAGAAGCCCTTCCATATAGTTAAGAAACTCTAGAAAGCTTTCGAGGGATTCGATAACCGATGCTGTGCGCAAAGAAAATAACAAGCATTTGATTCTATTGTGTTTACGAAACTGAAACTTGTTCATCCAACCAGGTGTGTTTGAACACGTTCTCTTTTTTCCTAGCAGCTGACAACACCTGGACTGACGAAGATTTTAAGAAATTAGTTCAAAGTTTGCGAGAAGATGCACCAGTGTTTTTAAAGATGATTAATGAAGTGAAGAAAAAATTGAATATGTTGGAAGATAAGACTACAAATCAAGGCGTACAATACAAGTAAGTGTAGTGATAACTTAGTGTGCATGATGTTTCTTCATAGTTCCTGAGTATATTGAAGATGGTTTTTTGCAACCTAGAGCTTTAATACGTGATCTGTCTCGAGTTCTTCGTCTGCTCAACACCAAACCAATGAGGCTACAAATGCCAGTGGATGGAGTACCATTATTGCTTTGGGCTGAAAATGCTCTGAAACGATTTGAGAAATCAGATTTGCAAGTATGTATATTATTAGGAAATGTTGAAACCTTTTATAACGGGAATTATTTAATTAAAACTATTTCTTGCTTGTCTTAAGAATCCGAAGATAACGAATGAAATTGGGGAAACATCTGCAGAGATGCGATTGAAAGACGCAGTTTTGTAAACGAAGAATTTCCAAATCAGGTTTGAAGAAGGCTCTGAAGTTAAGTCGCAGTTCAGTGAAAATACTCAGCCTTTGACAGTATTTATGATCAAAATTTGCTATGTTTAGTTTAGTTTATAATGACTCGGCTATAAATGGACTAGAGTTGCACAGAATTAAACGCCTCCTTAATCAGGAACAGTTGTCTCAAACCACGCTTACAAACCGGGTATTTGCCGGGGATAGTTTTGCTAAAATTTTACACATTGATATGCCCGGCGGATGTACGTTAATGATATCTGAAAAGCATGCAAGCGACTTACGTCATAAAGGCATCATCAGACTTGTTATTAAGTTGAAGCGTGGTTGAAGTAAATAAAGTAACAGCAATATCCCAAAAGGAAAAGGAAAAAAACAACATAAGCAATTACGTCATTTGACGTCACTACTTATTAATCCGGGTGCTTTTAATAACTGATTTCCCGGTATTCAAGAGAGAATAATTATGATATAATAATCGGAAAGCGTTTTTCCCTCAAAGCAGCTGATAATCAATACGAGTTCTGAAGCTTGTTCTTAATTATTAATGTAACTTTTGACATTGATTAAATAACGTTAGAAATGAAGAAAAAATATAGGTTTCCGTTTTGCAAACATAAAAAATTCTTTGCTTGCTTTTAGTGTTAAATCATGCATGCATCTTGTCGTTTTCTCACCAGCTATTCAATTATTTTATTTCAAAACCATTCCCAAGAATTAAGCGACTCGCGAATTCAGTGAAGCTTTATTCAAGAAGCAATGTTTCGACTCTGGCAAGATTTGGTATATTGCAGTGTATGTTTATAAGACCACTTAATTATTTTCTTTCGTTAAACCCTAGTCATTGCTAAGCCCTGCACTTCAGAACTCTTTTTGCTCGATGCCTTAAGATTCTATTTCTCCAGAAGAAAATGATTGAATTGATGGAAGACGCGGCCATGGCAAAGGTGGTCGCCCAAACTGATGCCATTGCGAAGACTAGATCGTCAGCCTTGGGTTTGAAGAAGCTTGTCATAGCGTATGGAGTGAAACAGATGATCGTGCAGGTCACGACGATTCCACAAGATTTTGCCAGTTTGAGATCTTGGGTGCTGCTTGCTCTCAAATGCCTTTGTGAACGATAGAGCTGTGTCGTCTTGCGTGAATTTCGGTATATTGAGATATACATAGACACTGATAGAATAACCATAATGATGATGACAATGGTTCTTGTGTATCTCATCACAGTGTCTATGAATAACCTTGAGAAGATAAGTAATAATGCTGATGCCCATAGAAGGCTCACCATTCCAAACAGCTTAGGTTTCGTCATGTGATTACGATGAAAAAATGGATGAGCGATGCACAAATAGCGCTCTAAGTTCAGCACAAATAATGTTGAGAAGGAAAAAGCCGATAAACTCCCGGCAGTGAGCTCGAATAGAATATCGACAGTACATTCATCATCTTTTACTAAAGTTTTCACCGCCAATGCAACAACGCTAGGAGTTCCCAACACTCCTATTGTCAGGTCATTAAAGGACAGCAATGCTATTAGAAAATAGGACTTTCTCTGTTTCAATTCTTTTGATTTAAAATAGGCTAAAATTGTGATTGTATTTAAACAAATATTTGAAATGGTTAGCAGAATGTTAACAACACAAATAACGATAAGATTTGTGAGATATAACTTGGAGGTAGAGCTAACCAGTCGTTTGAATTCCGTGTCATGCCAAGTGCAAGATTTCCATCCCATCGTGTTGTCCATGAACCTCGGTTTATATTATCTTATAAGATGCTTTTACAGTGTTGTCGTTACGTACACATATGATATGTCGGATCATAGTTTTCGAGCATTTATTCAGGCGTGTGTGCTTAATGTTACTGTATTAATGAAATATTTATGAATTATCTTTGTTTTGAAATCATTTTAATTTAAAGCATGCGTAAGCCAGCCGGTTATTAAACTAGTTTTCTTGTTTTATCAGGTACAATAATATGGCAAACAGTTCACTTCGTTATATTGCCAGAAATATATCACTTTGTCCGGAGTAAAATAGGAAATTTTTGTGTATTTGGTTTAAAAACCAAATTGTTTTCAGAGGTAGTTCAGAGTCGCGACTGACTACAGCGGATCTTGTTGTAATGTGGTTCTAGTATACCCTTTACCATCTGGTTACCATATCTGTCACCAGCCCTGCTGTCACCATACTCTACTGTAAGCAACTGTAAGCTATGTATAATTTTGTATTACATGACGTTTAACCATATTCTTGCGTAAAATAATAACAAAGTTTTTTTTGTGGTCGGAAATGACATTTTCTTGATAAAGTATCATTAAAAGTCGTTCATTTTGCCCAAGACAAATGGTTTTATTCTGAGAGGACATACGAAGGATCGTCAATATATTTGAAGCTTTTGATTTAAGGAAATAATGAGTTTCTGTGGCTGGTCAGGGGGAGAGAAATATAAAAATCATTTTGCTGATGGTTGGTATAACTTTCGTTCAATAATATGGATATTGTATATCAAAGTTTAGTTATTAAATAACTTGAGAATATAAGAAAGTAATATAAGTAAGTAATATCACTGTATTGCCGTTCATGCTGTGTTTTTTCTAATTTTCAGGTATTTATGTATGTTCAAAATGTGGACATGAATTATTCAGCAGTGAGAAGAAATATTCTCATTCAAGTCCTTGGCCTGCATTTTCAGACACCATTCACAGCAATAGTGTTGTTAAACACAAAGAAGGTTATAATGCGTATAAGATAAAATGTGGAAATTGTAAAAATGGTCTTGGACATGAGTTTTTGAATGATGGTCCATCACCAGGCAAGTCAAGATTCTGAATATTCTCTTCCGCTCTGAGCTTCACGAAGAAAACAACATGAAATGGAACCAGGGTGGAAGAAGTGAAGAGATAAATTAAGAATGAAAATAATCATGTGTGTAAAAAACTAGTTTGTCTTATGAAGCATTGCAATCAAACTTTGTTATATAAAAGAGTTGAAATGCTGAAGTTAAGATGGCAGACTTGGTTTTGAACTAATACAATATAATTTTGGCATTTATTTTTTATAATGTGGTAACTATTTTGAAGGGTAATAAATAAAGTAAATAGTATATAATTATATATTTAAGGACTGACAACTTCATTTAGGGAGCATATTGTCCAAAGAATGAGGTGATTTTTTTCAACAAAGTTTCTATTTTTATTTTGCTTCCTGTGTGTTTTCATTCTCTTGTTGCTCACACCACAGTTGATAATTCTTACGAGTATTGAATCGTTTTAACGTCCCGCAGTCCAAGCATGTTACAACCACATGTTTTTCTCTTTTCCCTAAGTTTAAAATAGAATACACCATAGGTAAATAACAACATAAATAAGGCACATTGCTGTTTAGTGTTGCATTTTAATACCTCTAACTCTGACCGTCGATGTTACACCAGGAATAAGAACTGAGTGACAATATTTGCAGACTGTTCTCTTAATGGATGGGTCTCTATTCAAGAAATGAAGTGATTGTCATTTTTTAAAAAACATCTGAAGTCCAGAATGTAAAGTTAGCTGTGCGTGAACCTACATCTTACAAAGCAATTTTTGTCCAATATTTTTCATAGTGAAGATATAAAATCTTGAAAGCTCTACATTTTGTGGATTCTCCATTAAAACTGTTTGGGAAGCCTAAACGAATATACAATTATACAGTTATGCTGTGCTATGATTGGTCAATCTCTTACTGTAGATTTTGTCACAATAATTCTTTACCTGATACAAAAAGTTCATTCTTGTGTAAGCTTCTTTATTTGCCAGGGATTTTTCTTCCCTTCGTTCCTTCATTTTCCTTTTATTACCCATTGCAATATTTAATTCCAGAGAGTTATCTTTCAACCTTTCAACCTTCAGATGCAATATTTGCAACAAAACACATTTTATTCCTTCCTAAATAAAGTTTCTGCTACTTCCGCATGCTTATTGCGGGCACAAATGGCCGTCCTTTCGAAATAGTTACGAAATTGACAAGAAATTAAGTTTGAAAACCATCAATTTTGTGTTATTTTCTCACAATTCAAAAGAACGCTAAGACGACAACGTTATGTTAAAGACACAATGCCGTTTGGCATTCCTACGAAGTTATGTGCCATGGAAGTGCTTAAAAACACCGTTTTCCAAGAATACAAAAACGTGTTCCTGTTACCGTCCTCAGACGGGAAAGTATGGTATTGGAGGTGGAGTTTTAAGTAATTACTCCACTCAAGGTTGGAAGATTAGGCCATGCATTGTTAATGTAAGTATATTTTTTTATCCAGCAGTTGAATAGTTTTACGTGCTCGTCCTAAGAAGTGAACTGTGTGACAGACCGATCTCACAAAACATACCTTGGGCTGGGTAGGTGGGATTTGTGGTCCTGTGATGATTTGTGAGCTGTTTTTATTTTTTAAAATATTGAAATGTATCTACACAGCTGCAGAGAAATATGTAAATGAACTCCAGACACTGCAAAACACTTCAAAAACGATCACCCGGTTTTCCGGCTTTCCCATGCTTGCTTCTCACCGGTGCCCCTGGCGGTATTTTATAGAAAGACCATTATTCATATCTTACATTTTTTATATTTCAGCATCAATTACAATGTCGTTATCTTGTTCAATGCACTAAAGAAGCAATCAGCTCAACGGAAACATTCACCAAACCAAGTTCAAGTTTAAATATTGGTCTTAATACAAGTGTTGAACAAAGTGATATTGTTCAAGATAAGAGTGATGTTCCATCTCAGCTGTCCTGGAATGAGAAACTCCAATATTATCTAAGATTATCAAAGATACGTTTAACAGGTTAGAATTCTCAGAAAACTGCTATGGGTCAAACTTTCAATCATGTTTGACCATTATTATATAATTCTTGCTGAAGTACTGTGATGGTGCTACCAACCATGAGTTACCAACCATGCAACCTAAATAATGACCATGGTGGACATCAAGCTAGTTTTTCAACGGCTTGCCTGGCTGGTCACTCACAGTAGCACCACAACAATATGAATTTACCTCACAGTCATACACACCATCATTTTAATCACTGGTCTAGGTTTGGTGGTACTGACAACCATGGCTGGTTATAGTCTTGCACCTGGAGAGTTCTCAGCAACGACATGCGCTCTGGTATCAATAGGGACAATGCTATGTTCTTGCTCGGCTAATACCATTAATCAGGTGATTATCTGTCACAGACAGAAAAAGGCAAAAAATATTGTTTTTCATAATATGTCTGAGAATTCTTCTTATTTTTTGTAGTGGTTGGAAGTTCCATTTGATTCGCAAATGTCTCGTACAAAAAATCGAGTTTTAGTTCGCGGTCTTATGAGGTAAGTTAAGATTGTAATAATTTATAATAAATTATATCTCAACAGATGTTTATAATATTTTATAATAATCTATTTCAGTTCATCGCATGCATTAACATTTGGAATACTTGCTGGAGCATCAGGTTTGACAATGTTGCTCACTCAAGTGAACGGATTGACTGCTTTGTTAGGTTTGTCATAAGAATATTTCATAATTTCTTTCTTCAGTCCTCTTAAATTACTCCTCTCTAATTGCTCTCTCTTTGCCAGTATTCTCTCTATTCTTCTTTCTAATTGCCGTATTCTAATTGCTCACACCTCACTCGTACTTTCTTCTCTCTAATCACTTTCCCCTCTCCAATCACTCTCCACTCTCTAATGATTCTCCCATCTCTAATCACTCTCCCCTCTTTAATCCAATTCCCCTCTCTAATCACTCTTCCCTCTCTAATTACCCAGTTCTCTCTAGAAACTCTCCCCTCTCTTATTACTCTCTTCTCTCTAGTTACGTTCTCCTTTCTGACTACTCTCCATCTCTAATTCCTCTTTACTAACTTCTCTCTAACTATTCTTCTCTATCCAGGTGCCTCTACGTTAATTCTCTATACAACTGTGTATACTCCATTGAAACGCCTCAGTATCGCGAATACATGGGTAGGCTCGGTGGTTGGGGCACTTCCTCCACTCATGGGATGGACTGCGTGTACAGGAACATTAGATCCAGGCGCTTTGATTCTTGGCGGAATTTTGTACTCATGGCAGTTTCCACATTTTAACGCTCTCAGTTGGAATCTACGGGCGGATTATTCGAGAGGTTTGATCAGAATTTGTGAATCTTTTCCCGTTTTCAAAACTCTCTCTTGAAACTCTTGTGTATCTTTCTCAGCTGGTTACCGAATGATGTCGGTTCTCAATCCAGACCTCTGTCGGAAAGTGGCTTTGCGTCATTGCGTTTCCTTAGTAGTATTTTCTACGTTGTTACCTGTTTGTGATGTCACGACATGGTGGCTGGCGCTCGACTCCCTTCCCGTGAATCTATGGTTAATCTGGCTGGCGTCAAAGTTTCAGAAACGTTCAGATAATAAATCAGCCAGGGAATTATTTCGTTTCAGTCTTCTTCATTTGCCACTGCTCATGTTTCTCATCCTATTTCACAAGAGGAGCAAGGAATCCGAAGCAGTTCCTGAAGAAAAAACACTTGAAGGACATATTGCTCAACATCAGACGGACAAAAATAGCGGAAACTGAGCATTCTTCATCATACAAACTTGCTGTTTATTTGTCCCACGTGAAGTGTCACTTCAAACTGCAAAATATCACGGAAACTTTCACTGCAAGTTTCGAACGATAGTTTCATATGTTTTGGGAAATAAACCTCTTAGTGCGAAATAAATTATTTAACGAAGTTTGTCTTATGGCCTGTGGCACTTCTTCTGAATATGAAAGATCGTTTCGAAAGCTTGTCACTAAAATATGATGTGAAGTGCTGGTTTCCCTCACTTGCCGATTGTATTTGACTTCCTAAGATGTTGTTCTATTTCTATGATTATGCTTTTCACCTGAAGCTAAATCAATCTCAGGGCCTTCGTCAGGGCCGTAGCTAGAAGCTTGATTGGGGGAGTGTATATTCATATATTCGTCTTATGCCCCACTGATTTCTTTTGTACGCTATTGTTTCTATGGTATATAAACTTGAATATATGAATATACACCCCCCCCCCAATTAAGCGGTCTAGCTACGGCCCTGGCCTTCGTCAGCAGCATTAGAGTCATGCTAAATCCAATTTACTACTGACGTATGTAGTCTGTTATTGATAAAGCAATACTGCATTGGTTTTAGTGGACTTGCTGTCCACGTACATTGCAAGTCAGCAGACTATAAAACATCTATCAGACGAAGTTGGATCCGACAAAATTGTTTCATGTGAAGACCTTGGTATCAACCGTAGACCTTGACCAACCGTATCGTAGTGAACCGTTGCGTGTTTCTTTGTTTCAAAGCCATTAGTTTTATCTGAGTGTCCAGGAAAGAATGCGATACGCTACGTGACACTACGGTACGGTTGAAGTGGAAAAGAGCCTTAGCTCTTAAGCCTCCTGACGGAGTCCCAAAATGTCGAGAGTGTTTTTGTGTATATTTTAGGCAATTATAACAAATTTCGTGTTATTTCAAGTTATTTGAAGACGCCACCACGCAGCTTCTTGATTATATTGGAACGCATCCAAGGTACTTGAGTTTCTCTGACAGAGTAGAAGATGGTTAAGGTCAGGGTAAAGCAAGTGTCGTACTTTGTGTTAAAAATACTTATCATGCTTAAATTTTTATTCTCTTTAGTCGCAATGTTCCATAAATACATAGTATATATGTTTTCCTCATAAATACATAGTATATATGTTTTCCTCATAAATACATAGTATGTTTTTCTCATAAATACATAGTATGTTTTTCTCATAAATACATAGTATGTTTTTCTCATAAATATAAAGTATGTTCTTCTCACCATCTCCCGGCCTCATTAAGACCTTAAAAGGGTGTGATACCACCTACATATTTCCTATATGATAATAACTTGATAACCGTACCATGTTATTAACAAAACCCCTTTTTTTTCCATGAAAAATGTAGGATGGAAACACACGTGGAGTGCCTCCCACCCTTCACCGACATTTGCTTCAAGATTATATATTCCTACGCAGAGTTAATTGATTAAGTGTTTTAAACTATAAACACGCTTATTCAATCCTCATTATTACGCTGTGTTCCACCGTGTCTTCACCCTGTCATTTTTTTGCAAGAAAATCTGCAGATTTTGTCTCAGTTTCTTGTCTTCGGAGCACCGTCAACGTAAGGTATGTTATTAATAATATAGAGAAGTGAGAACACGGATTTTATCGTTTCCAATGCATAAATTTTCTTCTTGTGGTATAGAACGAGTGATGATTGCATGAAAACGGTTCAAGAAACGTTTAAACTTGCTAACGGTGTATGGTGAAACAAAAAAAAAGCTATATTTCCCCTTTCCTTATTAATGGTCACCAAATACCAGACGGATAGAAAAGTGTAGCTTGTTCCGTTCTGATACTGCACTACTGGAGCTTTACTACAATATTTTGCACAATTCTTCTTCATTTTCTTTACAGCAAGATACAGAATGATGGCTTCAAATATGGACATTGTGTTTGCAGACTTGTATGAAGGTTAGAGATAAATGGAAGACTGTGTATTGTTTAATATATTTCCGTGAAAGTTTGTCGTGTCAATAAAAAGCTGTTTCGTGTCGGGACCTTTACTTTTCTTTGACACTTGTTGCATGACTGACTGTGTTTTAAAAGTCTTTGTACAATTGTCTTAATCTAGACAATCAACTTTTCATATATTAATAAAATATACCCAGCATCCAGTCTGTGCTGGTCATGTCTAAGTTAAATTAATTGTAGATTTGGAACAAATTCAAATAGATTAGTAATCCATTGCGTTGGTCCAGTGTAACTAAGTTTTTTTTCCTGAAAATAAGCTTTTCTGGTATGTGTTTGATCCAAACGCGGGGTTCACTGTATTGTATGTACATTTCCGTGTAACTTGTAATTGAATTATCTAAAAATGCAATTCAAAAGTGGTCGTTCAGTAATTTATAATAGGCTATCGAGTGTCGTGGTTTGTGTCTGAACTACCTGAAAAGGATATCTCAAACGTGGCGGCCCGGTGTAGGTAGTATTATACAATAAGCTGTCGTGGTTTTTGTCTGAACTTCCTGAGAAAGATATCTCAAACGTGGTGGTTCAGTGTAGGTAGTATTCTACAATAAGCTGTCGTGGTTTTTGTCTGAACTACCTGAGAAAGATATCTCAAACGTGGTGGTCTAGTGTAGGTAGTATTCTACAATAAGCTGTCATGGTTTGTGTCTGAACTATCTGAGAAAGATATCTTAAACGTTGTGATCCAGTGTAGGTAGTATTCTACAATAAGCTGTCGTGGTTTGTGTCTGAACTATCTGAGAAAGATATCTTAAACGTTGTGATCCAGTGTAGGTAGTATTCTACAATAAGCTGTCGTAGTTTGTGTCGGAACTATCTGAGAAAGATATCTCAAACGCGGTGGTCCAGTGTAGGTAGTATTCTACAATAAGCTGTCGTGTTTTGTGTCTGAACTACCTGAGAAAGATATCTCAAACGTGGTGGTCCAGTGCAAGTAGTATTCTACGAACTACGATGAACTGCCTTTTTTTGTGTGAACTCAGTATCAGTGTATCATAACACTGTGGTATAAGCTGGTTTACAATGGGCTCTATTCATGCAGTTGGAATGTAAAGCAGCTTACTTTTAACCTAAGACGGAATTCTATTCAGGAAAGGGAATTCAAAATCTAAACACTGCGAGGCTAATGACTTTCGAGACCTATTACGTACATGCGTGCGTCTATGATGTAAAGTTAGCTCACGTGACAGGAAAAAAATGTCACAACCAGACGCTCGCTTCAATATAGCTTGTGTATGAGTCATATCGTAATGTAGGTATTGGTGACAGGGACACACGAATAATCTGGTTTCTAAGATCCATTATACACTAGGTTTTTTAAGAAGTGTAATTTAATAAAGATTAATCATTACAACGTAAAGTATAATTGCACTGGACGAGAGGATTACAAGAGCCATCTATAAACCGGTATTTCTTACTTTCAAGTATTTTGCTATCAACCATAGGAACGTTTTGCAAGGAACCGACATTGTAAGTGTATAGGAAATCGTCTATCCATTATTTAAAATGTTTTTAAAAACCACTCATAAGAAGAAAGAACATTAAAAATTACTTTGCTTGAACTTTTTGTAGCATAATTATGAACATGATCACTGCAGGAAGTTCAGACGCAAACCACGACAGCTTATTGTAGAATACTACCTACACTAGAGCACCACGTTTGAGATATCTTTCTCAGGTAGTTCAGACATACACCACGACAGCTTATGTAGAATACTTCCTACACTGAACCACCACGTTTGAGATATCTTTTTCAAACAATTTAGACACAAGTCACGACAAAAAGTGGCAACTTTACTGCACGTTTGAAATATCCTGAAACGTTTATATAACTTTTTTGCCTTTTAACAGTTCTGAAAAGCATTACATCACAAATGCTCTTGAACACGTTTCAAATTTTTCAATAACTCCTCTATAACATGGCAACTGAACAAAGAACTTACAGTTGAAAAGACCAAACAATGACCAAAACATTTAACTATATCAATATAAACGTACGTGAAATGAGCAGCAGCAGTTTATTGGAGAATATTGATCATTCATGGTATCATTTTTGAGATATTTTTCTAACGGAAGTTGAAATCTGCGGCCATCATGTTTACATGCAATGTCTTCTAGGTTATTTAAACGCTATTGGGGGGGGGTGTCCATGTTTTTCACAGATGAAGATTAGTTGACAGTTTTCGACATCGCAAGATAGTCTCAATGCTTAAATCTTTTTCTATGTTTTAGTTATCCCGGAACTTCAAGGAAGGATGGACCGATTTTCTCAACCAAATGTTGTTTCCAATACAGGTATATACTATAGTATAGGCACTCCAATATACGGAACATGGCCAGTATATTGATTGACGGCCCATATAGACAAGGAAAAAGAGATTGTGGAGTTTCAGGGGCAGACACGAAACGGTGGGCCTGGTTGAGTAAGCCAGTTAATAGAAGCAGAGAAGCATTTTCCTCTTTAATGTCCTAGATTCTTCTGAGGACTTTTTAATACTACCTCCAAGTGCCGTGTTGTTTGGTTTTAATACCTGAGGTTTTTTGAAAACTTTACAGATCAGGCCAACACGTGCACGTTAAGCACCGATCTACTTGTGTGTGTCACTCAGGATAATGTTTAGGCGTTCTTTTACGACAGTCGAAATATTTGATCTTTTTACAGGTTCTTGCGATTATAACCAGATTTATGTGGAACCAAGGAATCTACTCTCAACAAATGACCAAACAACATACAGTGGTCAAATTCCTATGCAATGGGTGAAACCAAACCCCATGATGAACAACAGCACAAATCAAGAAGGAAAGTATGTACTCGAAACAAACTTTCAGTATGGCTCGTGGGCGCTAGAAACGACAAATCCCAGGTAAGTTTGAAACTAAATCAGTGTTCAAGGTTTAAAGGTGTTATAGTGTATTACTATCTCTAATGAATGTCTAGTGGTCCACTCAGTATGATAATCTTTTTTTTCTTTTTTACAAATTGGCAGAAAGAAGCCATTTCATAGCGAATTGAGTTTACAAACTAGATGTTATTTTTCAAATTCAAAAGTTAATTTTTAATGGACTACATTGCGAAGAAACACATTCTGTAAAAGCGATCCCGCTAATCCACTTTGTCTTTTTTAGTTGTGAATGGAATGAACCTATTGGGAATCAACTGAACCCATGCAAAATAGAGACAGGAAGTCTCCATCAATCATTTTCTGTTCCTCCTTCACCTTGCGAATTCCAGTATTATCCCGCCGTTAATCAAAATGATGCCAAAGGTGTGCCATACGGATATTCTCTACCACCATTTATTCCCAACGATCCCACCGCGGGACCATATTCTGCATACAACCAGTTGCAGGAGCCTATTCCTAGTGTACCACAGTATGGTTCACGCAAAGCTGAAGTTCAAACTCCAATGAATCCGTTTTCAAAGCAAGGCACGAGTTCATCAACCGAAATGAGCACTTCTGTAAGTTCCGTTAAATCACGTTCGAGGAGAAAGCGGCCACGTCTTTGTCACTTCATTTTAGAATTACTCGAAAAACCTGAGCAATATTCAAATATTGTTGAGTGGGTGGATCAGAAAAATGGTGTCTTTAAGTTTCATAACTCCTCTGAGATCGCTTCTCAATGGGGCAAAAGACGAGATAAGCCACACATGAAATACGAAAATTTCGCTCGTTCTCTACGAAGTTACATTGCTAAGGGAATTATGTCTAAACCTCGTAGTAGATTGGTCTATCGATTTACTGAAAAAATTTTGTAATATGTAACATGTAAAATATTACATACATCGTTTAAGATAAGTGTAGGTAATAGACTCTAAATGGTTCCCATAAGTTCTCACTCGACATTTTGTAGGTTCTACGTCTTGTTGTAATATAGATGCACGCACAGCACGTGCGAATAAATGTTTATCTCAAAGATTTGAATATGGAAATATAATAATTTCTATACATAAATATAGAAATAGATATCTCAAATTGTAGTAAGTAAAGATGTGATCGTTTGATTTATCCCAAACCAGTTTTAGTTTCACACGAGAAAATATAATTTTTGTTTCAATATCAGTTTATTTAGCAATAGTAACTGGCACGTTCATCAGTTGAAAAGCAGGGTAATTTAATCATGCAGCCCACACATTTCTACCGCCCTCGCAATATCGCAATTCCTGTTTCAGTATGTTTGTTTAATATAATGCATTGTTCTCGACTGTCAAATATCAGAGAACATTTCATCCTACAAATATTTCTAAAAAAAGAAGTGACTAATGTCTTTGTCTGCTAAGTGCGAGGAAAGTAAGTTTTTTACGGCTCCATGGGGTGATGTCAAGGCGTGGGAAAGGGGGCGGAGAGAGAGTGCATGAAATAAAGAGAGGGGGGAAAAAGGGAAGAGATGGAAATGAGACGAAATACTGACCGGTATTACTGCCATTGTTCTTACATAACGTATTCTTGAAATTTCTTAGTATCACGGGCGCATATAATAAACCAAATCATATAAAAAATATTTTCATTTTGTAAAAATTATTTTCATTTTAAAAGAAATAAACTCAGAAATGAGCAAAAATGTAAGTATCCTAGATATTTATATATATTCCTATTCAACTTGATTTTATAATGTCATTTTCATTCATGTATTTTTCAATAAATATAGTAGCCATATTTGTTTTAATATTAAATGCTTTTTATAATTTTTCTTGCTTTTAAGATCGTTATTCGTGTTCAATCACGGCATGGAACACGACGTATAAATACTTCTTTTAATGAAAATACCAAAAAATTCTTTGAAAAGGTAGTGAATTATATTAAAGTACCGAAATCTTATTAACTAAGCACTTTATAAATATTGTACAATATACGTCCTGATTTAATTGGTATAATGTCTACAGATTGAAGATGAGTTTAAGTTATCACCTGGTTCATACAGTATTTACTTGGAAAGAGACAAATCAAAAAAGATTTCTAGAAGTTCCAGACAAAGTTTGAAGTCATTAAACTTGAGGTAATTTTAATATAGGATGCTGGATCAATGGGTCCTGATATCTATGTAGTGTTTATTTAGAGGGAACTTCTTATTGATTGTACTAAAACCTTTCACCCCCCCCCCCCCACCCATTGAGAAAGACAAGTAAGGTAGCTGGCTCTACTTTCAATCTGGGTCTGGTATTCCTTGGTCTAATGTGCTGAATTAAATGCTGGATTAAATTACTTGCTTTCTACTAGCTAACTAGCATTTGTTTTTTTTTATCTGGTTCAGCCATGGAAATATGGTATACCTAGCTGATACACCCTCAGCAAACAATGGTATTGACTCTATGGTTGAGGATAGTATGGACACCACACAACAACAGACGTCTCAAAATGGTCCATCAACGTCAGCGAATATTATTCCAGATTGTGCAGTTGAGGATCCAATAGATGTCTTCCTAGCCAAGCAGGATGGCCTGATACATAGAGAGAAAGATCCACAGTTGTAAGTAACATAGGTTTACAAGATAGAGAGGGAAAATGTGCGTGGAAGAGAAACAATTGAAGGGAAACTAATTTATTTTTTCAATTCCCTCCAGATGTCAACATGGTCCAAAAGGCAAATGTGTTCATTGTCTCCCATTGGAGGTATGAATGATTTATAGATATGATTGATTGAGTTCCATGTTGGAAACAATGATTTTAGTTCTGACTGACTAGAGTTGATGTCAATCATCCATTTAGCCTTATGATGAGACATTTCTCAGAAACAGAGAACCTCCTATTAAACATGTTTCATTCCACGCTTACCTGAAGAAACTCACCCAAGGTCACACAAAGTATGTATATTATTATCCCTGAAATGTATTAACAAATATTAAGGGACTATAATATGGGGAATTTTATGACAATGAAATTAATAATAATTGTTTTGATTTTTCAGAGGAAAGTTTGCTGTTCTTGAAGACATTACATGTAAAATAAAACCCGGTTGTAAAGAGCATCCACCTTGGCCTGATGGAATATGTACTAAATGCCAACCAAGTGCGGTCACTTTAAAACGTCAGGTTAGTATTTACAAGGACCATATTCAATTTTATTATTTTAAAGCCATTCAGACCATAAAATTTTAATTTTAGGACTACCGACACGTAGACAATATAATGTTTGAAAATCCTTTCTTGGTGGAGCGCTTTCTGAATTACTGGAGGAAAACAGGAAAGCAGGTATAACAAAGTTAACTAAATGTTCTTTTAGTATGCTATTTAGGTATATTGATCATTTTCCTCTCATGATTTGTAGAGGATGGGTTATCTTTATGGCCGTTACGAACATCACAAGGATGTGCCTTTAGGAATAAGAGCTGTTGTTTCCGCCATATATGAACCTCCACAGGTATCATTGAAGTATTAATGGTTTAATTTAATTTAATTAATTTGTCACATTACAAACATTTTACAAAGACAAAATTACACCTGTGACAAGAGACGGTAACAGGAACATGTTCCCAATTGAGAACCGACCCCAGTTTTAAATCCATATCTAGCCTTCACTAACAGTAAACAATTATTATTACATTATTATGTACCATCAGTTAAGATTCATGAGTATGAGTTATGAAAATTTGAAATTTTCTTCAGGTATCCGAAGGTGATAGTTTACAGTTGCTTGATGATCCACGTGCAGGACACGTGGATGAGGTTGCCAGAAAAGTTGGCGTTCAGAAAGTTGGATGGATTATAACAGATCTAGTGGCTGAAGATCTAAAGCTTGGCACCGTGAGACATCTCCGACACAAGGATACATACTTTGTTAGTGCTGAAGAATGCATAATGGCTGCTGACTTTCAGAATAAACATCCAAATGTGTGTAAATTATCACCAACAAATAGATTTGGTTCTAAATTTGTCACTGTCATTGTTACAGGTTAGTGTGATGTCTGCTGGTTAATCATCATTTCTTAGCCTCTAAGTCAACTGTTCTCTAAAGTAGTTTAGTTTTGTAATATGTTTTTATTTTTAGGTCACAGTGAGAAGCAAATATCTTTTGATGGTTGGCAGGTCAGTCCTAGTATTTGAAGGAACACCATGTATACATGTATTTATTTTTTGCAGCTCTTTTCATCTTTCCTAGGTTAATTGACATACCAAAAGCCATCCATATAATAGATTCACCTAGTGTTCTTACAAACTGATAAGCTTAGGTTAATGAGAGTTTTTTGCACCACCTAATAATGTTTACTGTTAATTATATCTGTTCCAGGTGTCCAACCAGTGCATGGCATTAGTTCAGGATGATATTTTAGTCCCAACCAAAGATGAACCTGGTCTTGGCTATGTCCGAGAATCTTCCAGCAAACAATATGTTCCTGATGTGTTTTATAAGGTTGGTTATTAGAACTGCATGAGTTCATCTCCGGTACATACATCCATAGTTCCATCATGCTATAAATCTTTCTTTTAGGATAGAGACTCGTATGGGAACGAGGTGACACTCCTGGCTCGTCCAATGCCTATTGAGTATGTTTTAATAGAGGTACCTGCTGCGTTCCCGAAGGACCATCAATATACCTTTCCTGGGGGCAATGGTGACCCCTTCCCTATTGAAAACCGTGAAGAACTTGGGGAAATTCAGGTATAAATACGATGTGTTCTTACCATTGTGATATCAAAATCTCACGCAAATGCTTCTCTTTTTTTAGGATTTCCATTCATTCGCGCTTTATGTGAACAAACAACCACCTAGTAATTTCCTAAACGCGTTATCAGATCTGCATTTGTTGATATTTCTTGCAACTAATGAGATGTTACCTCTTAAGGTTTGAACTTTGAAAAGCACATGTACATGAATTAGTACATTATGGTTCTATATTTAGTTTCTAATGATTTTATTTAACTTTAGCATGCATTGGACATGTTATTTGATGCCATAAAAACATCGGACGAAAGCAAAGCTTTGCAATGGAGGAAAAATGAATCGTGGGCAACTGTTGAAGAGATGATCAAGTCTCAAGGTGAGGAGGAACTGCTACATCTTCCCTTGGCTATTATTTCAACTAAACACCAATGTTTTTGTGTCTATTTTAGGTGAGGGTGAACAAAGTATGTTAGCACAACCCCTGCAGGAGAGTGAGACAGTCCAGTGGAGTAACGACCAATGGACGTGTAGTCATTGTACGTTTATCAATGAGTCTGCAGACAGTTGTGAAATGTGTGGTTTGCCACACTCATAGTGTAATGCAAATTACTTCATTTTCATGGGCTGTGTGGTGGTATTTATAGCAGATCTAATCATGCATTGCAATTTTATAATTAAATTTTGGTAATTTATTGATTGATTAAGGCCGAAAGGGTTGATGTGGAATGTTGTTAAAAGAGGGGATTGTACTGGAATGTTAACAGGGAGGGGGGTGTGATAGATATGATAAATGGAGGAGGGGTTGGAATGAAGGAGTTCTATCCAAAGGTGGTGGTAAGGTGTATGGTTACAACTGTTTGACCTGTTTCACAATTGATTCATAACACCAAACACTGGCAGATCAAGCTGGCCTTGAAATTACACCGTCATCATATCACTATGACTTCAGATTATCATTTCATCACTAGTCAAGACGTGTATGAGTTGACTTCTATACTACAAAACAATATAATCACATGTCCTTAGGAGGACATCATATGAGTAAAGACAGTATCATTGAAGTCAGATACTCTTGAGTATTGATGATGCGAATATTTCATCCGCCTTGCAAGTGAAACAAGGCGTCAAATAAACTAACGAGAATTTGATATTAACCGTGGGTAGACAAAAAACAAATATTACGACACACAACGGACAGAAAAAACACAAACACATTCATACAAAACACAAAGACGGAACAAAACACATATCAACATATATCAGAGACTGGATCACTGAATATCATAATTCAGTGTTTATAGCTCAGTGGCGTGCGCGGTAAAATCTAAAATGGCCGCTAATGTGGAAATCCAGGATTTGATGTTTAGTGAAATATCTTTTTTCAAACACTATTCTTTCTTAATTTTCGTGCTGTATGATATGTTTTGCAGTTGAAATTTGATGTTTACAACCCGTAAGAAAACCATGCACCTAAATCCGTGATTATTTTTTTCATTTTTAAGTAAATTTACAAGAGTCAAAAATAACCTTCATCTTTTATATGTATTCAGGCGCAATTTGAAATGTCTGAACTTGACCTGGATGATGCAATTGCATCTATTTTAGCTGATAGTGATGAAGGTATGTTATGTTCACATTCAATATTTATACAAATGTATAACCTAGTCAACCTACACATACAATAAATGTCTATGAAATGTTTTACAACTTTTATTATTATAGATGCAGGGACTAAGAAGAAGAAACCTTCATCTAAGAAAAAGGTATATTGCTGTGCAGATTTTGCCTACATACCAGGGTTTCTGTATAACACTCATGCTAAATATTGGTTACAACCATATGCTGACAATTGTGCAAGGTTTTCGTGGTTTAATACATTACATATATTCTGCTACTAAAACTAAAAAATAGTCTGTTATGTTTCAGAATTCAAAATTGTTGTCATCAAAAGCTTTGACATCAAGGTAAAATACATAAAAATGGGCCCCAAAGACAAAGCCAGGTTGCTAAATTCCTTCCTGCATTTTACGCTAGCTTGGTGAGTGTTTAACAATTTTTTAACTGTGATTTGCCTAAATTATAGTGTGAATGATGAAGAGTTTTACAAGAACTTAAGTAAAATATCTGAAGAACAAGAAAATGAGAAACAGGTGTGTGTGATCACACTTGTTTAATTTGTGGAGATTGTTATTATGTGTGAGATATCAATGCTGTTTCTTCACAGGAGGATATTAAAGTAACAGAAGAAGATGCCAAGAAAATGGCTGGTAATCTTGCTGTAAGTTGTGGGAAATTGCATTTTACTGATCTTTGCAGTTCTCTAACAAATTTATGTCTTGTCTAAATTTTCTTTTTATGATGATCTACCCAGGGTCTTGATGACCTGGACTCAGATTTGCTTGGTTCTTTGGGTCGGAAAAAAGTGGCCTCGCCTAAAGAAAGAGCTGGGAAAGATGCTGAAATAGAGAAACATGAAGAAAGACGAAGGACATCGTCAGGCTCTCTTCATCGCAAGGGATCTGTCACACCTTTTAGTGGTAAGACTGACAATATCCTGTGTGGTTGACCAGTGGTTGTCAGCAATATATAAGATCACTCTGTGAAATTTATCTTTCAGACGAAGAGATTGGTGTTCTTGACAACAACCTGATGATAAGCGAGGAAGAAGATGATGTCTTGAACAGCAGTATGAATAGTTCTACATCAAAACATCGCAAAGTCTCACCAAACAAGATATCTCCAAGAGTTAGCTTGGAAAACATGCCTGAAGGTGCGTAATTCTTTAATTTTGGGAATATAATTGCTGTCATGAAACTTTAAACTTTTCTGTTTTCATAAAGATACCAAAGGAAAGAAGCCTGTGGGTAAAAAGAAGTCAAAAGAAATAGATTTCGACTCAGATTCTGAGCTTCCTGGTTTGGACAGCAAAGACACCACTGATATTAAAAGAAAGAAAAAGCCATCATCCAGAGGTAGAAAATCAAAGAAAACAGCTGACGAAGATCTGTTCGGAGATGACGATGATCTTCCTGGTATGTGCGAACTTATTATCATCTTAAACTATCATTCTTTTACATTGTACATGAGTCAAGTGCTTTGCTTCTTTAGAAAAATGAGCAGCATTTCACTTTGCAAGTCAGATCATGTCTCTATCAGTTCTTTGTTAAAAATTACAAATTATCAAGCAGGAGACTCATCGTTTGTTTGATCTTCTTTCAGATCTTGATTGTCCTACGAAATCAGAGAAGCCTAAAGCAGCGTCTGCCTTGGATAATCTGATGGGCAAAAAATCTAAATCTTCCACATCTGATAGAAAGAAGTCAAAACCAGCCTCGCTTGATGATTTCATGGCTAAAGTTAGCACAAGCAGTAAAACCCCGTCAAAATCAGGTATGTCCAGGCAGATCTGTCAGTCAGTGTCAGAGTGAAAATATAAGAAGTCTTCTGACTAATCTTGGAGATTTTGCATCATGAATAAAGTATCATAAATGAAGTATCCAATGATGATTTTCTTTAGAAATTCAAAGTCCTGTGCGCAGTCCAACATCCGAAGAAACATTCCAGTTCGGAGGTTATATGCCGAGCTCAGCGGGTGGACGAAGTTCCAGCAGAAGCGCTCGTCCTGATTCAGACTTCGGCCGGAGATCTGTGAAGTTCTCAGATGATCTGGGATTAGGCGATGATCTGTTTAGTTCAAGAAAACGTCCATCCACCGCTCCAAGTGGGCGAAGAAAGAATGAAGAGACAAAAGATCCTCTGAATAACACCTTCACACCTTCATCTAGTAAAGGTAGCGCTGCTCTGTTATTAAATTGAGATGAAAGTTTGTTCCTAAATTGATCTTTCTAAATCTTGTTCTTCGCAGACAAAGGAGATTGGCTTGGTTTGGATGAAAAAACTGATAGTCCAAGAGAAGACGAAGATCTCCAAACATCGTTACAAGGTATTAACACATTTGCATGGTTCAAACAGTGATATCAAAAAACAAAAACGAGAATGTTCTGTCTCAAGGTTCTAAGACCAGCACATCAGGTGATTGGTTAGGATTGGGTGATGACGTGGCCGATGATCAATTAAACGATGGTTTAACGAAGAGTCTTGATTCTGACACACAAGAACCTTCCAGCACTGCGCCAGCTCTCGCTAAAACTCCGCAGGCAAAGAAAGATGACGAACTATCAAAAATGCTGGACCTGGTTCCTGATGAACAGAAAGTCGAAAGTGATGACAAGTATGTAGTTAAGATTACAACAGTTTTATTCTTGTTCATTTGAAGTTTTAAATCTCCTGAAGCACTCCTCGTGTGAGACAAGACTTGCCTGAGACAAGATTCTCATGAAATAGCTTCCCGTGAACTAATAACCACTGTTTCACTATTCTTCTAGATCACTGTTCCCGTGGGAGGGTGGTAAGGGCAGACGTGGTCGAAGAACACCCAAAGAAGATCAAACTGAAGTTCTTTCACCCAAAACAGACTCTGAAGCAAAGTACGGCACCTTAACAACATTACTTTTCTAGACTAGCTATTGCATTACTTGAAGCATCAATAAATCTTTCAGAATTAGTCTCTCTATTACTTTGCAAATTTTCACTAAATTTTTCTCATTTTTAGAACTGACAAAACTCTGGATAAAACCATCGACAAACCAAAAACTTCGACACCAACAGACACCTCCAGTTCGAATCAAAATGAACCCACGAGAGAAGAAATTAGAATTTCGAATATACATTCGTTGCCAAGCTCACAGCAGCCAGGCAGAGTTTCAGATCCAGTCTCCTCTGATAGAACTCCACAACCAAATCACGTGCGTTCTGCGGCCGATGATCCTGGCCACGTCAATTCTCAACGGACTGGTTCTAATGCGCCTCGATATCGTTCAGAAATCAACAAAGAGAACTTTGGGGTGGAGTTGAAGGAAATGATTGGGAAAATACAGGATGTTGAAAATGAAAAATATAAAGTAGAAATGGACATGGCGAATAAACTGGCTGAGTTAGAAACAAAGGTAGGAAATATAGATTTAAATGGAGGATGACTGTTAACCAGGTTCTCTAGAGGTCCAGTACGGATCATCTCTTATTGATGTGGTATTAATTGATGAATTTGTTTTGCGTTTTAGATCCGACGTTTAGAAGTCGAGAACGACAGTTTAAAACAGAGTTTAGAACTGAACAAGGAGCGGAATAAAGAGGAAATTTCTGCGATCCAAAACTCTCATCGGTTAGTCTTATTCACAGCCACCTCATATCTTTAAATTTGTTTATTCCGGGGTCTCAGTTTTTGGCTGGAGTGCTAAACAGCATTTTGTTGAATTAAGGAATCGTGTGGAAGCACTGGAGGAGTCCTACCAGCGTCGTGAAGCCAGGGAACGAGAGGAGACGGAGAATCTGATCTCAAAACATAAAGATACTGTGAACCAATTAGAGCGAGAGAGAGCAGACCTTAAGGCTGCGCATGCTCGCAAGATCTCAAGCCTTGAATCGAATAGATTGGCTGAGGTTGAGAGACTCACTGAGACACATCGTCGTGTCCTAGATGAACTACGCAGCGAGCATAACGCTGAGATTAATCATCTGAAGAGAATGAAAGAGGAAGAAATATCAGCGACGATGAAGGCTTTCGCACACACCAAGTCATTGCAGGGCCTCATGCAACAAGTCTCTAATTCAACAAAACAAGTAAGATTTTAGTTCACTCTCCTTTTTAGTTCACTCTCCTATCTTGCACTGATGTTTCGTGGTCACCAGCAGTTCTCCCAAACGAGACGCTTCTAAATCCGGATATTGTGAATTGATCTTTTCTTCTTTAGATCGAAGACATGCATCATCTGGTGGAGTTATCTTACAAAACTAGTCAACAAGAACGAGATATTACCATTAAAAACAAAGACGAATATCTCAGTCAGCTTCAAGAACGGATCTTAAAACAACAGACTGAAAATGACGAGGAACGAACGAGATTACAGAATCTTGTCGCGAAAATGGAAATACAGATGCGGGAACAGAGTAGAAAATACGAGGAGGACAAGTGGAAGTTGACTCAGGTACAAAGCAATGATCTCAGGTAATGATGACTTGTGAAGTTATTAACAGACAAAATACCATCCTTTCCAGGAGGATTCGAGGTTGAAATCACTGCGCATGTCTCTCGAGGAGGAGAGACGCATCACGCGGGAACAACTCGAAGCAGAGCGTGGTTTAGTTCAGAGGACTAAAGAAGAGTTTTTATCTCAGCAACGTCAAACGATGGCGGACATGAATGAGGAGAGAAGGACATTGGCTTTAGAAAGAGCTGAGGTGAATTCTGCTCAGAGAGGAATGATTAATAAAGAAAAATTAAAACATGATAACTTTACCAAGGTATGTATGGTGTATGTACTAGTTTTTCTCAACGAATAAGTTTTGAATCTTCAGGATATAGTTTTGGTGTGTATTTTAGCTTACAGTGTTTCTTTCTTCAGTTTGACGCCGAACAAGAAAGCGCCAGAGTTCGTCTGGCTGAAGATACGGCTGCCTTAAATGCAAGAGAGGAGCAATTAAGACGGGATCAGGAGGAATTCAGGAGAGAGAAGAGGATATTTATGGATAAACAAGACAAATGGAATACAGAGAAGGATCGTATTGGAAGACTGGGACTGGAGCTTGAGAAGCGTGCCCAGGAGATTGACGAAATAAGCTTGGTAAGATTTCATCATGATGAATGAAATGTAGTTGAGAAGAGTCGATATGATTCACAGCGAAAATATTGACTCCGGACTTCATGAGTGAAGTCTTGGTTTTACCAGTGGAGGTTATGATATGATTGTTTTATTTGTTGTTATAGGAGGCAGCCAAGGTTGGTGAAGATGGGAGAAATTCTTTGGAGCTTGCACAGCGAATGCAAGTCGAGATATCTCAACAATCAAATGAAGTGGAAACCAGAGTGTTGTTGTTACAAGAGAAAGAACGGCAGATTGCTGATGTAAGTTTTCAAACAACTGACCTGTGCGCACCTGATGTTCTCGGGTGATTCTTGACTGGTGTTTGTTTCTCTGCCCCAGGAAAGACTAGCAGTTCTGAAAGAAAAGAGAGAGTTGGAAATGGAAAGACGACGAGGGTTGTGTGCTCGTTGTTCCCGCGGTGCTCTGCTACAAAGTGACTCAAAACGTACGTTATGTGAAGAATTAGATGGTTCTTATAAAAATAATATCCCTGAAGGTTTTGTACAAGTAAATGGAAAGTTAACATGACAGATTAACTTTAATTTTTTACCTTTTCAAGTGTGAACATTTCATCTACTGGTATTTTATGTATTGTGAATATTCACTTCTACTCTAGGAGCACCAGAGTCAACCAGAGCCATTCATTCATCAGATTCCAATCTCTCATCACACTTCATCACAACTGAGGAGCTAGTATCCAGTCCTCTTCCTCCAAGAACAAGTCCTAGCTTGGCTCCAGACCTCTTGGCTAATACTCTTGATTTAAAGAGAACTCTGCGTCGTTGCTCGCTAGATAAGGAACAGGTGATTCATGAAGCCAGCGTGAACGTGTGTACTTCATGTAGTATGTATCGTAATATTCATATTACTTCGCTTCAGGACGAGGAATTTTTGGCAAAGGAATCGGAATTTCTTAACAACCTCCAAGACTTGAGATTACGTCCAGTGCATGGTACCTGACCTTGGGGATAATGTCGGTGGCTCTTCTCGTTCGGGTGAGTAAATAGTTAAATCTTGTACACCATACCACATACGTCCCTAATATCCGACATCCGTTTCGACGCATCTCGAGATTCCGTGCCCCGTCATAATACTAAACACGGGTTGGGTTGACGATAATGCGATGACGGCGATTAAGTTTATATGTCCACAGCTAGGTTGTGTTTGAATTGTTTTTATCATAAATCATGCGCTACACTTTGTGAATGTTCGTTGCGATGGGAAACACGTTAGGGGAATTATGCGATCAATATTAAACGATTGAGATGGGGTACTAATCTTTGATAATGACGAGGGTGGGTAGGCTATTGTGACGTAGCTATGGCAACTAATAATTGTTACTGAGAGACTGAGACGTAATGATGAAATGAGATAGAACACAAACCACAATACACAGTTATACGTGAAAACGGTTTTAACCGTTTTAACATTGGGAATGAAGTAGCTACATCATCTATGCAATAGCTTTCATCGTGAGCTCTGTATCAGGCAGTGAAGTAAAGACATGCTTTATTTAAATACACGAACCAAGCTTGCATTATTGACAACATGGCAAGGTTATGATAATGTTTGGCATTGTCCAACCGTAAGATAGCACGATTTTTTTGAAATCAAACAAACCCAAAGTGTTATATAAACTGAGCTTGTCGCTCTAATGTCCTTAAAAGTACGACATCGCCATATTTCCTGAATTCCTTCAAAAGACCAGATAATCCACAACTCTAGTAAAATAACTTTTTTAAACTAATTGGATCAGAAAGTATTTATTTCATATCATACTGACATACATTAAAATAAGGAATATAGAGTGATTTTTGAAGTGTGTACGTTGACAATGTAATCTGCACGACTGTAATAAAGCTATTATAAAGAACTTAGCGATCATAGTTTTAAGATAAGATTGAACTGCTTTTCGTCACGACACGGCATCCTTTCGTAGGCAACCGTAAATTTCCGACCAACTAATGAATACAAACTACACAAAGTCTAGTTAAAAAAACTTTATTGAAAGGTATCTATTAAAAAAAGCCTGCTCAATGGAATCTGTTCAACAGAACATTGAGTTTTTAACAACAATGCTATAAATTACTACAAAATTATGACAATCTCAAAACAATTAAGTTATTGGTTGGTTTAAATTATTATAAACTATATTCAGTAGATTTCAGTAAGCGTGATATATCATTCCTCAGATGATCAGTCGATAAGTCTCAGTGTTGTCCTTGAGGTTAAGCAAAATTTATGAATACGTATTTTATTCTATGAATATACGTGTACCATCTGATCGAATGTAATAACACTTTCTGAGAACTACATGATGAAGACTCCGTAATAATATATTCACCGTTCAACAGCGCTGTAGGAGTTCTTCATTTTGACAATACAAAACTCATCCTTTATACGAAATATGTATATAGGTGTATAAAATAGATCACGTGTATGCTTCAAGCATTAGAAAACTATCCATCAGTATTTTACTGAAACAATATTATACCATTTTGGGCTATACCTCAGTATATCCTATCAGAGGCCCATAGGTAGAGGTGAGAAGCTCTAGCTTACTGTCTCTTTACGAGCTGAATGGCTTTTGTAAAATGCTTGTGATGGTGTCTCAGCATTATAGCGATGGTTTTCAATGGTTTTAGCATTGTGTTTCAGCAATTTCTTGGATTGACTGAAGTAGGAACATGCATGCACAAGACGCTTCATTTTTAGATGTGTGAAATACCATGGAATGCGATCGGAAAGAAAGTATGTTTTCGATTTCAAAATAATATCCTGCGTCAATTTAGTGCCTCGATTTGTAAAGCTGTATATAAAGATACCGAGTTTGGTAGAAAAAATTGCGTTTCTTTCAGTCCAAACAACAAGAAATAAATGAATAAAATGCTTATACGATTTAAAACCATCCTAACACAAGCCTTTCATATAAAATATTTAAATAGTGTTCGTTAAACGTTGGCTTGTATTTCAAAGTTCTGAAATACTTTTGAAAGTAATTTCAAATACCAAACGCTTTTGCTAATCCCCTCATCTTCATCGAAACACTCCTTTCCTTTAGGAGAGAAAAAAGTTCAACATCCGGCCAGCAAATGTTATGTCTGGGTTTAGTAAACCTTACTGGTGAAGCGATAAACCAGTTTACTTCGTGGTTTCGTTAGAATCCCCTTCGCAATGTAGGTTCGTAACGATCTCGCGAAGTTCTCGTACTTCATGTGAGGTTTGTTTCTTCGTCTTCCCCATTGCGAGGCAACTTCAGCTGAGTTGAGGAACTTGAACACACCTTTTTCCCTGTCCACCCACTCGATGATATCCGAATATTGTGCTGGATTGGCCAGTAATTCGAACAGAAAGTGACATAGTCTTGGTCGTGATGTCTTTGTCTTGAGCACAGGACTGGTTATTGGGCTGGGCACATTCAGCGAAGGTTCGCTGGGAACTCGTTGGAACCCGGTAAGCGTCGACGTCTTTCCAACGATGGGATTTTGCAGGGGTGTTGTTTGTGGTACTTCAGGTTCATAAATGCTGCTCTCGTAAGGATAATAAGAATAATCCTGGCTTGGATCAGGGACAGCTAGGGATTGAAGTAGTTGTATGCGGTTGTATTCAGCATCACTGATCCATTTCTCTTGAGTGACTTTATTAGCCATCCCTGGATCTAGTTCCAAACTGCAATAGTGGTAAAATTATTATTAATATCTGAGGAAATACTAGAACTATTGTTGGCAAGCCTTGATATGATAACAGAGCGGGTGATGATGTTTCTCCTGGAGTATTTTAGTATTGAACTAGTTACCTTGGTTTCAATGGATTAGATTTATCACAAGTGCAGTGAGGCACGTCTGAGGAATAAGATGAACACGTGCAGTCATCGAAACTATGTGATTGGGCGATTTGCTGAGTCTTGTAGACCAATAGTTGGCTTTGAACATCTGCCTGAGTGCGTGTATTTCCTGAAGAGTCTGGTGAATAGTCGAAACTTCCTTGGTCTCCCATAATGCTCATCTTCACTAAATCACTGAGGTTTTGTGAATCATACCACGACGAACGACCTCCCATTGGGTCGCTACGTTGAAAATAGCCAGGATCATAATAACCATAATCTGTAAAACCGAAATGAATATGTGTTAAGCCGCTTAATTCAAATCAGAATATCTGATACAATTTCTTATCGAATACATTAGGGGCCTGCCTGTTACCATAATTGCTAAGATAGATTAACGAGTAAGAATGCGATAAGATTCTATTCTTACACAAGCCAAGGTGTAGTACATAAATTATATATATTGAAAATCATGTGATCTGATCAGAACGTGATCCACGCGTGACACGTCGATCCCACGCGCTTGTTTGTGCTAACATCTGTCAAGGTTATGACGTCTTCGAATTATAGAACGTGCCGACTAGGTCAACACCGTTCATTTAGTTATAGTTAACCTCTCGTAAACAAGTTCTGAGTCCATGCACGACCATAAGTACCGCCTGTGGTGTAAACAGATAAAAAACGATGAGGGCTTAAAACTCTGGTTTGGACGACGTGAGGAGATAACAGATGGCAGTGTTGACACTTTTTAAGATGAATAAAATAAAACGGCATTTATATAATGACTATATAATAAGATATATATATATAATATATTGTTCTTATATCATTACCTATGGATGATACTTCGTGAAACATTGTTAGTGTTTAATATATATTTTGTGGGTTGGGTTAGGTTATGCGCATGCTAATATCATTGCCAAGCTTTTTAGCTCACCAGCGTGGGTTCTGCCTGAGTGCTTTTCAGAACAGGTAGTGAGTTCACATTTAATTTTGGAGTATTGTAATCACATAGAGAATAGTGTGCACTACAGTAAAATAATATTTATGTAATATGATATGTGGAATAACAATGGCCCGCAATTACGGATTCAAATCACAGAATGTAAAATATGAGCTGTGTGTAGAGTACGCACATTCTTACACTAATATTTCTGAGCCGTTTGAAAATTTTGATAGCATGGAATGCGCGCGTTCCATTGTTCATTGTTTCACCAAAACAGGTCAAGACGCGGTAAACGTCTTTACTACTTGAGACTTGAGATAATTTCGTGATGATGGAGCCAGGCAATGACAAAAACAAAGTCTCGTGCTTCAAAGTTTCTGCCGCACAAACACAGCCAACCGTAGCTGAAGGTTTGACCTTAGAGTCAATTCCTCTTGATTTAATAGCATGCCACAAGACTATACTATTTCAAAACTCCAAAGTATCTTCCTCTTTTACCTCTGGTTGTCCTGACATTATATTAGTGAAGAAATGTTGAAGTAAATGACTAAATGGTCATCTCATACGAAGATGCGAGACGTTCTACGAAGAGTTGTATATTATTGTACAAATATGATAAATCATTTGGCATTTATTGCACAGGAAACGTGATATATTATTTCAAATATCTTGCGAATATCGCTTTTTCGTGCCGTAAAATAGCTGTGGACAACTTCCTGAATGTTGTGGCTTAATGAGATTAAATTGTATATTTTTTGAAGACTCCTCATCACTCGCGATAAGAACTCACTAAAATTTGCGTGACTTTATCATTAAGAAAATTATTCATTTTTACTTTCGTTCCTTGTCATTATCACTGTCATTGAAATATGGATGGACGAGGTATCGAAACCCGCGTTTCATTACATCATCTTACTTTAAATGAAACACTAATATAACGTGATGCTTGTTAGTCATTATTTGACGCTGTGCAGGAACGTTGATAAATATGCAGAACACAAATGAATTAATTTAACCGGCAAAGGACATTTAAGATATATCGTATGATTAAACGACGTGTTGAAATCCACTATTACAAACTGAAAGAAACATATATGCGTTCTTTGTGGTGAAGTGGCTGTTCTCTCGTGATCGTAAACGATCAGTTAGTAAAGTTGTCACATTCAACAATACACCCACGGCCCTAGCTTACCTGAAATATTGGATACACAAGTTCGATTCATAATAATCTCTCTGAGCTCTGGAATAACTACAAATTAAAACGAAACATGATTATTTGAAAGTGCATGCACGATACAGTGAGAATTACTATACACACTACTGCTGATGGATAGAAATCTTGACACTTAGCATGAAAATCAAACAATGTCGCTTCATTTTATCTATTCCACAGCTAAATATGTATTATTTAATAAGAAATATTGTGTTGATCACTGCTGCTGGATCAACGTATCTTGCGCGACCGTTCAACGTTACCGCAAAGTTAGTTAAGTTAAACAAAGTGAGAGACTTCCCGTGTCTAAATACTATAAACTAAAAACTTCCTTATTGCCTACTCCATTCACCCGCATATTTGAAAGTTTTAAACCTCAATTTGAAAGTTATGTACAAACCTCAAAGTACAAATACAGTAAAAGATCTTAATCGTCCAGCAAATGTGATGTTCAACTTTGCGCAAGCGTTGGATGACACGTCCTTGTTCTTACGTTGTTTATTGGCGAATAAATTTTCTTCTCTCGAAAACAAGTTGTGGAAGTTTTGTGAGTGTACGTCATTAATAACCTTGAGTGGGCGTTAGGTCATGTTATTCAAGGCTTGCCTTTGTGTTTATAACTTCCTGTAAGTCAAAAGCTTGTTGGATACAGACTCGAGGAACGTGGAACGTGTGTGGTTCATTGTTAAAGTGTTTCTGAGCGTCTCATCCACAGCTTCCAGCAAACGAACGGAGTTTTTAGTAAATATAATGTCTTTGAATCTGTCGAAATCTACTTTGTCTTCTTCGCTAGTGAATGTGGTTCATCTCTAGTTGCATTATATCTTCAATTTTTATTCCCGTTGACTCGTTCATCAATGAGGACCGTCATGCTCTTATCAAACAGGCTGTTTGCATCCAAATGGCTGGAAACTATTAGCCGGCCACAATGGCTTGACTTTCTTATAGTTATGGAGTAGTAATGATGTATTTAATGCTGGTGTTTGTTATATTCTCTAGTGGTAATGAATGAATGTCATTTCAATTTGTTACTGTAATTGTTCAACGGTTCCACGAAGCTCGACAACGAACCACGATCAACGACTATTTTCTTCATTGATTTACTCAGAACTCAGCTTCATGGAATGACACTTGTGTCGAAAACATCATCTTCCTTTCTTTTGTTATGATAATGAACCGAAATTACTATACCTCATCAAATTCCTTAGTAATTAATATACTCTATGACCAAAGTCTAACACCAATGATAATAATTACGACCAGATAAGTTTAACAGCGAGGCAAATTTCAACTTGAAGTTATTTTTAAGTTTATACCAAGTTTATTTTAAGCCAAGACGATGGCTATACTCTTAATTTTCTTTTCATATAAGATGTTTAATTTTGTTATTTTCCCACACCCTTTTTCGCTATTGTTTGTATAATGAACGGATTACATTTAGCTCTTTTCACATGACTTACGAGTGCGGAGGTAATCTTGAAGAATCAAGATCCGCTGTGGATCCGCAGGACGTGCCGTGATATACGGTCACAAAGAATTCTTGATACGGGATGAAAAAATACGAGGAATCTGTCGTGCGCGCCGGTATCCCATAGTTGAGATGTATTATTGCGAGATTAAACTTGATAAACACACTTAGTGTTACTACATGATCAGATAAATCCAATTAAGGCAAGTTTATATTAAGGTTTATTTTGTGAGGAGGGTTGATGATGGAAGTGCGAACCTTGTTTGAGGGATTGAAGCTTTTATTTTGCCAGACTCTACAATAAGGTAGCTATCGTGGTCTCAAAAATATATATCTTAAACGTGGTGGTCCAGTGTAGGTAGTATTCTACAATAAGCTGTCGTGGTTTGTGTCTGAACTACCTGAGAAAGATATCTCAAACGTGGTGGTCCAGTGTAGGTAGTATTCTACAATAAGCTGTCGTGGTTTGTGTCTGAACTACCTGAGAAAGATATCTCAAACGTGGTGGTCCAGTGTAGGTAGTATTCTACAATAAACTGTCGTGGTTTGTGTCTGAACTACCTGAACATATACCTCAAGTAGCTCTCGACATTTAGAACGACATCCTCTCTGCAAAAATCTATATATTTTTTAAGAAAGGCGTTTACTGAACATATTGAAAAATCTATTGTATATTTTTAGGTTTATTCCAAAAACCGGCGACAAATTTACCTAATTATCAGCGAGATTGATTGTTTCTAATGTCTTAAGTACAATAAAATAATCCTGATATGATTATACCGTGAAAGATCTTTAACAGCCAGTTTGGAGCCATAAAATTCAAATTTAGCCTACCGCACCCACACGGCAAACAATATAATTGTATTTCATGATTGATTTTAATCACTCCGGCAATATTCTTACATACACTCTCGTATCTTCTTTAGAAAAGTGAAATCGCTGTTCCTTCTTTCCTCGGATTAAGATCTTGGGTGGAAATAACAAATTACAGATCTTTTTTTATCATCAGACTCTTTATAATAAGCACGGGTGGAACCTCCTCTTTAGAACTAAGAGAATCAGCTTACGGTCGTATAATTTTGCAGTTGTGGTAAAAAATATGAGGATGTACTTATCAGGTTACAATACCACAATCCTGCAGGAGAATTTTTTGAAGTTGTTGCAGATTTGAAGGCGTTTAATTGCGCGTGTTCCATGATCAATAAATCGTTGTTTGAAGAACTATTTTGACTACGGCGTCTATGTTTTGCATTTCAACAAACATACTTCGCTCAAGCCATATAATGATTCCTTCACACAATATATTATTGCATATTCCATGTTATTATGGAAGGAAAGTCAATGAAAGATTTCTATTTGGAAAATGGGAGCAAATCTTCTGGTTTTAAGGATTTTCAGTAAAGTCGTGTTGAATGAAGTGTTTTGTTAGTTGTGATATATTTTTTATACATGCTTCAGCTGTATTTCGAGGGCATCCTACGCCATCACCCACACAGTTCTTGTGAATTTCAATGACACTTCAATCTCCATTATATATTCAGCCACTTTATAAACAAGTAATCTTTGTCTCATATTGAAATTCTATATTTCTCAACTGACGCATCCTAAACTGCAGTGCATTGTGGGTTATTCTGATGTGAAGACCATGGCTGTGAAGTAGCCAGGGTAGTTGATTGTTGTTTTAACAGCGTGTAACTCACGAAGTCTTCTTGTATGAGTTCATGCCGCAAATAATATCTCACTCCAGGGAGCCAGGTTGCTACGGGTGAAAACAATATCGAAGACTGAAAGTTACGTGGGTTGTGTGTTTCGATTCACACACACAAAAAAAGCTGTCTTCTTTGTCATTTGCATCTTAAGGCGAGCCGCGCCATACAATGAAGTTGGTAGTTCCTGAGTCGTCTAGTTATACGCCCCTTCTTCTCTTCTCACAAGTCCTGAGTATTGTATCTCTCAGCAGGTGGATTCTTCATTCACTCTCAGGTTGATTTGGGTCAGTGAAAAGCAAATCACTTAGGACCTAAATTAAACTCTACTCTAGATATTGCGCTATCTGTTCTACAGGGGAAAACCTAAACTAAACTAACTTTATTTATACTGGATAGCTCTATCAGTTCTAAACTGTTTTTCCTATAGAGGTCCAGTAAGGATCATCTCTTATTGATCCAGTGTTACTACAGGAGGAAACTTAAACTAAACTAACTTTATTTATACTGGATAGCTCTATCATTTCTAAACTGATCTTCCTAGAGATCCAGTAAGGATCATCTCTTATTGATCCAGTGTTACTACAGGAGAAAACCTAAACTAAACTAACTTTATTTATACTGGATAGCTCTATCAGTTCTAAACTGTTCTTCCTAGAGGTCCAGTAAGAATCATGTCTTATTGATCCAGTGTTTTACTACAAGAAGAAATGTAATTTCTTTCACTAAACTTGCTTAGCTATATCAGTCTGTGAACGCCTATATATATATATATATATATAGACAAGTATGCAGACTTATTAAGGAAGCGCAAGCACAACGCGGAAAAATACATTTCATAACTACATGTGGTACGACTCGTGATTGTTACAGAATTTTGTCAAAGTAATTGATTTAGAGTATTGATTTCCTGTCGTATTTTATACAAGAGCAAATATCGTATTGAAATATTTTAAGAGTCAAAATAGTTTAGCCCATAAACGTAGTATTTTCTTTCATACTTGTTCAAATATTTCATTCCAATTGCGCGTCTAACATAAACATAAGAGGAGTATTCAAAATCGAGCCAAAATAATGACGGGAGTTTACTCTGTAAATTATAAATTATTATGCAGATTCAGTTTTAAAAAATTCGGAGGATAATCTCGTGACCCTGAATATGAAGATAACAGAAATTATCATTATTTTGTAGTGTGTAATCTTAAAAGGTCTTTTTAAGACCCGGCATTGTTCAGCAATATTTCAGCGAACATCACAGCAGATAGAACATTGAAGTTTCACACGAGAACATTGAAGTTTCAAATTGACACAGCGCCCATTCATTCATCTCTCAAACAGCCAGCACATACGACGTAATTGTAAACATATTAGGTTATTTTAATAATGACGTAATATGTATGGTAATTCTCGCTCAGTTTTAATATCATGTGCTCCACAGATTTGGGCTCAGCCTGCTGCCTGCCTTCATTCGCGTGGATTTCGCGTGGGCTCGTGGTGAGAATTTGAAAATATCGGTGTCGCTATGCAGTGACAACTGACAAGTAGTCTTGTGGCATTGACCTCTGTAAACGTCTTAAACCATGCATTATACCGGCAACTCAATCTTGTAATGACGTGAATTAACATACGTCAGTATTGAGGTCATCATGCTCGCAACTTCATCCGTTTCTTAATTTGATAATAATTTTGCAATCATGTATTAATTGATAGATGTGTTGTTGTATATGGATATCCTTTATTTTTTTTAATAACCACCAGTTGGGGTTTTTAAGCCTTATCCTGCTAATACGTTTCTAAACATGTTAGAATATCAAGTAAATAGGTTTTGAATTTCAAAATCGTTTGACTGTTTTAGGGTAAAATATTTGATGCACTTGATTGCGAGATCTTCGGCTTATTCATCTTTACACAATCGGTAAATAAGATTCGCGTCAGAGCCTTGGATTTCAGGTCACGAAGTTCAAAGTTAAACACGCAAAGGCTGGTATTAATATTGCAATTGTAACACGTCACTCGCACTGGATCTTCCAATGAGTTGATTTTGTCAACAGAGAAACGTGTGTTAATATAGAGGTAGACTTGGTATATTGCATTCGCATTTGCATCTTGTTTTTCACAAGATCGATAAGTAGCTGTGCCAAAACCAGTGAGATGTTTACCTCACTATTACGTCATATGCAATTAAAACTATCAACATTCTCATTTGTGAAAGATTATGACATATCCTCTCTCATGTAGTTAAAAATACTATCATACCGAATAACGTGATTGACCGGCAACTTTTGAGATATCGTTTTCAGGTAGTTCAGACACAAACCACGACAGCTTATTGTAAAATACTACCTACACTAGACTACGACGTTTGAGACATCTTTCTCAGGTAGTTCAGACACAAACCACGACAGCTTATTGTAAAATACTACCTACACTAGACTACGACGTTTGAGACATCTTTCTCAGGTAGTTCAGACACATACCACGACAGCTTATTGTAGAATACTACCTACACTAGACTACGACGTTTGAGATATCTTTCTCAGGTAGTTCAGACACATACCACGACAGCTTATTGTAGAATACCACCTACACTGACTACCACGTTTGAGATATCTTTCTCAGGTAGTTCAGACACATACCACGACAGCTTATTGTAGAATACCACCTACACTAGACTACCACGTTTGAGATATCTTTCTCAGGTAGTTTAGACACAAACCATGACAGCTTATTGTAGAATACTATCTACACTAGACTACCACGTTTGAGATATCTTTCTCAGGTAGTTCAGACACAAACCAGGACAGCTTATTGTAGAATACTACCTACACTAGACCACCACGTTTGAGATATCTTTCTCAGGTAGTTCAGACACAAACCACGACAGCTTATTGTAGAATACTACCTACACTGGCCTGAAATCACTATAACATAAAATAGCAAACCAACCTATCGAATGTAGTATTATTGACAACCACTCACACCATGACTTAATTGAGAAAACATAATCTACATAGACACAGCTATCAGATTAAAACTACCCCACGGTTCCCGAGTAAAGCTCAGTTCATGTATTTCCATGCAAGCGCTCTTACCTTCATACAGATCCTCATATGCGAGATCAACATCAGAACTTTCCATTTCCTGCAAAGTGACACCATACATTAGTTAAATAATGATTATTTCACTGCTTTTCTGCTGTGTGAAGAGAACTTGTGTGCAACATTTTGACCTGAAAACGGCTGTGGTTGGACCGTCCAGGGCGAGCAAATTTAATTAAGCAATGAGCGGCACGACACATTAAGTATTCCTCTCACGTGCAACGTGATTTCCTAATCAATGAGAGCATGAATTACTGGTTAAACTACTTTCCTGATGAACGAAAAATAGAAGTAATCAAATCACGTTATCGCAGTGAAAGTTTAGACCATCCAAATCATGACAACTTATTGTAAAATATAACTTACATTGAAGCAATATGTTAAGATATTTCGCGTAGTTGAAACACGTAATGATTTTGGCAATTTATTCTGGTAAGTTCTGGTATAAGGTAAAGCTGTAGTAACGTCTTTAGACGAGGCTCATTATCAGTGCAGGGGGGCAGTTAGAAACTGCAGGTATAAGAAAAACTTCACTTAAGGTCCATAAAAGTCATTTTCCTTCGACGGCTTTCTTGAAGTCACGTACTTCCTTCCTCTTTATCATTTTATAATAAGATGTTGTTTAGTAGCGCCTTCAATAAAGAGGTTTTTCTACTAAACTGGAACAAGGCCACACGTATATTGAGTTGTTTATTTCACGTTAGAGGATTGGCATAGTGTCGTGTATCATTAGATAAGAAACCTCTTTCAAGAGAAGATTCAAATTAACAACATTCACGTCAATATTGCCTGTTTTTTGGCAGGGCAAAATATATCGTAGTTTGTATCGTTTCTCTCGTATGAAATTTCTTAGTAAAAACATGGGCACGCGAGAGATGATGTCTGGTTATAAGAGGCTGTTTATATAATTATAAGCGTAAAATTATCGTGAGGTTATTGAAATAAGTCTGCATGTAACAAGCACATGGTATTTTAGTAATGATTACACCATTGACAATGCCAGGTTCATGTTATATATTCATTTCAAAACTTTAAACTTATTTCATGATTCGTTTCATCTCAACTATGTGGGATCATTCATGTATGTACATGAGCAGACGCTATATCTCGTAGTATTCGTTGAGAGGTTTGTCAGGTAATTACCATCGCGAGCGCCGCGCCCGTACGCCAGTCACGTAGGGACAGCAAGGGATCATGAAACGCTAAGCATTCACAAGTGCGTGTTCAACATCGTCTAGTTATCTCGTCTGTGTTTACTTAGTGTGATATACGTGATATCACGTATAGTCTTAACTTGTGTCCATCAATCTTCACCACATATAAACCACTCTCCTAAACTATAAACTAAACTAATTATCTAGGCTGATCTTAGCCGGAACGTGGATTAACAGGTGGATAATCTTTAAACCAGATCGGTTAAACCAGGATCTGTCTCTCGGTATTTCGAATTCGTGGGTTCACAAACCAACCACGTCGTAATTACTATTGATCAAACAACAGCTGTGTTCCCACAGCGTGGGTGAATGGCTGAATTATGACAGTATGGCGCCCTTTCATTCAAAGACCAAATACATTGAAAACCATTGTTATTGCGACTTGCAAGTTGCAACTTTCTCTGAATTGTCGCACGAACAATCGTTTAATTAACAAGAATTACGTGAACAATCGTTTAACTAACAATAAATCGTGAGGAAATTGTGAGGAAGAAGAGAAGTAATGATTTAAAAAGGGAATATTGTTGTCGTGTATCTACTAGATTATTGAATGTCTAATTATGATAGAAATCTACCATGCTGTGATTACTATGGTGATCTATAAGCCCACAAACTGTATTCATACAACGTGGGAGGAACCTACTCGGAAGAGAAAATTGTAGTTGACCAAACCGTGGACAAACAATAATTTCCTTAAGTTTGGATATCCTCAATCGATTCCGTACAAGCGGAGCTATATTTATGTAAAGATGTATAGAAATTCATTTGTTTCAAAACCAGGATACAAGGTCGTATTTTGCACATCCAGGGTTGGCATTTAACCTCTAGGATTGAGTCAATTTGAATACAAAAATTTACTGATTAAAACATGGCGTCATAACCAAATACATTCGTGATCTTTTATTTACTTAAAATTCACAATGCCTTTTTCTTTTGGACTGAAGCATTTCAATCTGTCTGGGTATGGATGTTTATAATGCGCGGTATTTGTTAAAGCTTATCTTGTAATCATATTTAATCAATTACTAGTCATTATCACCTTTTAAAGGAAACAGGAAATTGTGTCAGTTCGCTTTCAAGACGGAAATCCTAAAATAGAGCGACTTAAATTTATCTAGAAATGTTCCCATGAAATTGATCGTTTTCGTTGTGCTTGTTGTAATGATATCATTAGCCGTTTTCCTCTTTGAAGCGGACCATTTATCACAGTGCTCTTGGTAACTGCGATGAAAAACATGGTTGCTTCCAGTGTGTGGGTTTAATCTATCGAAACACATACTGTGTAGGATTCTCTTTAATCACGATTGTGGGGATTCAGTGGCCACTGTGATGCAAAGACAGTGATCACTCAATAGAGTTATTCGTGCAACCCACTCATTTTATTTTCTAACCTACGTAAGATGTTTTTTTGAAGCGAACAGCTGCCTTCGCGACCATGGTAAGATAGTAGGATTAGTGCAAGCTAAGATCTGATGCCGTTCTTCAATAAATATTATAAACCCTGTATGATAGCGGCCGTCATTTGTCCATTCGAGTACTTGTATTACAGTAATATACGCCTTTTCGTTTACTTATTGACTATTTTTCAACTTCACATACCGTTATCTTGTGATTTGGTTTTCTCCAAGGCTGGGCAATGTCCGACGGATTGTACGATATTTGTTCCACAAAATGTCAACACGATATTTAAGATGTCATGTTCACCCGGGCAAATTACAGTATAAAATGAGCTGAAGGGATTCACCACAATATTTAACTTGCGTAGGATCAAAAGTGCCACGCATTTTACTGTTGCGTGGGTGAAGAATACGGAACACGAAACAGCAGCGTGGGTTTTTATATGTATAAAACGTTTCATGAAAGAATTTTATACCCATGCATGTACAGTGTGTCTGAACACACAGTACATGGGTATAAAATACCCATGTATACAGTGTGTCTTTGTCCTTTTAGTTGTCCTTTTAGTTGTCCTTTCAGTTGTCTTTTTAGTTGTCCTTTTAGTTGTCCTTTTAGTTGTCCTTTTGGTTGTCCCTTAGTTGTCCTTTTGGTTGTCCTTTTAGTTGTCTTTTAGTTGTCCTTTTAGTTTTCCTTTTAGTTGTCCTTTCAGTTGTCTTTTAGTTGTCCTTTTGGTTGTCCTTTAGTTGTCCTTTTAGTTGTCCTTTTGGTTGTCCTTTTTGTTGTCCTTTTAGTTGTCCTTTAGCCGTCTTTTTGGTTGTCCTTTTAAATGTCCTTTAGTTGTCCTTTTGGTTGTCCTTTTGGTTGTCCTTTTAGTTGTCCTTTAGTTGTCCTTTAGTTGTCCTTTTAGTTGTCCTTTTAGTTGTCTATTTGGTACTGTACTGTAGTCAACCGGCGTTATCCATAAATATTGAACATAAAATAGACCTTTTGCATTATAGACTACTGTTTGATCGATGCAAAATAATCCAATCAAACCAGTATATATCAGGCGCGGATCCAGACCGTATCGAACGTGGCTCGAGCCACGGTCAGATTTTCCCATCCAGAATTTTCCCATCTGCAATCTAATATTCACACATTATTTAGAAGTACATATTAATTCTTTGAATCACACCAGAATTAAGGAAATATATGTCTAAAACAAATAATTTGAGTAATATCTTTCGTAATCGTTGTCATATTATTACCAATTCCTGCTAAAAGTGGTAACAAATTCCCAATTATTATTCCTTGTTTCATATTATGATTGTTCAGTTAACACTGAACTATAAAATTCGCCGAAAGCTTGCCGAATTGTGCCGAGTATGTTCGGAAGCTAGTCGTGCATTCGAAGCTGCGATCACAGCAACTAGTTGACACGGTCAGCGTGCAGATTATTGCGCAATTGTTACTAAATATAGTAACGTTCGGACACGGTGCAGTGTAGCAAACCAATCACAGGGCAAGCTTTTGCCACGTGAGCCACGGTGCGACACGGTGCGACACGGTGGCCTGTTTTTGATTGCGCAATAAACATGATAAACAATAAAGTTCGACACTTCTCGACTTCGAACTCGGATATAGTTTACAAATAACATGTTAAATTGGTCTGTTCGCTGCATCCTGGCTGATTCAGGCTGAATCGAATGTATTAATACATGAATCCGTCGAAATTTCTCAAAAGCAAATCTAAGCGAGCATATTTCAGGGGAAATATCGCTCTTCAGGCTACAACATGATGGAATTATTACTAAAGAAAGGCTTCGCTCGCTCGCGTTATACAATCGCAACGACAATTTTTAAACTGCTATTTCCCAAGAGACAAATACTGAAAATCTTTACTTAATGTCCTTGTAAGGTAAGACTTTTAGGTTTTAAATCGAACTATGGGCGCTCTTCTTTATGCGGAAAAACGGCCAGACCGGTTCTGTTGTGTTCGGTAGTCGGTACAGACAAAAGTATATCGTTATTTACATCTGCCTAGCACAGGAAATGCAGTTTCACCGCTATATTCTTAACGAAATACTCTATTTCAATTTAAAATATGACCGGTCTGACCTTTTTGGCCGCTTAATGGAAAGCGCCATATGATACAAATTTGCATTTACGCTGTGAATAATTTGTGTATGCAAATCTCACGTTATGTTGAGTGTGAATGAAATATCCGTAAATACCTTAACAAAATTTTTGAAAATGGTTTTGTCGTTTTATGAAAGTACAGGGATTTACAAATTACAATATTCGCTTTTAAACGTTCCCCCTTCGCCATACGCCCCCCTCCCCCGACCGGAAAATTTTTAGTCCAATATGACACGGTCAGATTTTCGGCTGGATCCGCGCCTGTATATATATATATATATATATATATATATATATATATATATATATATATATATATATATATATATATATATATATATATATATATATATATATATATATATGGAAGAATAAGGAAAAGAATTCTACCATTTTGGGTCCGAATGTGGTAACAATTTCAGTGCGTTATTTTCGCAACCGAAGTTTGCCTTTTTGCTAATTTTGGTACGCGCTTTTCAGCTGTGGTGATATGATTGGATTATCTTGTATAGATCAAAAGGTAGTCTATAATGCAAAAGGTCTATTGAAAAACAAATGTACTTCTCAAATTCATTGTCGGAATTGAACTCAAAATAGTTGGCTGTAGTTTATACGTGAATTGGTGTACTTATTACGACATTTCTCGTATCTTGGGCATCCATTATAAGTACATGGTTTATTTTATATATAGTAAATAATAATAAGCCAAAAAGTCAAATCCAAAAGACAGTAAAAAGGACTGCAGAGTATTTTTTCTCTTGGGGTTAGGGAGACATTTAATCTGTCAGCCCCCAAAATAAAACTATTGGGGCTGGCCATCAGTCCTTGAGTTTTTTCATGAGTAGTGCTCCAGTGTTAGACTGTTAGTATTAGATCAGAAGGTGAACGATATCAATTACGTTATATGAAGTACTGGCATGAAAAGTAGTTTTGGAAAGAAGCAATTTGAATATTTGAAAGATGGACGTTTCTTGTTGCTGAGGTTTTTCAAAGTAAAATAAAATGGTATAGTCTGTTGTAATTTAATGGCATCAGCTGGGAAAGTCAGAAAACAAGTAAGTGAGTGGTTGTCCTGGAAATGTTGCTCTACTTTTTATGCGTTTCTATATAAATGACGTTTGTACTTTGTCGTATTTATAATATTATAAAATATCATATAAATATGATTTAGAGTGAATCACCCACTGAACACTGGACGGACGACTTGCCAATATGCACTCAATCTGGGGTAGGGTTTTCTCCAAACCAGCGTTATCGTGTTGATGGCGGAAGACGCGAGGAACACGAGTTTGAAGATCGAAGCTTTCACTTTCATTTCGAGGATAAAGATTGTTATTTATATGGTGTTTTTGATGGTTACAATGGCAAGAATGCAGCAGAGTTTGCAGCTCAAAAACTTCCTGCAGAATTATTGTTAGGACAACTCACAGGTAGAGCGAGAAATCAGTTCAAATCAACAATTGTGTGATGACACCACTCACCACTGGACGTCTCCCCCCCCCTCAATCAGCTAATCATGCCCCCCCCCCAGTTAGCAGCTCGTAGCTGTCTACCTTTTCCTTGAATCAATTCTTTGAAAATGTGTCTGCCTCTGATCACACATGCTGCTGGCCTGCTGCAGAAGATTTTATTCAACCAAATGTCACAAGATGACATCCTAATATTTTAGATGATATGAATGATGAAGATATCAAGATTGTTCTTAGGCAAGCTATAATGGAAGTAGAGAAAGGATTTTTTGACTCTATTGGTGATAAACTGGTTGAAAAGACTTTAATAGAGGAAGAAATTGCTGTGAGTTTTCAGATTTCATGACCTCTGAGTGTGTATAATTCCACTCGAAATTAAGACACTTAAAACCTCTAGAAATTATCCTTTAATTATGCTACAGGAACCAAAAAATTTCTTTTTTTTTTTTCAGGGTCTCAACCAGTATGATGCTGTTCAACAGTTTCCTGTGAAAGTGGAAAGGCTTCGTCTTATTGAACAAGAGATAGCTTGTGGTACAACTGCGGTTGTGGCATTAATCTATAATAATAAATTATTTTTGACCAATGTTGGTAACTCCAGAGCTGTCTTGTGCACCACTGATAGTAATGGACGACTTCATGTACAACAGGTATGTAATAAACAAATACTTTCATCTAATGTAGGTAGCGCATGTTTAATAATCTCGTATATTTCAGTTAAGTGCAGATCACATAATTGGAAATCAGAATGAGCTGATCAGATTATCTCATCTGGGGTTGGATGTTGAAAACATAAGACGTGGACCAAAGTTTGGTAATCATGAATCAACAAGATGTATTGGTGATTATACTGTGAAGGGAGGTTATAAAGAATTTGATATATTGAGGTAGGCTACTCATGATATGTGCTTTTTTACATATATTTTGTAATTTAATTGTTTGTGTCTTTTAACAGTTCTGCTACTGACGAGCCTGTCATTGCTGAACCAGATATTTTTGGTGGCATACCTATTGATGACTCGTTTTATTTGTTTGTGTTGATGTCGGATGGCTTGTACAAATCTTTAGAAGATTCTAAAGTCCTGAACCAAGACGTCAATGTTGAGATTGTTGGTTTAATTGCAACTGAACTGCAAGCCCAGTCTACAATAAATGGTGTTTGTCAGGCTGTAGTTGATAGAATATGTCGATACCACCATGATTGCTTTATGAATGAGAATAAACTTTGTGAAAGAAGAGATGATATGACTCTGCTTTTGCGGTTGTTTAATGCCCAGCTGGGTGGAAATACAACAAGCCCTGTTTCACCTCTGACCAACTTTCATCCCTTCTCAGGTAAGTTGCAATTTTTAAATATCAGGCTATTTGATGATTGGTTAGTAGCTTTGAGGTAAATGCAAATTTTTCATTTGACAGGTCAGAAGAATCTTGGCTTTGTCCAATTCCCTCTTCCAACAAATGGTGGTATTTTGTCATCCAGCTACTCAGCTGTGACAGATCTTCCTTATTCTACTCCTGGTGAAACAATGCCTGTGCCTTCAGATACAACAATGTCTTTTGCCACAGCACCTGTGACCTCAGAAATCACTCAAGAACCATTCACAGGATCAATGGCAGACACTACAACTGAAACACAAAAAGATCAAGCTGATGGTGGCTTTGTTGATTGCTATGTTGACTTCTCGGAATATTATAAAGCCATAGAAATCTATGGTGAAGATTATGTTATAAATTCTGTGCAATTGTAGTATATCAATGCTAAAGCTTTTTCATGTCAAATAGCCTGTCTAGGTTGGCTTGTAAATTTCATTTGTCAACTATTAGATTTGAAAAACAGAGATAAATAAATAAAAGAATGACCAGGAATATCAATTGTAGAATTTTATACCTGAACTATAGTCAATTTTACATCGATAATTTAAGCCTTTAATTATCGATGACAAAATATCGATTAATTAGTTATTCCATCAATTATTTTGAATAAATTATTCATCAAAAGAGGAATATATGACGTCATATAGCTACTTTTGTTTGATAGTTCCGGAAGATAAGAATTAGAAAATATCCTGGCTTTGTTTTGTCATGAAAAACGATTATTTCGCCACGAAATTTACGTTGTAGCTTTGGGAAATCTACGGTTTATTATAGAAATTGTATTCGTTTACTTTGTGAGTAAATAGTATATATTATGGGGAAATGTTTATCAATGTGTACGACGGCAGAGAATGTAAATACAACATTAAAATCGACAAGTAATTATGGCGATGGGTCTCAAACAGAGGTATATGAACCTAGCCAAATAAAAACACCACCGTCAGACTCATTGAAAGTCGTAGAAATACCTCGTTCTTACGTGACAAAGTCTGATTACGACGAAACGAAGATTGAAGCCATGTTTCAGAAATACAAAGATGAAAGTGAGGACGCAATTTTAGTAAATGGAGTGGAACGATTTTGTCAAGATCTTCTTGTTCACCCGACAGAATTTATTGTTTTGGTGTTAGCTTGGCAATTTAACGCCTCAAAAATGTGCCGTTTTACTAGAGAAGAATTCGTTGACGGGTGCAAATTATTGAAAGTCGATAATGTGAATTCAATTAAGAACAAAATGGTCGATATTGAAAAAAGAGTTAGACTAAACAATGAGGATTTTCGCGAACTTTATAAATTTACGTTTGGATTTGGCTTAGATGTTGACGAGGGACAGCGAAGCCTGCCTGTAAACATGGCTATTCCACTATGGAAGCTTGTTTTTGGTGAACATGGCCCAGAATATATGGATAAGTGGTATGACTATATTGAGGAAAAAGAGGTGAAGGTCATACCCAGAGACACTTGGAATATGTTTCTTCATATGGCCGAAGCAATAACACCTGACTTCAGCAATTATGATGAGTCAGAAGCATGGCCCAGTTTATTTGATGACTTTGTTGAAGCACAAAGACACATGACTTCAAATGGAAATGCAGAGATAACAAAATAGATCATGAGAACTTAATACATCAAATATTAAAGAATAATTTAGTGAAGTGAGACACAATATTTTATATTATTTTTAAACATACATTGCAGTTGGTCATGTATATGATGTGATGGCAGATAATAGAGGCTCCATATATCATTAAAGCTTGACAAACTGTGATGTAATGAGAGTTAATGTAACAATGGGTCAAGATAATATAATGTCATAATGAAAATGGTAATATCGACAAAGATTAAAAAGTTGGCTTCCATCCAGACTTGTTTTATAATCTGATACAAATGACATGGCAGGAAGATCATTTATTAAAACAATTCAACAAGGAAAATTGTATCCTCACCAGCAGTGTAACTAGAACGATAATATAAATATTTATATATCCAGATCTGCCCTACGGATTTCTTTTGTAATTGCACTAGCTTACAATAGAAATCTGTCGGGCAGAACTGATTATATATCAATATCCCCCCAATTATCGTTCTAGTTACTCCCCCTGTATGTCACTCTAATTTCATTTGTCTATTCTTCAGAAGGAAGCAAAGGTTTATTAGAGAATAAAACATCATAGGCAGTAATGAAAGTTGTCTTCACAACATGACAATTTTACTTGGAGTTTATGACATCATGCTCACTTTAAATTACTTACAATTACTTTCTAACCATTCAGCATCACAAAGGTGGTTAGATTGTGATAATTGTGTTGTTTATTGGTAAAATGTTAGATGCTTCTCAGCGATCAATCAAATCAGTGAGTCACTAAGATGCATTCATTCTCTGGATCAGATCAGTTTAATTCTTAAACCCAAACATACTAGCTGACTGCTGTTAATACCTGTACTTTCTTTTATTTTGAGTTTGATTAAGGGGAGAGAGATTCAGATTTGGAGGAGATTTTGTGAGAAAAGAATCTGATATTTACCACCTGCTCACCAGAACGGCAGGACCTTAATAGTCTGCTCCACCATAAGTGCGCCTCCTATCCTGTCTATATCATGAAAAAGGGGTTCCTGAATCCTGAGAAAGATTCTTCATGATTTGTGAAGAATACATCTCACATGAACGTATAGAGTTACTCCTTGCTCCTGATCTTAACCAACGTTAATATCTTTGCTCTTTGGGAGAATGTTTGACGTATCTATCCTAATTGAAAATTCAACTTTCTAGAAACACACACGCATTTTTTAAATTATTTTTGTCGTTCAAGCAGGATATAATACTTCATGGCTCAGTTTTTATCTGTTTTCTTCATGTGGGAAAATAGAAATTGAAAATCTGTGAATCGTCACTCTTTCATCATGGTGGATCTGGTACGGCCAAAGAAGAGAAGATATTTTACCAAATGCAAGTTGGATGAGTTGTTTGGTACGTATTCATCCAATTTCCTTTCCTCAACCATGTTTTATTTTCGATCAATCCGCGCGTGATTATCAAATATTATTTTTGCTAAAAACCGGAAAACAAACAAAAAATTGCCGTGTTTGTAAAATTATAGTCGGATCCGAAGGTACATGTTTGAACAGAACATCAGCGTGACATTTACAATTTTTATATGTCAAATTTTTTTATTGTGATATCCCTCATAGTGGAGAGTTGATTAATGAAATAATTGGCATTGCCATTTCCCCGACATCTTGTAGTTCAAGGCAAGTTAAATAGCTAGACAACAAGGGAAGTTCTCCGTAACCTTTGACATGATTTATCGTTCGATCTGGTAATATGATATCACTTGTGTTTGTCACTTGGCTGTTGGACTTAGTCACAGACACTGAAAGTCCGCATTGCCTGACACATCATGAAATATGAAAGAATAAATATATTTTTTAGATTTACTGAAAAAGTTTTGCTGTAGTGAAGATTGTCTTCTTTCAAAGACACATTCAAGTGTTAACTACGAGATCATCTCATTGGCATTCGGTGATTGGTTCACACAGATGTTACCTAACGAGACTGAAGATTTAGACTCGCACAAAGACATGGGAAAGATGGTAAAGGCTTGTGTAATTTTCCAAAACAATTTCGAGAACGTCTCAAAACGTCAAAAGATATCTGATGATCTTGAAGGTATCCAAATAAACAGAAATTATATTAATTGTTAGTGAATTATCAATTAATTTGTTGTATACTAAAGTTCCGAGCCTTCACAGGGGTAACAGTACACCCGTTATGCTTTTGAACTACGCGCATTAGAATATGAAAGATTTGCATTATTTGCGCGTTCTTTCGTGTAAACGAACGACAATGGCCGATTGTGAATTTTCAACATCGCACGTATGAACTAGTGGAATGAGTATCAGTAAGATAACTGTTAAGAACATCTGATAAGTGCTTGATTGATGATGCACAAGGTTAGATATTAGGTTATTTCAATCAAAGTCATCTCAGATTAATCTTTCTCACTTTTTCTTCCCCGCAAAAAACCCAACATTTCAGCAACGTTTGTGTTTACACTTAGTTCAAATCAAGACCTGTTTCATTTTATATCAATTCGTTTATCATGGAGTATTGTAGTTGGGCAACGAGCACTAAGACTAAGTTCAATAGGAAACAGTTTTCGAGAACAGCGGCTAGCCGGAACACCACCTAGGCACTTACTTCTCCCTCCAGGCTTAACTTTCATCAACTCGACGCTGAGCTTTGATATACATGCAAAACTAATCAATCCTGGAATTTTGAACGAAATTCTGTTCTATATTAGACTACTTGTTGATTTTGGATAGGATGACTTCTAAAATAAACAACGTCTTTTAATTTTCAAATTCTCCTTCTGGTCAAACGACTGCCCAAAGGATAATGGTCATAATTAAACGTATTCTTGAGGCGAAATACAGAACACTGGTACTTGTGAGTTCGCTGGGCAACTGACATGTGGAAATAAAATACATCTGCTTTCAATTACCAGAAGAAATTTATTATTTCTGATAATAAATTTGGACTAAATATAAATTAATTTTCCTGAGTCTGAGAATAGAAAGTGAAAAATGACGAAAAGGTTTTATAGACGCTGTGAAGATGAAATACGAATTCACTTTTATGTATGCCACTTATATACAATATTTTAGACAGATGTTAATATCGGGTTTTTAGCCTTTTGACCTCTCGTTTCCCTTAGATTACTTCTCGAAACTACTCCACCTTATAAATTATATATATATAACCACTTTTACTTTCCTTCTCTGGTTTCCGAGGCTTTACAAGCTACCATCCTTAGAGAAAGCAATACTATTTCTTACAAAAGGTAATTTTGGCTACTCGGAAACTAAGTATAACGATAAGCAGATTACCAAAACAGGCTAATGATACACAAGTGTCATAATTTCATCTTACAATATTCTCCTTTATTTCAATGCATCAGCTCTTTCAATTTCTTTCTTTCATTTCAAATATTGAAGCATCATCTTGCTCAGAGTTGCTTTGAGCGTAAATATCAGAAAAACTGAAGAATATTTTTTATCATGTACTCTACGCGATGAGTGAAAGAGGTGGATATCAGATGACCTATTGCATGTGCTGCAACTTACTCTGTCTCGTTCATTTCGAATTAAATGACCAGACTCGTCATGCACTATCAATACACTGTATGATTTATGTTTATGGCATTTAGTATATTTCATCTGGTCAAATCATTAATGAATAAAGTTTCTTTGATCGATGACGTTAGGAGTATTATTAGCTTTATTTCAAGGAAAGGGTCATCTCACTACATCGTTTTTTCCTTTGGTATGCACGGACCATTTTTAAGACCGTTAATTACGAAATCCTAGCATTCACAATTACTTAATTGAGTCGGATAGATATTTAATAATCAATGTTGCTGATCTGTCTATTCACTGCGGTTTCCGTTGCAAACGGAGACATTAGATAACACTGCGGTTTATATATCTCATTTTTAAATATTTTGTTATTTAAAATTGCTAAAATGGTGATTATATTTGATTACAAATAGATATAGTATTAAAAAGTACATACAATCATCAATAAGTTATCACATGATACTGTATTTGTGCGATGACGTCATGTTCTTATGAAGGAGAATAACAAAGGTTTGGTGACTAAGGTCGCCATTAATTTGATGAAAAAAATGAAAATGCAGTGAGCCATGTAGGCCGGAAATCTTTCACTTCTGTTACCTGTATTGTGGCTTCTTTTATACTTTCCTTATATCTTTTGGCGTGTAGATATGGAGCAAAATGCTGGCTCTGCGGAAGATTTGGTTTTCACTCAAAGTTTGAGTCATGAACAACTACAGAATAACCGAGAAGGTATGAACGGATAACAGTCTACTTAACCCTGACTTTATACTGCGCATAAACAACAGGGTATAATGCTTTCCTTTCTATATATTTCATGCTTAGTTTTGGCTCGTCGGCTACAGCTTCGTAGGCCACGAGAAGAGCTGGTTAATCAAGGAATTATGCCAGGTTAGCTGTCCATACGTTTTCTCGATCAATTTCACGTAACATACAACAACAACCGTTTTGTCACAAGCATATCACTTGATACTTATGATTTCTTGTGTCTTTAGCCGTGTCTGCAGGGCCTATTATCCTGCAACAGAAGTCGAGACTAGAGAGGGCTAGGGTATGTTGTTTTACATATTTAATACTGAACATTGTAAGGAAAATAACAGTTATTAAATATAGAGTTTATTGTTATTTTAATACAACAACGTAGACAGCGGACAAAGTAGTTTATCACAGGCTATCTTTCATCGTTTAACGGTAGACTTTCATTTCCCCTCAAGTACTTTTGTACTAAAGATTAGTTATATTTTTGATCCATTAGAAAAGCGATATTTTGCAACGAAAGATTCGTGTGCGACCCGAAAGAAGTCAATTAATACAACGCCATATTCTTGAAGGTAGGGTTTGACTGTCAAAATATTTCGTACATTACAACTCTGAGAGCGAATCGATATTACACTTTGCAGATATTTATACTCGTGATATGGTTTTGCATATTTGTTGCTGAAGGTAGCCAAGTTTATGAACCCAGCTACTCTCTTTGTCAAAAACCATACACGATTGTAAATCTCGGCTAAATTTTTATACTGAAGTTTATTCACAAACAGCGTGTTAATTAATACACAAAGTACAAATAATTGTTGTCTGCACAGCAATATTTTCAACATATAGTAAATCTAATGTCCTCCATCAGTAAAATACGCATTGTTTCGTCTTAAGGATTGTAGTATTCATAAAAGATGCATTTAAAAACGGATTTCATTGTGATTATAATAATATGTAGGCAATTACAAAGACAGGGCTTTAAGTATTTGCAAATGAACAATACGTTTGCTCAAGGAAATGTCTCGAAATTTCATTTAGGGTTATCAGAATGCCTAAGGTACTAAGAGATGTTTTCATTTGCTATGTGACTGTGCTATAACATTTCATTGTGTGAAAAGGAAATATGTAGTGTCGTGAGTTTAAATGTGCTGTTGAAGACAGTTCACATTGCAGATTAGTGTTTGATAATAGGCGAGCAAACAGACAAATTTTCCTGAGCTATCAATTGTATAATGGACTAAATCAGTTTATTAGAGGTGATTTCATTCACCAAGATACTCTACTATAAAGAGATGAAGATAATTCTATTCAACAAATAGCATTGTCTGATAATAAGGATTCTAGATTTTGCTAAGTCTCCAATTTCATATTTTTTATTTAAAAATATGATCCACTGACCCATGATGGGTGATGTAAGTGATGATAATGAGTGATCTATGAGAGGAATTCCTCATACAGTCTGTACATATTTTCACCAACGATAACATATTATATTATTAAGATTATCATGTATGTGGTAAATAACAAACTACCTCATGTTCGTTTCAGATTCCAATGCTGATCCATCAATACAAGCTCGTCAAATATGTTTGAAGCGTAAGAAGCTACAAGATGACCTCAATGAGCGGCTGCTTATGCGTCCTGGCCCCTTGGAACTGGTTAATAAGAATATCCTGGAACCTGATTCATTTGTGAAGCATGCAATTAAAGAAGGGGCAGTTGAATATTCAGACACCACAGATTCAACCCACATCATCAATGCACTATCCCCACCAGAGTCCTTCAATGAGGATTCACCTCAACCATCCCCAGATAACACCTCAAGCATTGGTTCACCTCCAGAGTTGTCACCCTCACCTGTGTTTACCACTCCACCTAAGGTTATCTCAGGTGACCTGCCTTTCAAAGCCTATCCACAAATGCAAAGCACTCATTCACACATGAAGCTCAAAGATACCAAGAGAAAGAAAGTATCTAAAGCTAAGTTTAAGAAATATAAATATCATGAATATCGTCCACCAAATATTGAGACCAGCAGCAGCTCTAAAAGTGATACAACTCTTCCATCTGACTCGCCGTATGCATTACTGTTGCAACAGCAGCAGCTGTATCTACAGCTTCAGGTGCTATGTCAGAATTATCCACAGACATTCTTACCACTTTTACCAGCTGTGCAGAAAAGCAGCCCGGCTGATAATGCACCTGTGGATAAACCAATGAAATTGGAAGAAATGCGAGTTATTGATTTACGGAATGAATTAAAAAGCAGAGGGTTGCCTGTGTCTGGTTCCAAGAATAATCTAATGGAACGACTAAAGCACGCAAATGCGACACAAAGATCAGGTGATTCAACTACCATAACAAGCGCTGTTACAACTGTAACACAAACCACGCCTGTACCAGTTGCACCAAGAACTGCTTTAACCAGGTCTACCTCGGCACCAAGTGGAGTTGCTCTGGTTAATTCGATAAGACCTGGTAAAATATTGAATGATGCAGAAAAGTTATTACAAATGGAACAAAATATCAGTGTTGAGGAAATCCAACAAAAAATTCAGCAATTGCAATATCTTAATCTACAGTTACAGCTACAGCAGTTAGATCTGAAGAAAAGTCAACAAGGTAAGCAGCTGCAACCTAAACCAGCATCTGCTGATAATAAAAATCAGATGACAGCATTGCTTCCTAACCAACAACCCTTACATCACCCAACCTTGCCTCAGAGCTCTCCTTTACCAAGACAGCAGCTGCCACCTCAGCAAAACCAACAACAGTCAATACAGTTACAGAAGAAACAATTGGAACAACATTTGCAGCAACTTAAGCAAATGCAACAACAAAATCAGCAACAAAACCAACAATTGCAGCAGAAGCAACAACAAGAGCAAACACAGTTGCAGCAACAACAACAATTACAACAACAACAGTTGAAGCATCAACAGTTTCAACAGCAGCAGAAAATACCGCAGTCTAGTCACCAACAGCAACAGCTTTATAATCAACTAACAGTATCCCAAGGATCTGGTACTCCTCTGCAAGCGCACACTGAATCAAGTGAACCTGAGATCCCGTCAAGTAATGGTACAACATTACCACCTCCTCAACAGTGCCAGGTGTCTGTGTCAGCAACACCATTGCTACATTGTTCAGCATTGACCTGCAACAAAAACTGCAACCATGGACAACAAACAACAACACCACAAAGTATCTTTAACTCTGTACAACAACATAATGTGATTCACTTTAAACAGCCTGTGAAACCTGTGATTATTTTACAACCTCCAAAACTTCAACAAAAGGCAGAACTTTTATTCAGCCCACCAGATCAGCAGCTTACACCAGAGGGTGATGCATTCTTTCAACAGTTAAACAAAACTGATGGAAGCTTGCATGGTGAGATAAATATGGACCATGAAACCAACTGGCAGGCAATCATTGATGGTGATTCTCGCTCTCCTACAAGCTCACCAACCTCACTGGAGAGGTCTCCACCACCATATTTCGAGGCAGTTGCTGGGAAATTAAGTCCTCGAAGCTCAAGTTTTTCAAATAGTAATAATAATAGTTTACTTAAGACGCATCAAAGAACAAACAGCGTTGGTAGCACCTCGCCTCTGGCACACCGCAGATCCTTGTCTGTTCCGTCAGTAAACCATGGTCCACCACATGAACTTCAAAAAGGACATAAATCTGTTTCCTCAATATGTCTTGATTTTCCTGAAACTGAAGAAATGTCGGAAATGGCAGATAATTATCATGGCATAACGCAAGAGTTACAAAAGGTAAAAGTAATGATATAATAAGAATGCTTAAATTACTCATTTCAAACCTTGAATATCCAGCCTTTTTCACTGTACTGACGTGTTTTTCATACTTTAATATCGAATTCCTATTAAATATAATTACTGTCTTTTTAGTCGTAAAAAGAACTTGATCTAACCCGTGACTTTTTTTCTAGGCAATGATTATCGAGTCTCAGAATAGTATGGACAATCGTAATGCTGAATTGCTTGAGATTCTTGGAGGTAAGAACAGAGATTTGTTTCACGTTTTATGAATTCGTCTTTCCCAATACCTCTTTGGTTCGTTCAACAATCCTAAACATCCAGTAACACTATTAATTATTTTAATTGTCTTTTGCTGTTATTTTCAACTAATTTTTTCATCCGACAGATTCGTTATTTCCTCCAAACACGGCAACTGACAGCGGGCTTACTTCAAGTACTCCAAACTTGAACAATTATTCTTCGTTTCCTTGTGGAGGAACAACTTACAACAGTTCATCTCCAAAATCCCCAAGATCACCAACAACTAACCTTCCTACTTATCAAGAGGCTTTGCAGAACAGTATTTGTGTACAAAGTCCTACTCCAGGCAACGCCTTCAACAATAATGAACTGTTAAATGGTTATCATGAACCAATCCCACAACGTAAAATATCTTCACCAAATGTTGAGGATAGTCTTTTAACGAGTCCTGGATCTCCTATGAGGGTAGACAGTGATGATGTTGGATTACTACAGAGGAGTGTACTGGATGCTAATGGATACAGAAGAGATAGTTTTGAAAATTTTAGAACACAAAATGTGCAGGACAGTTCAATATATCACGTAAATCCAAGTGATATATTTGGTAATCCTAGGGAGGCGCGCTTGATCAAGCAAGAAGATACAACGCTACCTTTTCTAGATATGGAAACTACAGAGTTTGCAGAGAGTATGGACTTTGGTATCACTGGAGATTCTGGGATTCTAAGTGGTATAACATTTAGTCAATAGCGATTATATATTTTTGTACAGTTCTATATATCATATCTAAATTAGGATAATTTACGCTCTGCGGGATATATGAAAACATTCTTACCTAATGGTTGCTTTTATTGCGAGGGGTTTCTTCATAAGAAGAACAGAGTGTTTTCAAGGAAGATAAATAGTTTTAAGGGCTTAAAAGAAAGTTAAAAGACATCAATATCCTAACTTTATAATGAAAACGACACAATTCCATATTGGTCCTGTGCTATGTATAATAATTGCATTTGGACGACTGAGAATTTCAAACGTGTATTATAAATAATGTTGCTATAGTTATGATAAGATAAATGTTGTAATATTGTCCTAATTACAGTACAGTATTAATTAAATCATTTTCCCAGTCTGGGAATTAAATCTATAGTAACTAGTTCATTTCTTTTAATTCACCATAATTCACCACCTGATCACCAATCATTTTCGACAGATTGTGCCAGGGATTTTGGGAAGTAACTTAATAAAGGAAGTTTCCGCGTAATGTAGTGGAAGCTATTGCAAAGGCAACAAGAGTACAAGACTTTATTTTGGAAACGTTTTTTTTACTAAAAACGATAAATAAAGTTCCACAAAACCTTCATTTTCATCGCTTTTATGCGTATTAAGCTTATCAGAGCTTAGAGAATCGAATGGCTGCACTCAAAGCTTATTTTCTGGCTGAAATTTATTGACCTGGACTAAAAGAACGATGCCATTTCATCGTGTCAATAGGTTTGTTGTAGTTGGCGGTCTGATGTGTGCTTTTGCAGACTTGTTTGCAATTGTTTCACTATTTACACCGAATTGGGTTGTCAATGACTTCTTGGGTAAGGATTTGTTCTAATTATATATTAACTGATAATTGTTACAGTTTTCACAATAATAAGTATATACTATATACAAATAGAGGCAATTTTATAATTTCAAGTTGTAACTGGAATTTTTGTTTTCTTTTTTTTGGCCCTTATTCTGCACTAGCCATCACGTACGTCAACTATATGTATATTAAAACTTGAATTGATTGATAGGTAATGTCAAATTTGGTTTGACAACTCTGTGTCAAGAATCTATAAAAGGAGATGAGGTGTGTGTAACTCCAAATCTTCCTCAGTCATGGAAAGTAACCTTGGTGTTTGTTATTTTGGGTATGCTCACACTAACACTCACCTCTGGTCTCACTGTTGTGTCATTTTGGAAGCCAAAAGCCTTTGAATATGGGAAATGGCTTGCTGTCGTTGCATGTGAGTCATAGTTCAGTATTTTATGAAATCATCAGACATAGGATATTAAGTTGATTACTAAAGGAAGGGGGCATATTTATGTAAATTGAGTTTAAATGAGGTTGTTAAATTAGAATAGTCTGACCAGTGATAAACTTTACTCATTGGTAAGAGGTTGTGATAAACCTCAGTGTAAAAGTTAGTTTTTTAATAAAAGGTTAACACAAGATAATGGGATAATTATCTGGCATAAAACAAATAAATTTATCAAGGTTGGTTGACTTGATAGGTAATATCATTGATTGTTTATTTTCTAGTAATGAAGTTGTGCTTTGCATCAATCATATTTCCTATTGGATTTGGAAGTCCTGAAGTTGGAGGAACACCATTTAAACTACCTCCAAATAACTCTCTTGGTTCATCTTATGTCTGCTTTATTCTTTCAATGCTGTTCACATTGTTTGGTGAGTTATGCATGAGGAAAGGACAAGGCATTGGCTTTCATTGAGAATAAATACCATACCATACCATTGTGGAAAAAGGTACTCTTTATTATATTGTATTTACAGTAATATATATAAACTGCATTATCTCAGGGATGTAGGGTCAGTAGGACCAAACAAGCACAAATTTGGAGTGCTAAGCACTTTAGGTACCTGCTGCTTCAAACATAAATTAAATTGCAAATGATTTCATGAAGTTAAAAATATTATTTCTACTTCATATTTGCTGGGCAAATTCAAACCAATTATGTTGACATATTAGCTTTTCACTGCCACATCCTGATCGAGACAAAGTGAAAATGAAATAAAGGTCTTGGGACATTTGAAGTGGAATTGCACCATTGGTGTAATTTGTGTAAATATTTAGCTTCAGTTTGATGCAAAATGTAAATAATTGTCACATAGAAATTTTATGAAATGCACTAGCTCACAAATGATGAGACTTTTATTAATTAAATCATAAAAAAACGATTTTGAAAACAATTAAACATACAAAATCACATTATTAATGTTCATCCTACACCAGATTAGCTCTAAAATTAGACTATTTTAATATGTACATCATGTGAAACAGGACAAAGGTCGTTTTGTCTTGTTAATTGTATGTTTTTTCCTTGGCCAGCCTGTTTGATTTGTGGCCTTTGCTTCTAACTGTTCACTGTATGTTCGAAGATTTAAACCTGAAGTTGTTTGTGGAATCATACTTGAAGTTTGGTGCATTGTAGAGTCCACATTTTTCACTTTGACGAAGTCAGCAGTCTGTGGTCTTCGTTTCACATGTTCCCTTGTTTGTTCTGCTGTTGGCATTAGTTTATTTTGAGCCAACACAACGTCATCAGCAGACGTTGTCCAACCATGATGTTTGCTATTGAATTCTGTCGCTGCTGTATAATGTCTTCTTGTGTTATGGTGACTTAGCCTGCTACCCAAACTATGTCCTGGAGTTCTCATTCTTTCTTTATCAAAGAAACAACCTTCCAATGGCAGGACACTTGAGTTATTTGTTGTTTTGTTGGCATATGTTCTTAGATGGGCTGGTGATGATTGAGGGCGTGATTTAACCTGACGCTCAACCTTGTTACCAGTATGCTGCCTAGCTTGATGTAATCTTAACACATGCTGTTCAATACTATGAGAGACCTGCCTTGTCACATTGACAGGTGCACTTGATACACGTGACTTCCGCTGTAAACTGAATGGTGTCATGCTCACGGATCTTTCAAGCAGTGTGTTGAATGAGGGTGTAGAAGCAGCACGTTGAATGAGTTTATCCATGTGTGCACCTCGTGCTAGTTTTTGGGCTCGAATGTATGAATGAGGCCTAGGCTGAGCTGGAGAACTTGCAAAGTTATTAAGTGTTCCTAATGACTCTGGACGATCAGGAGGAAGATTGTAATTCCAAATGACTGCCTCAAAATTCAACACCAGAAGGTTACTAAGAGTGTTTATCACAATTCTGAAAATAAAGAAGAAAACAGTTGCTTTAGGATCAAATTACATTAAAATTTTCAATGAATGAATTTCTACCAGCTACTATCAGCAGTCCCTGTGATCTATAATAGATTGACGTCTTTTATTCACCTGTTATCTGCGACATACAAGCTGGTGATAACATCATTCTTGCTATTTCCACGGATAATGCGTAAACAGTCACCAGTCAGGAGACTCCAGATTCTTAACTACACAAACAAAACTATATAAGAATAAATTACAATCAATATCATTATTGAAGGTTTGATTATTCACCTTGCCATCAGCTGCCCCTGTGATGACTCGACAATAGACTAATTTGATACAATCAACAGCTTTGGGATGTCGGAATGCCTGCAGACACTTTGTGTGATTGCCAATTGTACTCCAGGCTAGTGCATAGCAGTCAGTACTTGCGCTAACAATATGATACTTATTAAATGTCACTCCACTGACTGGAGCCTGATGTCCCTCAAGACTCTGAAATACAAATAAGAAAACATTTAGACCATAGCAAAAACATGATGTTCTTCTATGATCTGAGTACTAACCTTGACTAAAGTTGCTGACTCAATGTCCCAAACTTTAACTTTCCATCCTTCACAACCACTGACAACAAGATTATCAGATATCTAAACAACCATGACTGTTATTCACATCAACTAATAATATGAAATCAAGTTAAATACTTTAATTTATTTTTATGAAACTCACATCTACACAAAGAACTACATGTCTATGTCTAAATGTTCGTCTACATTTTCCTGTCTCAAAGTTCCAAACTACAGCAAAAGAAAAAAAGTTAGGTGTCAGTGATTGAGCTGCTTTTTACAACTTTGTTAGAGCCTGTTTTATGACTAAATTAAGACCATGGTTGGTATACTTGCTTGTCTTCTTTCAACGAGACTGTTATTATATTGAAACAAATTTCACTTATTTACACTATACCTTTCACACTTTTGTCTCTTGAGCCAGAAGCTAGACTATTACCAGATAGTGCAAGACACAAAATTGTTCCTTTGTGGCTGAAAATCAAAATTGATGATGTCAAATTAATAAACTTTTATGTAAATGTAAAAAGTAAGATAGTCTATACAATATACCCTCGAAATATGCAGCTACATTTTCCATCACGGATACCCCAACACCTAAATCAATGAGTAATTAAATCAATTTCGGTTAAAACCATGTCCAAAAGTTTTAGCAAACACCACATACCTGATTGAAGTATCATAGCTTCCACTCAAAACAAAACCACGTTTTTCATTAATAAGCAAGCTTCTCACAGATCCTGAATGACCTTTGATAATCTTTTCAGTTCGTCCTGTACTGGCATTTACAAGCCGTACTCTTCGATCAGATGACCCAACTGCCACCATACTTCCTCCGTTGTATGTTGTACATCTGTTAGGATCTTCTGAATCTTGTAATACAAACACATTATATGCCCCACAAAATAAATTTCTTTCTTCCATTTCTACTTTCACTGTTTCAATTCCTTCATAGCAGTAAGACATGCTCCTAGAAATAAAATATTTTGTTTTAATTATATTGCAAGAACTATTGACAATGATGATCAAGACTGACAATCCACCTGAATTGCAGCTCATCTTCCCGGCATCTTAACATTGAGAATGAATGAGCAAGAACTTCTTCATTTTGTGACTCATCCTTGTGCATTGGAATGCAAACATTCAACTTCATAGCATATTTTGGACTCAGACCTTTGGCTGTTGCACCCTGAAATGAAACACAATGAAAATTAAGGATCACAACCCACATGAGTTATATTGCAAGATTTTAGATTTACCTGCATCATCATAACTTCTTCCATCATGATTTGATGCACAAACACGTCTTGCTGAACCTCTTCACATAATATCCGCCAATGTTTACTGATGCACAAACAGTTGATCAAACTTGCTTTGTCTAAGTAGCTGAGAATCAGTTTTGAGAGATGCACTGGAAGACAACGTATGAAGTCCTTGTGGTGCAGCAGTAAAAGACAAGATGATGACAGTTGCAAGTCTGTTATACTTGATGGCTCAACAGAGATGTAATCATCTTCATATAATTCATCATTGGGTAAATCTGTTAATACATCATCACAGGTCTGGAATGAAATATAAATTCATGTTTTATCAATCTATTTAAAACCTCACAATAGACATTAAAAATGCCTAGGTCACACAGATTGCAATCAATATAATTTAAATGGCCAATACAATGTAAAATAACCCTATATATTATACTAAACAGTTGCTGTGAATTACATTTAAATTTCTGTTTTTTACTGAACCAGATGCAGGTCTAGTGCCTCTCAGAGATGTCAGAATTGATCCTTCAACCTGAGAAAGTTTTGTTTTGACATCAGATGAAGCAAGGCTTGCAGCTTTCTGTTTTGGTCTGTTCAATGTCACATCAGGAGTAGGAGGATTTGATGAGGTTTTATAGATTGAACTGAATGTCACTTTTAATGATGTCCCATCATTTTGGTTACTGCTTTCATCTTAAAATAAATAAGAGAGCAAGACTGAGGACAGCTAGTATATTGGAAAAGTATTAGTGTAAATATTTTCCAAATAATATAGCAATATTTTTACTTGAACTTAGTATGATATGGGCCAGCAACTGCAAAAAGCTTTTGGCTTGCCTCTATAATTGTTTTAGTTCAGACTGTTTGGGAATGTCGTATTATCTTTAATTTACTGAACCAGGTGAATGGCAGTCACATGCATAGTGGATGATTGATAGATGATTATATAACATGGCCACTTCGATTCATTACTGACCTATATCTTCAACATATTTGCTTTCTGTCTCAGATAGATATTGATCATCATGAACCAGGCAAAAGCTTCGTGATTCATTGCCAATAATATGCAATAATTGTGCATTACATGACTGCAAAAGACCTAACATAAAGTTACATTTGGTCCAATAAGAACTTGATTCAAACCAATTCAAACAGTCTAAAATATCTTTCTTTAACTGGCTCCTGTTGAGAGCATGGTTTGAAACCGCGCCAGACATATCTTCCTTTAAACTTGGTCTATTTCTTGACCTCGAATAAATAAAATCTTTTCCTTCTAAGGTGTTTAGTAAATGATTTGTGTACTCGTGTAGATCTATGGAGTTATATCTATGAACCAATCCTAATACGAATTGTCTTTGTGTCTGTTCAGAGCAGCGTGGAAACCATTCTTTCGTGTAAAGAAGTTGGCTACCAAGCTCACAAGATTCACATTTTCCACATGTGGTAAATTTTTCTCCATTACAGCGTAGTTGAGGAGCATTGTGTATGCTTAGTTCAGAAATGGCTGTGGAATTATCGAAGTAAGGTTCCATCATTCTGTATATTCAGCTAAACCTTTTGCATTTTTCTTTATTTTTGTACATCACCAGGTAGTAATTTATTATCCTCATTCATCTTAGGTTGATAAAAGATCGAACTCATTTAAAATTAATTTTATTTTATTTGTTGTTCTTTTAATAATATATTTTTGTTGTCATTCTTGTTGCTTGGTAGCCTCGCCTTCTTCATAGAAAGCTAACATTGTTGCCATGGAAACAACGAAGTTGATATTTCCTCAAAGTGGTAGCACACACCACGAAGGTGAAAATCGAAGTTTCTTGCACGTGTTTGAAATCGTGTTTAAAACGTATTTTACGACTTTATTTTTGCCTCGGTGAAGCTTTAGCGGAGAGGATCGATACAGCGTTTTCAAAATGGTGAGTTGTGTATATTTTCAAGTATTTTGCTTGGTCTATAGTCACCTTATGTTGCAATTATCATTGGAGTCTTTAATGAATAGTTAAAATGTTGTCTGCCATTTTATAGCCTTGTACTATAATCTTCTTTATGAAGGTGTCGTTGTCCCCAATACATGTTTTCCTTAATTATTTTCACTGTAAATAACAGTTTTTAGCAGCTAGTTAAAATATTGTTTACAGCATGACATCAGAGACAATTTATAATTTAGGGACTCACCCCCCCCCCTGCATTGATGAAGCTAGAAACACCCCCTGAAAAAAAAGGAAATGGTAGCACAAAATACCTCTTGAAAGTTTTGAGATTTCCTTCCCATCCCTGAGGAAAAGACCAAAGTGCTTAGCAGCTTAACTCCTTGAGAATGTCTTATTTCTAGGGTATCTTATAAAAAAATTTCACAGGCTGAAGTGTGTACATCAAGTAGAATGACCTTTATCAATTGTGGTTTTTACAAATCCCTCTTGATTATGATTGAAGAATTCATTAAAACTTGATTAATTTCATCTTTAGTCTAGTGATGAAGTTAATCCTAAAGCGTACCCATTAGCTGATGCACAGTTAACAGTCAAAATACTGGACCTGGTGCAGCAAGGAACCAATTACAAGCAGCTAAGAAAAGGTGCTAATGAAGGTGGGTCTTGTAGGCTTAGTACTATTTTATGAACAAACTTTGCAAACATGATTTGGAAATGCCTTTTCAAGAGTGATAATATATGTGTTCTCTTTTAACAGCAACCAAGTGTGTCAATCGAGGCATTGCTGAATTTGTTGTCATGGCTGCAGACACTGAACCATTAGAAATATTATTACACCTTCCATTACTATGCGAGGACAAGGTTAGTTTTGTAGTTTGAATTGTTTCTTAATTCATCTATAGTTAGATGTCTTTCATCATATTTGTTTTTCGTTTGTTAGAATATCCCCTACGTCTTTGTACGCTCCAAGCAAGCATTGGGTCGTGCTTGTGGTGTCTCACGACCAGTCATTGCATGTGCGGTCACCGTAAATGAAGGGTCACAGCTCAAACCACAGATTCAAACACTGCAGAATGCTATTGAAAAACTTCTTATATGAGTTTGTAAAATTAACATCAGGTGTTACAATAGATACTCATTCAAGATGTTATGCATTTCACTTGTATAAATATACATATATGAAATCATGCAAATAGTTTACTGTTAAATAACTTTTTATTTGATGATAATTACAGTTTTATTTCAGCTTTGGTACATCATTTATACCAGCTGTAGCATGATGGATTGGAAGTTTTTCAGCTTAAAATTGATGAAAATTGACGCCATCCTGTTACTGTTCAACATAAATGTGGGTCTGTTTCGTGATATTGCTCAAAGACAGTCACTGATAATAATGACGTACATCCCTTCATTTGTTTAAAAGTGCTTCTCCGTCACTTGGTTGTCCACAGCATTATAATTAGTCATTGTCACCAGTATTATCTTCTGAACGTACAGATGTTGCCATCAATGATGGATTGTATAGTGAGGGTATTGCTACACTGGCAGGTTCACAGTCATAACCAAGTTTCTTCATATCTCTTGTAATGACATTCCATGATACTTTTACATTGCCCTGGGATCTCACTCGTGTTACTGAGGAACAAAAATACCTTTTTTAATATGAAACAATCACTTCGGCATATTTGTGAAGCATTGGGTGCCAGTATTTCTTGCACAACCCTGGTGTGTTTGTTAGAATAATTATAACAATTCATACCTTCCCTTCCTTCTCCTTGGGCAACTACTTTGGGATCAACAAATTCTGGTCTTCTTCCTAAAAACCAACTGAGAAAACAACAAATGTTGACTGCTTTTTTTAATATTTTTGAGATTCTGTTTGTATTTAATTAAATACATACCTGGTGAACTTTTGAAGTCTTGATGATGACTCTGGCACAAACATTGGGATCTCTCGAGAATGACTAAGAGAAAGAGCAAGTAAGTTTATTTATTTGCTTCCATGTACCATAGTTAGAAGAGGGTGCAGGTAGGTACCTTCCTGGTGAAATAGGTACATGGATGGCTCCGTATCCTCTCACAACATCATGACCAAAAGCATCAGGACCATAACAGCTCACTACTAATTGAGGCCCTAAATTAACATTAAGACCAGTCAACTGTTTATGGCTTGCTTCTAATGTCAGTATGTTGGACTGAAATTTATAACAACAAAAGTATATATCATTTGACTCACATCCGGAAGGATTTGTGCTCTTAAATGTGATATCCAATGGGAAGTTAAAAACAAACACTTGTCTACTATCATGGCTTTTTTGAGTTATCTGCGATATGCCTTCTTCTATACCCTGAAATAACAAAGTTTTATTGATCGCTTTTGTGTACTGTGCCACAGGGGACCCATAAAGTATACTGCATAACATTTCGTCAGCTGTACTATCATGAAGCATTTCTTATCATTGAAAATAGTTATTTTATTGGGCTTATCTAAGGGACTGTCGTTTCTTACCGATGTGACAAGCCAGTCTTGACCATAAACAAAATTATATTTGCAATAAAGTTCATCAAATTCAGGAAACTAGCAACAGAGAGTAAAATCATATGAATATCCTTGTCTTAAATGGTCGTTAATTATCAATCTACTTACTCTGGCTATTTCAATTTGACCAGAAACCATAACTAGAAAAACACTGCTGTGTAAACCTGCCATTTATGAAGTATGTAAACAAAAGTCATTATCAATAATTATCAAATGAGTTCCCCTGTCCTCCCTCATTTCGGCGTGCTTTGAAGACAAGCTGAAAATTAGCGGAAAGATTGTTTTTCTCGTGGTAAAGATATTCATTATTCTGGGTTATCACACGTCTTTGTAGCTGATTTGGTAAAACACTTCAGCAATGTAGAATTAGTAAATATAGTGTTTATATATCAAAATACAAGAACTTATAAGGAAAAGATATGTATTGAAGTGGAAGAAGATATGTACCCATATGACCATCAATGTACCTTAATCCTTCATTGTTTAGATGCATTTCTGCAACGAAATAAAAGTTGTCTTTATTTTTCATGTTTGAAATTGTTTCATCGTAATATTGTAAGATATGAATGTATTTTCATTTAATTCCCAACCTTAAAGTGTTGTATAACGAAAGGAACGCGTCGAAAACTGTAATATTTCATTGTTTACATCACCATTAGCAACGGTGGATGAATAGTTAACCAACCAAGTAAGATTTTTAAATACTATATTTGTTTCATTTGTTGCTATAATATTAATGAAGATATACACAAATGATAGGATTAACTCGTCTTCAAATTTTATGTTAATGTCTCTGCTCATAGTATGTATAGGTTTTCTTAGACACTTGTAAATTGTTACTGAAATATTTTTGACAGCACGACAATTTTTTGCAGCTTGAAATATTCTTGGTTTCATTTTGTAGTCAACAGTCATTGATATCAACAGTGGGATTAATATGACATAATTCTTGAAAGGAATGGCTGTATACTTTGACAATCGTATTCAGAGTACAACCACTTCAAATACAGATCTCTTATGGCATGATTCATATCCATTACTTGCTGTTGCCTCTAATAACTCATCTGATAATGGTGGATCTGTTAATTTCTACTTGGATGAGGTATTTAGTTTCATTTGTTTACTCTGATAATTGTTGAATTCTTATGGATCATGATTTTAATTCAGTGCTTTGCAAATTAAAATCTATGATCTCAGTAAGAAGAAATTATTTTTAACATATCAATGCAATTCTAGTGTATTACGTCCACTAGTGTACTACAGGTGTAACTTCTGTTCATCTGTAATCTTCACTTAGACAGTAGTTGTTTATTTGCCTGTTCTAATTTCTGTCAGGGTGAGTTGCTGGAAGAGTCGTATCTTAACAGACCATCATCTCAAGCAACATCAATGTCATGGCATCCTGTTCGTAAGATCATTGCTGTAGGATGGACAAATGGAGAGTTACTTATATGGAATGAACATGAACGAGACTTGCATGAAGTATACAGTATCCATAAGAGTAAAATTAACACAGTCAGGTGGAGTTCTAATGGACAGCGACTTGTTTCTGGAGATCAGGTTTGCATGCATTGTCTAATATATCTTTCCTTTGTGTGAAGACTCTCTCTAATATGTACCATAGCTCTCTTTCTAATAAGTAGCCCAATTTTTAACCCAGAGTCTTAATAACAATACCATGCACCGTCCTTGTAATACCTTGGTATCTATACCTTTCTTCTCTAAAATGTGAGCCTGATCCACACTGAAACTGTATCAATATTGTTCGTGTTATTTTCAGGAAGGTTTGCTGGGAATCTGGAAAGCAGATTCAAAAGGCAGGTTATCTCAAGCACCTCTTTATCAACACGACTGTGGCTCTTCTATAACCTACTGTTTATTTAAGCCTCTACTGGTGCAAGAAAATCCTGTGTAAGTTTACAATATTAACTTTTCTATTTAAAAATGTTTAATTTTTTTTCATTTAAGATGGATCTTTTTATGTTTCAGTGATATAGTTGGGCTGGCAAGAGCTGCTGTTAATGGGGATGAAAAAGCTCTGGATCTTTTCTCATCTGCAAAAGGAAAAAAACAATCCTCAAATCAACTTGTTAATTCATTTTTCTTTGGCACTGCTGATGGTAAAATTATATTCACTTGATGTAATTCTGTTTTGAATACCAGTTTAAAGAGAAAGTACTTATCAGTTTATAGAGAAACATTTTCAATGTATTATAATTGTTTAAATAATTATTTTTCATTTAGGAAGTGTTTTCTTTGTTGATGACAAGGGTCATACTACAACATCCTTTGCAGTTGATGGATCTGTTAGAACTTTGTTATATTATGAAGGAAAAGAAATCTTGATCACAGTAACAGAAAATATGATGCTTACACAACATTCTGTTGCAATGGATGGAAACATTAATGAAATAATGAAGGTGAGTCAATCATTGCCTCTTCATGCATGGACCAAGCTTGTATTAAACAAGTTTCAACTTGATTATTTGCAGGTGAAGATCACTGCTGGTTCAGGAAGTCGCTATATTGTATGGGCAGGTCAAGGAGTGTTAGCAACTGCCTCAGGAGAAACTGTTTTAAGGTATGCAAGTCAATTCAAAACAAATTATAGAAGCAGTCAAAAGCCTACCCTTTTTAGTAAAATTCTGATCCATGGTTTTCACAAGCAATTGGTAATATCTTTCATTTAGAATGTTGGACATAAATCACAATGAGAATTATGTTTTGAGTCTTGAAAGTGCTGGTTATGAACCAGGGGAATGTATAACATGTATTGCATATTCCTCATTTAAAGGTGAGTATCTGAATAGAATCACTTTGTAAAATAACACAAGCTCCTGGTTAGCTCCACATGATTATCGCTGATTTTGCAGGCATTCTTGCTGGAGGAACTAATCTTGGTAAAATAGCGATGTGGCATTCACTGAAGAATAAGACAGGAGCTGATATTGATGGAGAAAAGAAATGGGAAATATCGTCACCATCAGTTATACAAGAACATGTTTTCCAATTGCAGGTTTGTCTCAAGTATATATATTTTAGATCTACTATCATGCAATAGAAATTATTGCTGTGTGAAGTGTTATCATGGTACATGTATATCAATTCTTTCATAAAAATTATTGATTGTTGTATAATAATAGTCCATTAATTTTCACCTCACATTGTTCAAAATCTTTTATTTCTGTAGTGGGGTGGTGGCAAGGGTCTTCTTGGTGCTAATGTTGGATCATCAGTTGTAATCTTGAAAGAACAAGTTATGAACTTTCATTTCAATAATTTGGTGGGTGCTTGTTTCTCTCATTATCAGCAAAAAAATATTTTCATCTCAAGACTTCTCTTCATTGCAGGTGGGAGCAATACAAATATCACCAAGCCAGTTAACCATTGAAAATTTTGCTACTGATTATTGTCATGATCTTAAAACAGATATACATATCAAAGGTGCATACATACTCAAGGTGAGACAAAGCTTTAATTCCTGGTAGACTGGTAGTTTATTGTAGAATCCAGATACACTTGACTAGCATTTCTTAGGAAATTGATCACAAAGCTTATTTTTCCCAGGATCATGTTGTGGTATGGGATGGTAAACGTGTTGTTGTCTATGAAGTTTCATCTGATGTAGCAATGGTCAGAGCTGCTGGTAAATACTTTTTCCTTGAATCAACCAACCTTTACTTTAATGTGAAGTGAAGTTTTAAATTTGGAGGTTTTTCTTCAGGGTCATTCTCGTGTGACTCCCAATCAGTTGTTGCATATGATCAAAGTGTCTACACTATTGAACCAGGGAAAATACAAGTGCGCAATTTTCAGGTAATTTGCTTGTTATTCATAATAATTAAAACCATTCATAATTACTAATAATTATTCCTGGATGAGAGCTCATTTCTTCTCAGTATTTTGAGGTCGTGATGTAATTAACTTCTGATAAATATCTTGTGACAGGGAACTGTGAAGCAAGTTCTTGCATTTCATGAGTCTGAGGGAGATCCAATTATGATAAATATTTGTGCCTCATACTTGGTTTCTGCAACGAACTTAGGCTACTTAAAAATGTGGGATCTTTCCAGAAGGTAACTCGATTGAATTCAAGTTTCTTGGAACCGTTTAAATCTCTCTGCAAGGAATTTGACAATGAATTGCCATTGTGGTTCATCTGATCTTCTCTGTCTGGTTTAAACATCGACTGCACTAACGTTGATATTTTTGTTTTCAGAGAGGCCAAACAACATGGTCCAGTGAAACATTTTGATACGGCCGTTGTTGGGATTGGAAAAATCAAGTCTGCAAAAATCAATTGTTCTGGCAGCAAAGTTTGTGTCACTTGCGAGAAGGTAACTCCACTATCACTTTCCCAATCGTTCTTTTGTTGGGATTTATTTCAATCAACGAGTGACATTTTTAGAGCGAAGGTGTTGTTGATCCAAGATTATTTGTGTGGGATGTTGAGCTTGATCTTCTGCAGACCTTCGACTTCAGTACTGGTCGTAATGATCAAGAAGTTGAGGGCTCAGAGCAGTCGTTTGAATTAAGCGGAAGATGTCCTGATATTCAGTACTGGGATCATGATGAACCAAAGCTTCTGGTTTGTAAGGCTGTTTTATCTTCTGGTGCAGCTGATCAGGATAACAGAAAGAATAGTGATCAGGTTTTGGTAAGTATTTTAAAAGTGGTATGAATCTCAGAGCACACAGTAATAATGGCGAACTCGTAGTTTCTTACAGATATTTCTTACATCCATGGTGTTGTTATTCATGTTTCAGCCTGATGCCGTGATTGTGACGTTATTCAGTACTCCTGAGAATGGAATTATATTATTGGATCAATTTGTCGAGGAAGACAACTATACAGGTAGAATTATTTCCTTTGCATCATTTTTTCGTAATGAATCATGCAGCGAAAAGAAACCTTTGTCTTTCTCTTTAGGATTTTTGGGCGTTCAAGTACCTTACTTATATTTTTCAATAAAGGTTAGTTCATTTTTGTACATCCAAAAAATCATTGGTTGTATTCATATCAGAAGATGGGATATGTCTTAAAAGACTTTCTAATTGCATTCATTTCGTTGCCAGAAAAGCGAAGTTCTGGAAGAGAAGAAAAGAATTGGAGGCGCTGTTCTTCCTCTGGGTTCACAGCGAGTAACAACAAGACGAACAATGAGAGGTTTTGTTGGACTTGAAGATGGAAGCAATGAAGCTAAACAGGCCATGTTGAATTTTACTTATTTATCTGCAATCGGGAACATGGATGAGGCTTTCAAAGCGATTAAACTTATAAAAAGGTGCGCATAACTACAGTATGTACATAACGATATTCGTCCAGAATTGACAGTTTGATTATACGACAGAAATTAATATTGATATATTACTTATTACAGCGAGTCCGTTTGGGAGAACATGGCAAGAATGTGTGTAAAGACGAAGAGGCTTGATGTCGCTTCTGTGTGTCTGGGAAATATGAAGAACGCAAGAGCAGCCAGAGCTTTAAGAAGAGCGATGAAGGAACCAGAACATGACGCACGCGTTGCTATTCTTGCTGTTCACTTGAATTTATTGGTAATTTACAGTACCACTCTTGCAATTCAATAAATATGAAACCTGCATGAATCTTCTTGAATGAGCACCATGCAACTGCAGCATGAAAACAAGGCATCCAATGTAGCGGGGTTTTATTACGACAAGGAAGATTTGGGAACAGATTTCGATCAGCCTGTAAGTTAATATATTTCTCAACTACTAGGTGTTAAACATCATGGTTCGTCTTTTTTTTCAGGATGAAGCGGAGAGATTATACAAATCATCCAAGCGTTATGATCTCTTGAATAAATTCTATCAAGCTCGAAACGAGTGGACGAAGGTACAGTAACGATGAATAAAGATGATGCATGCGCCGTTACGAAAATATCATTTATGCAGACGAATTGTTAAAGTTTTGTCGAATTTTTAGGCAATCGAAATTGCTGAGCTTCATGATCGAGTTCACTTAAGAACGACGTACTACAACTTCGCTAAATTCCTGGAAATGTCCGGCAACGTTCAAGGGGCAATTGCGAAGTAAGTCTTTATCTCATCAGCCATCAGCCTGTAACAAGTTTTTAAATTAGTCAGTCTCAATAGCTTTTAAAATTTTCGATTTTTGTTGGCATCCAGAGTGAACAATTTTTTTCGTTTTTTAGTTATGAAAAGTCAGACACGTTCAGATTTGAAGTTCCCAGAATGCTTTTAGACAACCCGAACCAACTGGAGAATTACATCATGAAGACGAAGGACAAGTATGTATAAAAGAACGAGATTTTTTCCTGATTTGTCAACATGCAACGTTATAGACAGTATCTTGTTTTCAGATCTCTTCGTAAGTGGTGGGCTCAATATATGGAGAGCAATAGTGAAATGGACGTTGCTTTGAAATATTACGAGGCTGCAAATGATATTTTATCTCTTGTCAGAGTTTATTGTTTCTGTGGTAATATTGAGAAGGTATTTTATACCATCATACTTGATACTGTACCATTTCTTACCAGCCATAAACATTACAAATTGGTATTTGTAAATATGTATTTATTTCCCTTGAAGGCAGCTGAAATTTGCAACGAGACTGGCGATAGAGCAGCAAGTTATCATTTAGCAAGACAGTTTGAGAACCAGGTAAACCCGTGCGCAAATCAGCTACAGTCATGCACAGAATCATGTTTACTTTTGATCAGGTACATATACTGACATTTAATCACTTTTTTTTCAGGATAATATCAAAGATGCAATTCATTTCTACACCCGGGCGCAGTGTTTTAGCAACGCAATACGCTTAGCAAAGGTAAAATCTTCAAAACATTTTCGCAGGAGCGAGTAAAGTCCTGCCTTGCTCAGTTTGCTGTTCCAATAGTTGAGCCAAAGCCCGGCGAAAAATATGAACTAATGTAACGAATTTATATTCTAAATGATAATATTTCATAGGATAATGTGATGGATAGTGAATTAATAAATCTGGCCTTGCTTAGCAAGCCTCAAGACATGATTGATGTTGCTAGGTAATCATCTCTTGTTTTTTGAAAACTAATTTATCAAAGGTGATAAAGCATGATTCTTACATGTTTATTTTCTTCACAAGATATTACGAAAGCAATTCTAACATGTTAGACAAAGCGGTGATTCTCTATCACAAGGTAACTTCATTTCTTACTATACCAATAATCATGCCAGCGTTCTTCACCAGCACCTAACACCAGCATGCATGGGTCGTCGTGTTATCAACTGCTTGGTTGTTTTCTTCTAGGCGGGTGAGGTGTCTAAAGCTCTGGACCTGTGTTTTAAAACAGAACAATTCTCAGCATTGCAAATGATTGCTGAAGATCTCACTGAAAACACGGACCCTGAAATGTTGGCGCGATGTTCTGAATTCTTCATGGAACATGGGCAGTATGACCGAGCCGTTGAACTGGCGGTTCTTGGGAAAAAGGTACTGGCAAATATCGCTTTAACTCCATGCGAAACACTTATGCAAAGCATAACGTGAAGATATACTGCATAGGTATATTGGATAGGTATATTATTGCATTTTCATGGTTTGTTTTATCAACAGTACGTTGAAGCCATGGATCTTTGTCTTTCTCATAACGTGATGATAACTGAAGAACTTGCTGAGAAAATGACTTTATCAAAAGACAGCAACAATACCGAATTACGAAATAAGATCTTAGAAAGGATTGCTGAGTGTTGTATGCAGCAAGGATCGTATCATTTGGCTACTAAGAAATTCACTCAAGCTGGGAATAGAATAAAGGTACGCGATATACTGTAGATATTTTGAATCATCGAGCATGTCAAAATGTTTGTGTTATTTGCACTCTTACTCATAGTCGTTTAAAGAAGACATCGCATCTCTCTTACCCTTTCAGGCGATGAAAGCACTTCTCAAATCAGGGGACACAGAGAAAATCGTCTTTTTTGCCGGAGTATCAAGACAACGTGAGATCTACGTGATGGCTGCTAACTATCTTCAGTCTCTTGACTGGAGAAAGGATCCTGACATTATGAAAAATATAATTGGTTTCTACACGAAAGGCCGGGCTCTCGATTCTTTATCAAGTTTTTATGACGCGTGTGCACAGGTACAGTATATATGCGTATAACATAACAACAATCAATGTTGACTGTTTGAATATTGTCGAATACCATATCATTTCATCTCGAATTATAGGTTGAAATCGATGAATACCAGAACTACGAGAAGGCAGTCGGGGCGTTATCAGAGTCTTATAAATGTCTTGGAAAGGCAAAATTAAAGAATGCTTCAAGTCAAGAAGAGAAAATGGCGTTTATTAAACAAAGAATTGGTTTCATCAAGAAATTTGTTCAGGCCAAGAGGTAGCTAATTGAATACCTTTTAGTTATACGTGATAGACACGATCTTCGAGGTGCTGTTTTTCACTAACCAGAATAAAACCAATGATTTAGATCGTATGAAGATGATGCTGAAGAAGCGATTAGGCAATGTCAGATATTATTAGAAGAACCTGATATTGAGACTGCTGTAAGAATAGGAGATGTATATGGAATCATGATCGAGCATTTAGCAAGACAACAGAGTCACTCTAAGGTAACCGTTGCTGTATTTGTAATTTTGAAACGATGCTGAATAATTGGCAATGATTCTATTAATTCGTTTAATTTTCAGGCGTATTCATTGGTTCAAGAACTACGACAGCGCGTTCAGAACGTAAATATTTCTTTCTACGTGAACATTAGAACTATCGAAGAAATATACAAAGCCTTGGACATTCCCATGGAAGGCAGTTTGGGAAAGCAGGTTATAACTAACGAGGGAGAAAGTGAAGATGAAGGAGAAATTTTAGATGAAGCTGTGGAAGAAGATTTTCCAAATGGCTTTCATTAAAACAAGTTCTATGTACATATCAATAAAACTATGTTCTATTAACTGGTATAACCATGCTATACTAGTATATATTATATATTTAAAACAACGCCAGCACGCGTGTTCCGCCATTGGTTTGTACTCGTGAGTGGCGTGTTTTTAGACTAACCAACCTCAAAGTCTTCACCAAACTTCACCCTAGTCTACTTTCAGATGAGATACAGTTGTGCGCGTTTCAGACGAGAGAATAAACGAAGAAAGATAAATTGAGGTTGGTATCGGCGCAGCTAATTTTTTTTCCGAGACAGTCATCTTTGATGGTCGAGCCTCTTCCTCGATGGCGAAATTTGCTTTTATCAAAGTGGAAACATCGGCTATAATTTTTAAATTTTGGCAAATTGCATTTTACAACGTTTATTAAAATTGTTTTGGCGAAAGAAAATAAATAATTGAGCGGGAAAATACGTTATGGAAAAAGGTAGATTATCTCTTTATTGGTCTATCATATTTCCTAATAAATTTACTCCTTAAGCTTCTTTTGTATTCATTTCCGTTATTCCTAATGGCGTTGACATTATAACATTGCTAATAGCCGCATTATATTGTGTGATAACTCCTTTGTTTGGTGTTTTGCATTCACCAAATACAGTTCAAAACTTAGTTCACAACATAATCTAAAGAATAAAGGTAAAATAAATTAATTTTGAGCGGTACGCCGAAAAGGTTTTAGGTTTTTTTAGATTTTAGCGTTTTCCCGCCAAAATACGCGACATAATAAAAAATCTCCTCTTAAATCTTTTATAAGATGTTTCTTCTTTGTTATGATCTCTGGCTGTCTTAAAAAGACAAACCGGATTGGTAGTGTAAAATAATTACCCATATTGAATCTTTTCAACACAGATAAAGAGAGAAGTGATAAGAATGTAAATGAAGTCCAGCCTGTCCAGGTGTGTAGTCAAGTTATTTATTAAACTACAGGAGATATAGCTGTATGAATATGTTTCATGTAACTTGATGATCTTTAATTTCGTACCATGGCCTTGATATATCATTTTAAGCGCGGCTTGTTAGCTTTATACCAAAGTTTGAACTGAATATTGGTTCGCAAACACTGCTTGGAGCTGCTGAACCCATCTAGATCCGGTTCACAGTTGGGAAAAAAATATGCAAAAAATCACCTTGTCTAAGACAAAATGTAAATAATTATGTATATTCCAGTATTTGACAGATCAATGTTCTAAATTTTGTCCACATGCAGATTTTTGATAGGACTAGCTGCACCTTACTTTTTTATTTCTTTGGTCTAATCCAACACAGAGTTGCCTACCATCTGGTAGTATGCAATTACTTAATGGTTTCCGTGTTTGGATGGCCTGATCCAAACACACAGGAATGTTGCAAGAGTTAAGGAAAGTGTGCAAAACACAAGCCGAAGGGGAGTGTTTTGCTAGCTTTTCTTAACTCGAATGAACCATTAGGTAATTGTTTTATAAAATAACAACGACAAGGCCTGAATTTAAATTTTAATTCATTAAAACTTTAAACCCTGTGTTTGGATGGCCTGATCCACACGCAATGAGTTGTTCTCAGTCAGTTTGATACAGTAAGTACTTTTACCTGTAGATGCAAGATCAAAACTTTGAAATTGGTTTGGTGTATCCAAAGGCAGATGGAAACATATAAATATTAATCCAAACATTTATACCTAAAAACTTATCATGGTTGAGAAACTAAAGCATTTTTTTTATAGACAGTGCCAGTGGAAAGAAGAGTTAAAACGAAAGCTCTAAAAGGAATAGTAAGCCTCATTTTATATACTCTTGTAAATTATGTTCAACAAGGCACAATGAACCTGATATTTAAGAAATCCATCTAATTTTTATTAGTATCATAGCATTTTGATGCAAAATTCAAAGAAAACAAAATCAATAGAAGAACCTCCACCTGTCAAAAAGCAATGTGTCAGCGCTGAAGAAGATGATGCACCTGATGATGATGATGTTTATACCACAACGATGATTGAAAAGCAGACATATTGTGCATTAATTCCTCAAAAATTCAAAAGCCTAAATGACCTTTGTTTCAGTGGCGTATTGCAAAACTGCCTGGCAGTCATTTCTAATGTCTTTACTCCAAAACTTGCCAAAAATGGCAACCATTTTTTAAAAATTTCTATTACGGATCCCACCCATTATGGAAGCTATGAACTTATGTGGTTTTCAAAACCTACCGAGTTTCCCAACATATACCGAACTGGTGAAATTGTATTATTGAAAGGCATTAAATGCCAGAAGTATAATGAAATCCACCAGATACTCAAGAACTTCACAACAAATATCTGTGTTATTCCATTGGACGATGATCCTCCTCTGATGAAGAAGGCAAGGTATAGTCTATGGCAGTGGAAGATGTAAGACACAGCATTTGATTGTGTCTTATGCACCTTACCACTTCAATTCATTGCTTCCAAGAATCTGGGATTCCCCTTCTAAATCTGAAGTCACTGGTTTGCAAAATTTTTTATCTGTTGGAAAATAAAAAAAATGGATCCCCGATTCGTAGGACAAGTGTGAGTCAGTCACATACACTAGCTCCTAACATTTGGAAATCCCTTGGCATTGTATTATTTTCCGACACACTAGGGATTTTGCACATCAGCGACTGAGACTAAAAAAACTTAATCTGGGATTTCCTTTGTCTCAGCTAGTTTACTGATACGCAAATTGCCCTGTCTATCGGAAAATATTCAATGGATTCCTGATTCTTGGCACCTAGTACGTGTGAATCATGCTTTAATCATAGTATTTTTTAAACATACAGGCAGCCTCTTGAGCGCTATGAATCGAAATTTGGAGACGCAATAAAGTTCTTGAAGAAGTGGCGCAACAGTAACATAACAGCCACCACATTCTCGCAACTTGATGTGATTACGACAGCTGTTGAAGGCTCGTCATTTAATTTCTGCGTGAAGATCATGAAATTGACAGAATTGACATGCGACTCATATTGCTTAACCGTATGGGATGGAAGTCGTCCATCGCTGCAAGCTAGAGGTAAAATCATCGTTCAAGTTATTTCTTTTAATATTACAATGTCAATTGGTCCGTCAATAATTTTCCATCTTCCAAAAACTTTATACAGCATATCTATTGATTTTACCTGATATTTGTGTCTGTCGTCATTGTTGTTAATACTGATGTCAATAATTTTACAACATGCAGCAAGAGAAGAGAACTCTAATGCTAAAGCTAATGCTTGTGATGTGGATGAGGAGGAATTAGTTGATATAATTGTCCTGGACCAGAACAGAAGCATTAAAAAGTACAACCTGAGACCTCTTAACGTGCTTGCTCTCTACGATGTAACACTTAACACTGATCGCCGTTTGGAGCTCAATATGGAAAATGAAGAAAGTGGCTTTACAGTTGTAAAACCTTATTGCCATGTCGCGTAAGTCTTGTTTACCATAATTTATACATTGTAGAAAGATAGTCATATTTTCATTCAAGTTAAATTTTGCTCTAAACAAATTGCAAACAAATGTTTCACTGATGTAATATTGCCGGCACTGATGAAAGCCCGGGATAACGGACCGAACGCTTTGCAGTATTAAATATTTACGAGGTGTACCTACAATCTAATTTACTATTCTATTTTTAATCTTATTGATGTCACCATGCAAACTTACAAGAATATTAAATGTTTTATCGATCAGAAAGCGAGAGACTCATTTTAAAAGCTGATGAAAGTTGATAAAAAGACAAGACGAGTGATCTCCGGCCATCAAGTCAACTTTTAACAAGAAGTTATCACCACCATTTAACCAATCTTTTTGGGAACATGCAAAATATCAACTGTTACTTTCGTTATAATGAAACACATTTAATACGTCTTTACTTGTATTAAACAACAATTCAACAAGGCTCGTTAAAGTTGTTATTTAATTGCAGAAGATATGTCCCTGCCCGTGAACAACGCCAAGAACACACGTGGAACTTCAAAGGATGGTAGTGGAATATGGAGGATGATGATGGTTAATTGTTGGAAGATATTATAGGTATGCTTTATAGTATGTGTGATCGATAAAATAGACTTTTGCCGTTATGTTTTCTACTACAGACAACGCATTTATTTTAAAAAACCGATCAAAACCTTTATTTCGTAAGCTATAAAGTATGAAGATATTAGATATGATTCAGATTGTTATTATTACTCAGCTAAACATAACTGTGCTATATAAATGTACATATACGTTCTTATTTTCACTCCATGTACATATTTCCTACCACTAAATCATTCCATGGATGCGTATAGATCTACGCCTGACATTCTTTTCGGCTCAGAATTTCAATATTTTCACTCGCTAAGACATTATTCTCCTGTGGTATCTCTGATTTTGCTGACATTTCCTGTAATGTCTCGCATAGTTTAGTATTCAACGTCTCTGGTAGCAACAGTGCTAACAGGCCTGCCGTCAACATGAAACCTCCCATAATTATAAAAGGCACAGATTCTGCTGTGTAGGTGCCCTGCGCAGGAGAGGAAAAAACGCCCTTACTCTGTGACCATGACCTTTAATAGCGTATGGATTTGCATTTTCAATTTATTGATGCATTAGCAAACTCACCAATAATAAAATCTGAGGCGCCAAAATTCCTCCAAATCTCGTCCAGAATATTCCTGCTCCAAGTCCAACGTTGCTACAAAATAAGTTGGTGAAAGAATATAATTACCGGCACCACATGCAGCCATTGTGAATATCATGACCGTTTTCTTACCGAATCATTGTGGGATAAAGCTCTGAAGTAAAAGTGAAAATATTTGCAAAATTTCCAGTAACCAGCATCTTGCACATTATTGCTAATACCGTCACAAGTATTTGGACATTTTCTACGGGAGAAAAAACATAAAAACATAACGCGATTATACGAGATAGAAAGTGAATGAAGGAGCGAGAAAACAGTGAAACCTAATCTGCACTGCGTAATATGGTAAAGAGCAACAGAATCATACCATTTGATTTTGGCAACGCTCCTGCAATAATAAGGCCTGATCCACCAAGGATACTATAAACACAAAATGGTCGACGGCGTCCAAATCTATGTGGAAATTGACTTCATCAAAACGTTATAATAATTTAATGAAATGCTGCTATTCGAACTAATATTTTATAGATTTCTCCACCCACCTTTTCAGGAGAAACATAGTAGTCGTAATAATGACAATCTCCAGGACGCCATTGATAAAGAAATTTAAATATTTATCTCCAGCGAGACTTGAAATATTTAATGACAGGCCATAGTAACCCAAAGATGTTGCAAACCTAAATGAAGTGTATGTATTCACAATTATGACACAGCTATATTCATGCATGAATTGGGGGAAAGCAAGTTCATGTTAGAATATATAAATATTTCTTTACCAAACAACCATCATTATCAAAGAACGTTTTCGCAAACTCTCTGATCTGTAGATGTCGGTGATGTTGTAACTTTTAACATTGAACGTATTTCTTTCTGCCTTTTTCATTTCATCCACTGTTTCTTCAAATATCTCTTTTGGAAAAGAAATCTTGTTAAAATTACTTATCTTTTCAACAACTTTCTTTGCCTGGTCAGTGCGATTGTTGATCAAAAGCCAACGGATTGATTCAGGCAAAAACCTATAAATATGGAAAGTACCGTGTTAGACGATATTTAAAACATGATCCTTGCATGGTTTCTTGGCCAGGGTCACTCACCAGACTAGTGCAACTTGCAAGAGACACACCGTAGTAGAAAGTAGCTGAATGTAGTGCCAATCTTTTATCAGATAAGAAAATAATGCAAGCGTCATAATTCCAGTGGCCCATGGAAAACCTATACCAACACCTATGTATGTTCTGTACTTTGTTGCGAAAAGCTCCATGAGACTTGTGAATGTTGACATTTGTACCCCCTGGAAAGGAAAGGAATTTGGGAGGATTAAAGATTCATAATCTGGGCAAAAGTTCCCTTTTATGTGCATTATCATGAAGGTCATTTTTCTTACCTGAAGGACAAATCCAAGAAAAAACCGAAGTACAACAAATGCGACGTAGTTCTTAATGAAAAATAGAGGTAACCCAAGAACAAATGTTGAAACCGTGGTGAACAGGAATACAGGCCTTCTTCCAAATCTATCTGACAATGTTCCAAATACCAGCCCACCCAACATGACACCAACGAAATATATTGTTGTCGCAAGACTGGTTTTGTAAGCATCATCACACACAAGATCCCACTGAAATAGAAATTTGGGGATTATTTGATTGTCTTTCAATGAATACTGTGTTGATGGGAGGTGTAATACCCCACCGGAGTATTACCTCTGATATTATGGTCATCTCTCCCTTTGGTAAATCGTAAAACCAGCCATTTGGACATGATATTTTCTTTGAAGTATTATAACCATCATATAAGTGACAGCCATCCCACTGGGTTACTCCTCTTTTCTTTATTAACGGTACAAGAGAAGTTATATCAGAGCTGTTTGTTACAGCGCAACGATGTTTTGTTTTCGCTCCTATGAACGCCATTCCTAGATGGTTCCAGGATATATAAACCCAGCTGGCTGAGAGATAGATATACATTAAAACTTGAAATTTTCCTGGTTTGCCAAGCGAATTTGTTAATGTGTCAGTTGTCATTGTCGCTTTCGTTGTCCTTAAAGAACTTGTTTGCAGTTACACGCGTTGAATTGAAACAGAAAAGTGTTTAATATCTGGAAGAAAATCAGGACGAGCTCTAAGATACGGATGAAAGACGAATGCCTGACAGAATTATGAGAACTTGACTCTCGCGTTTTTATTACATTTCAGGCAATTATCGAGGAACATTTGAACAGGGAACTTTTGCCTCGTTTCTCCGTTATTTTAGTCGGACTCTGACATGCTTCTCGCATTCTAATTATCTCCATCCTTTACTAAGAGTCTAACCGTCGACATTAATCACAAGTGATATCGGTTGTAAAGGATTAACAGAGAATATGATCTTTTAAGAAATCGCTAATCCTAAAGTACATGATGGTGTTTAATGGTGCTTCACACGTTGCTAAGCAGACACCACTTCTCCTGTTTCCGGAGTTATGGACATGCACGCATAGACACATCTCACAACCAAGCCATTCTTGAAATTTAAACATTAGATGATCCGAACTTAAAACACACAAGTGAATATGGTCTCAGTGGTCAAAACTGATTGCCTTTGATGTAATAATTCTAGCCGTAATGTTACATCATATTGACTTTTGAAATATGCTGTATTCCAAACAATTCCAAATATGCTGTAATATGCTGTATTCCAAACGAGTCTTGTCCCCTGGAATTGTTGCGTTTTAACAAACAGGTAGCAGACATAATGGACTAAATGAGGTGTACAAACCTGAGCAGTAAAGACACAATTATCTGGTTTCCCGATTCAATGTTGACTCCAGCGCTTTTTCCTTCGTTTGTAATTTGACCCAATCATCGTCTCATTGTGGTTATTAACCTATAAAAAATACTGTTGTTGCGCCCTGCTTGGAATTGTCGATGACGACAATTTATAATAATGCACTAATGATATTGGTACCTACAATTACAAAGACGTTTGGCATCCATAGATTTCTAAATGTTTCCTATGTTTTAGCTCCTTCAATTCTATGAAATGTACTTTAGACTTCTGGGGCCGGTTGTTCAAAAGCCGGTTAACGCTAACCCAGGGTTAAAAATGCCTAACCCAGGGTTAAATTTTAAACCTTGCTTGATTTGCGTTGCACAAAGCTCGGTTAGCGTTAACTCTGGGTTAAAATTGATAAAAAAATTGACCCTGCTAGTTAGGTGGGTTAACTTTTTAATCCTGGGTTAACTTCGTTTCAAAATGGATGAATAAGGAGCTGAAACACGTAAACACGTATAATTCGTCATGAATTAAACACTTTTGAAAGGTTTTACGAATAATTTCGACAGCAAAGAATTATTTAAGTTTGACTTCGTTCGATTTCAGCTGATGTATTGATTTATTTATCTTCGCTTCAATGCAATACACGATAAATGAATACAACCGTACAAATTGAAAGATCGTAATCGAAATATTTGTTTCGGATGGCCAAAATTCGATTATTTTGATTGGCAGCAAGTGGTAAGGCTACGTTTGTTCCTGAATTTTGAATAATCCAAGAATGCCTGAAATTTTAAAATAGATTGTTTATAATATGCATTGCTTAATTTTGTTTCACATCGCGACATTGTTTATCATACAAAAAGGCCTTTCATTTCCAATCTTTCCAAAATTCCATGCACGGAAATTGCTGTTCAAAACAACGTCCCTGCGACCCTGCCCTCAAGGCATATAATCTTTCGACTGACAATATATCCTCGTCCGGTAAAGTTTTGACGCTCGTTTATTGACCAATCGAAAACGTTCTTATATCCAATTTAGTCGTTAAAATACATTTAATCTTAGATTAAATATTTTAACCCTGGATTAACTAACCCTACCGCTAACCCTGCTTTGAACAACACAGTTTTAACCCAGGTTTAGCTAACCTAGGGTTAAGGATTTTAACCCAGGTTTAGCACTAACCCAGGGTTAAATTTAACCTGCTTTTGAACAACCGGCCCCTGCAATATTGCAGATGTAATGAAATACCATACGAAATTCATAGCGTATTCGTCATTCGTGAATGAAAGACCTGCTGCTTCTTGTATGAACATTTAATTCATAAGCTGAACAGAACATCATAATTTGACAGGAATAATATTTACAGTTGACAAAGACTACTTTTTACTTTACTACTTTTCAAAGATTCCTTGTATTTTCATCTCAGTGAGAGATTACATTCACATTCCATTTGTGATACATTTTAGAATGCTTCACACAGTCAGAAAACTCTCTCATGTTACATCGCTCCTTCATCGCTCATGCTGACAATTTTCTCGTGTTTATGAGGAACTGGCAGGGTACCATTAATAACAAACACGTCGTCATCCTTATTCATCTTGTTAACATGAAGTTCCACTGAATTTTCAGTCGCCTTTTCAAACGTGGTGGCTTCTTGCATAGTTTCGGCAAGCTTCATGTTCAATGTCTCGGGCATAAGTAGGGTTAACAAACCAGAGAAAAGAACGCATGCTCCGTATATAATGAATGGTACTGATTCTGTTGTATATTTTCCCTTAAAAAACAAATGTCATTCTTTGAGAACGAATAATTTTCAGAGAAAGATTTCCATAATTTTTCTTACCAACAAAAAAACTTGAGGTGCCAGGATGCTCCCTGTTCGTGCGAAAAATATGCCAGCTCCGAGTCCAACATTTCTAGAAATATACATAAGATTCTAGAAATTCTGTTATAATTGTTACAGTAACCTTTTCGACCGTCTTATAAATGAAGATAACTTTACCTGATAACTGTTGGATACAATTCCGAAGTGTACAGAAATATGATGGCAAAATTCCCAGAAATGCAGATCCTTCCGCAAAGAGCCAATGCAGTTGTGAAATCTTTCAAGAAATCTGGAAGGAGAATTAAAGATGACTAAGATGACTTGCTGTTGGTGTTACCATTTCTAAACCAAACCATGCAGCAACAATCTGTTTGCTTGTTGAGGTGTAGGCGAGTATATCAGTGATAGTTATTAATACCTGTATCCTTCGATAACGCGCCAGCCAGAATACAAGTCACCCCGCCGATAACAGAGTAAAAACACAGAGGTTTTCGGCGACCCAGTCTGAAACGAAAATGCATCATTGGATTGCGTCGAACCTATTGCTCTTCGTGCAGATCTATCCAGGTAGTAATATCGTTCATAACTCTAGTATTTATCGAGACTACATCAACCTTTGGTGCTACAGAACAATTAAGGAACATAATTTCTTACTTTAACAATACGAACACAGTGACCAAGTATATCCCAAGTTCAAAAATTCCGCTGATGAAGAAGTTGAGATATTTATTACCATCCAAACTTGAAACATTCAATGCAAGACCATAATATCCAAATGATGTTGAGAACCTAGAATATAATGTACGGTCTTCAAGAATTTGCAGTTTAACAATTGTAAACGAAGCGTCTTCACCCACCATACAAAGGCCAGAATAAGTGATCGTTTTCGTAAAACAGAAGACCGGAAGATATCAATAATACTGTAGTTCTTTTCATCAACACTTTTTTTCACTCCAAATTTATTGCTGTTGTCTGCAACTTTGTCAAATTCTTCTCGAGGAAATGGCAGGTCATTAAAACTTGTGATCTTCTCAATGATTCTCTCTGCGTCTTCGAAACGGTTCTTGGTGAGCAGCCAACGGAATGATTCTGGGAGAACGCTGAAATAGAATGTGTAATTTAGGTGCATTTGGTTTGGTGAATGTTTTAAACACTCCAGTCTCCATCAAATAAACCATCGTTAGCTGGCTTTGCTTTTCCTAAAGGGCTGAACTTACCATATCAGTCCAATCTGAAGTAATCCTGTTACAGTGCAGAAGAGCTGAATATAGCGCCAATCTTGAATAAGATAGGATATCAAGGCTAGAGACATTACGCCAAAAGACCAGAAAATACTGCTGGCGACACCTGCAGTTGTACGATACTTGGCTGCTAAGATCTCCATGAACGAAAGAAATGATGTCATTTGTAAACCCTACAAGAAAGAATACAGAAGAGAGATTGATTAAAGTTTGTAATGAATCTTGTAAACTATATGTGCATGTACAATTCTCACCTGTAGTAGAAATCCCAGCACAAAACGAAGGACAACAAAGGCGACGTAATCTCGGATAAAAAACACGAGGAGTCCAATCAATGCAGGAGTAAACATGGTGAACAACAAGATGGGCCTTCTTCCAAATCTATCTGACAATGTTCCAAATACCAGCCCACCCAACATGACACCAACGAAATATATTGTTGTCGCAAGACTGCTTTTGTAAGCATCATCACACACAAGATCCCACTGAAGAAAATATACAGGAAGTATTTAGTGAAATTGGATAACTTTTTCGGATCTATGGTTAATTTACTTCAGAAAGATGTCATAAGCGTCTAGATAAATATGTCACGCTATACAATTATCAAACGACCTCTCTGAATGCTCTGATAGTTTACGATTCCTACCTCGGAGATAATAGTTTGCTCTTTGTCAGGAAGATAATAGGTCCATCCAGTTGAACATTCAACTTTCTTAGAACTATTGTGGTCAGAGTACAAGTTACATCCATCCCATTGTTCCTTGCCGTTCTTTTTCACTAACGGCACGAGAGAGTTGATATTTGACGAGTTTTTGACCGAACAATGATGCTTAGTTTTAGCGCCAATGAACGCCATACCAAGATGATTCCATCCAACATACACGTAGTTTAAACACAGAAATATGGTCAAAAGAATTTGAAATTTTCCTGGATTGCCCAAGGCCTTCGCGATATCTTCAGCTGACATTCTTCAATCTAAGAATCGTTATTTCATAGTAAACAATTGTCTAAACAGATTTATTTAACAGCTGCGTAATATGAAGAGGTTTTGCCATTTCAATCTTAAGGCTTTCCTCGGGTGAATTAGTATAGGTTAGTATCATCACTCTTGCGAACCACTTTGGGTTTAGTCAAAACGTTGAGAACTTTTCGTCTTTATTTCATTGGTATTTGCTATGCATATATGACCATAGATGAAAGTTGTTATTATTTCACTCTTTCCTTGTCTTAATAAGGTTATTATCTAATAAAGCATATTGAAGGCAAGCTCCTCGGAAATTCATTAATAAGGCATATTTCTATGACCACCTACTTACCAATAATATATTTACTCCGTTCGCCTCTTCCAACCAACACTTCTCGAATTATCTGGCAATTTAAATGTTGAGCAATTTTAGTCCGTCTCCGGTTACAATATAGCCAGCCAGCCAGCCAGCCCACACAACAGCTTGACCAGGTAATACCAGAATTTGTCATTATAATACGTGCATGCATGGTATGTCAAAAACACAAAAATTAATTGTTTCACTATATTGACGCTGCATGGTGCTAAGGCTGTATGAATTGATCATTTTATTCCAGAATTTGTCGCTGGAATATTATTCTTTGTATCTTTATATATCTGATATATTTTCTCAAAGCAGCAAAACGTTTTAATCTTTGTTTGTTCCGATTAATATTATGTGATTGTTTAGTGTGTGGGTTTCACTTGAAGATACGTGGTATATTTCGTCATATATTGCCTCATTTTAGTGATGTTTCCTCTTAATACCAGACAATCCTACGCCTCAGTTTCCTGCTAGATATCTATTGAATATTTCTTGAAGTCGTTGCTTAGGTAATGCAGCTGCATGATAAATATTTTGACTATAGACTCCCACACCTTTCCTCGTAAAGATTATGTAGTTCAAACATAGTCTACGTCTTAATTTAAAAGCGAAACTCTGGAAATCTTCGTATTGTTATCATTTCAATCATTGTACTATCTATGCGTGTATTCATCCAATGAGATACGAACTCAATTAAACCAAGCGTGTGGTTACAGATACTGCATGCCAACAAGTGCATTTATTGCGGCTGGTATGACAATTGACGCGTTTCACTCAGCATTTTAATCAGTAATTATATTTAATCAAGTATTTTGTGCCTTCAAAACCAGCATTCATCCTGTTCGATGATCTTGTCTGACTCTGCTGGTGCCATGCGTCGGAAATTGTGAGACGCGTCGAAAAATACGCCTTAGGTCTATAAAATTTTGACACCGTATCTCCTTACGCGAGCCTGCGTTGTTACTTCTTTGTAATATTCGAGGCGTAGCCCAGACTAATGCCAGGCCTGTTGCATGACGTACTTGTTACGTAACAAGAATATTGGCAGGAAAAATATTATAATTTATTTCTACCATCATGCAGAAGATATTTTATAAACTGTTCGCATTTTTTTGCTTTCGGTGTCGATTGACTTAAGTTAAACTAAACTTAAACCACTCAGCGCCGTAATATTTCTTTTTTTGTTGCGCTGAATGCTGAACCACAAATTGCTTTCTTCAAACAGAGCGTAGCATCTTAGCTTCAAAATAGAAATAGATTAAGTGGCATCACATGCAATGTCAAAATGATTAAATCATGTAGTTATAACTGCCGGTTTACCACTCAAAATAACCCAGAGTTGCGCCAAAATATCGAGACTTGAATACTCTGACGGAAAAGGAAAGGTTGTAACTGGCCAATATCTGCTTGAAAACTTCGCATGTTAAATGTCTAAACTGAGTGTTGTAGGAAACTTAAGAGCACGCGATATTCATACCACCACTTATACTGGACAGTTCGTTTAATTTTTATTTTTATTAATTGTGTGTTTATGTTATTGTCATTTATTTTGGATGTCTTCATAAACAACGATGAAGTGATTTGTTAAACCTACTTAACATACAATGCATAATATCAGAAGGTATCTCAGATCACGTAAAATGAACATCTTTTATAAAAAAACACTTCACTTGGTAGCGATTTGATCTGCGAAAACCTGAAATACGTTTTCTCTCATGAAAAACTCGACCAAAACAGTCTGCCTATATACCATTGTCCTCTACTGATCATTTTCTTACAAGATCTCTTTGTTTTTATGAAATTACTCTTGCGTTTATATAAACATTCATTAAAAAAGAAGCCGCAGTTGAAGTTTGCTAAACTTCCTTGTGAGACGTTGACAGTGCATGGAATAAAACAATAAGTTCCTTTTGTGAATAGTAAAATAATTTGAGATTACGTGATGCTGTAATGGTCCTCTGAAAATCACAATCCATTACATTACGTCTATTGTTTCACAACAACTAAAGTCCTTTGTAACTGCATGGATTTAATACAATAAAACATTATATTTAGCAATATATCGCCGTGCAGATCTCAACTGATAATTTAATAACCTACAGTACGCTATAATTGCAGTTACTTTGTTTTTACCTATAATCCAGTAATTGTCTTTTGAAAGAAATATTGGTAGTATAAGAGAGAAACTTTATTTCCTGTGTTTTTCAGTTTGATACCGACGAATTTTTCTTACCTTCTTGTTCTACTTTTTAGAAGAACCTTCACTGTGAATGTCTCGGGTGACAGGTCCCACGTTTTTCTTTAACTTCTGTCGAGGTAGACTAACCACTACCGTGCACTCATCAACTGACTGCCACTTTATTGTCTTGACATTTATATCCTCTTAAATATTGGCAAACGTCAAGGACTGATCAAGTGATTTTTCGGCTCTTCTGATTTTCATATGCCCAGCCCATCGACTAGAAAAAGCCCGCAGCTTCCCGTGAAAGGCGACTACTGATTATTGTATTCAAATGATATGTTAAATGAATCTACTCAAAACATAATGAAATGGTTACGGATACAATATATTTAATAACTATGTTCATATTTTAAGTTTACCCCACCAAATGTCGGCTGCATATTGACAGACAGGTCAAGGTGAGGGTTGATGATGTTGGAACATGGTTAATCGAACAGTATTGGTGTCAACCATTGGTGTCAACCATCTATCAGATGTGTTTCCTGTGTCCATGACACAAACCATGACAGCTTATTGTAGAATACTACCTACACTGGACCACCACATTTGAGATATCTTTCTCAGGTAGTTCAGACACAAACCATGACAGTTTATTGTAGAATACTACTTACACTGGACCACCACGTTTGAGATATCTTTCTCAGGTAGTTCAGACATAAACCATGACAGCTTATTGTAGAGTACTACCTACACTGGACCACCACGTTTGAGATATCTTTCTCAGGTAGATCAGACACAAACCATGACAGCTTATTGTAGAATACTACCTACACTGGACCACCACGTTTGAGATATCTTTCTCAGGTAGTTCAGACATAAACCATGACTTGAAGAATACTACCCACCACGTTTGACCACGAAAGCTTATTGTAGAATACCAGTCCTTTATAGTCGTGCACTGGATCACCATATTTGAGCCTGGTTTTTATTCATAAATTTAGATACTATCAATATTGTGTTTTTGGCAGACGACGGAACTAGATTTCAAGTATCTATTGAAATATATCAGGGTCTTAGCAACAAGATCCAGTATCCGCGAAGTAATGTTTTGATACGAGAAACAAAGATCTTTTATTTAACGAGGAAAGTGGACGAGAACTATTCTCATCGCTCGAATGGTTAGCTGCGCAGTCTCGTAACCATATATGCTCGGCAAATCTCGTCGGCTTACCTTCGTTGTACCACCATTAAAGTGACGACAGCGAAGCATATTGGGATTGATGAGATAGCAATTCTAAGATGTATAACTTTAGGTAGAGGGGGGGGGGTAATAACAGGAATACACGGTTTAACAATATCTCTTTGGTTTTTATACAATCAACTCGCAAATATGATTTCGACTAAAATTTTCAGCGTTTTTATTGGGCCAGTGAATAACTAGAAGAACGAGCTGACAATGATAATGTGATATGCATGTGGATTTTTATACTATGTGCTTTGAATGCAAAACTGGAGTCGTACGTTGGATAATTCTCTCTCTTACAATCCAACTTTGCACTCCCTTGGTTTACTGTTTCTCATGTTTAAACTATCGTGTTTTGTTTGGAATGTGTTTTAATTTTTTTTAGTTTTATTTATCAAGATGACAGGAAATGCAGTAGGATGAACCTTGGAGTGGAAGACCAAGTATTAAAATGATTAACTGAAATGGTCATTTACTAAATTAAAACCAAGCATTAGAGCCTTCGCTGGCATAGTAGAAGAAACTTCTTATATTTCTCGGCTATTTTATTGCATCAGTTTGGCTGAAGCCAGCGACAATAACACCCCAATATTCGAGACATTATTTTAAAAGTTGTAGTTTTTAATTTGTGCGTGGGATGAACTGCCATAAAAGAATTATTTTAAGACGCGTCCATTAGTAAGGTATGCATTGTCCTCTTGCTGAGTTACAACAATACCTAAATTTCCTTTGCCCTCGCACTAATGCCAATTATGGACATGCGTGCAAGTCAGTTTTTTTTTGTCGAGGCGCATGTGTATTGAAGCAAAAGATCTGAATGTTATTTCTAAGAAAAGACCGAGGCCCTGCTGGTATTCTAGGCTTCTATTCATTATACCGTGGCTCGAATTTCAACCTTTTCATACTTTTCACCCCATTTTTGGCAAAGTGGGAGGATGGGAGCATGGCTGTGTGACGGTGGTTCTCAAAAGAAAAACTCGCCAATCGCATTACTACCAAGCACGATAAATAGTTTAGCCAACCAAGATAGATATACTCTATTATGTACGTTTTATAATAGCACTTTATGTCCGGAATTCTATTGCAAGTTGCATATGGATGAATGGTAGGTGATCCACGGTGGTTACGGATGTCCGCCGCACCCCAAGTCTAATTAAATGCATGACGTTACCCTAGGTTTGTCACGTGACCTAAACTTTTACAGCCAATCAGAAGAAGGAATGGAGACCTCCGACATTGTCGAAGTGAAGCTTAGTCTTGTTCCTGATCATCAGAAAACAGCTTGGGTATATTTGGTAGTTTATTCTAAGCAATAAAGTTATATTTGATATTCGTTACACTAATCAGTTAGCAGAGTGATTAAGCTCACTGAAAACATCCAAGATGGATAATGAAATGAAATATTTAGCCGTGGATAGGCGAACTGTAGGTGATCCTACATTGCAAGCAGAATGGAGTGCAAAGAAACTTGTTTGGGTTCCTGATGAAGAACATGGTTTCATCCCTGGCAGCATTAAACAAGAAAATAAAGACGAAATTGTCGTGGAGATATCAAGCGGGAAACGAAAGACATTTAGCAAAGATGACATTCAGAAAATGAATCCACCGAAGTTTGAGAAAGTTGAGGATATGGCTGAGTTGACTTGCCTCAATGAAGCCAGTGTTTTACACAACTTAAAAGATCGTTACTACTCTGAATTAATCTATGTAAGTCTGTTGTTGAATGCCTAAAATGAATGCACTTTATACTGTGAAAGTTCATATCGTATTATGTCTAAATTTCGACTGGTTGATGGACAAACCCTTGTATTCTATTTAACCGGAAGTGATTTTTTTGTTTTCAAACTGTCTTCAAACTATATCATTGTCCCTCTTAAGTTATATATTATACTCTTCGTTCACAGACCTATTCAGGCTTGTTTTGTGTTGTTGTTAATCCCTACAAACGTCTACCAATTTACACGGAAAATGTCGTGGAGATGTACAAGGGCAAGAAACGACACGAAGTTCCACCCCATGTTTACGCTATCACTGATACTGCATACCGAAGCATGCTACAAGGTATTTTTACCTTTCCTACGACTTATTATTAAATGATTAATGGTCTAAAAAACCAGCCAATTTCAATCATTTGACAATAGTTGAGTGTAGTATGAGCTTAAATTAATTATTTCATTAAACATATGCTTTTCCAGCTAGGGTATAAGCGAAAGCAGGCGTGGCGTTGCTAAAAAAATAGTAAATTTGAAATATATTTGAGACAATTTTAACTTGATTCTTTACCAAACAAACAATATTGTACAGGCTTCTTAACTCAAGAATATGCGCTGAAATAGTACTTGCAAGCTAATGAAGATATTGAATGTTACATCTTGAACTAAAATAGCTAATGTTTTGGTAATATAATACAAAAACTATTTATTATCGTCCAATTTATTTATCGACGTGTTAATTTCAAATGTGTGCATATCCTGTGATATGTTACAACAATCTAATCCCGGAGGTAACCTATAGCTAGGTAATAGATTAAACGTTCACATTATAGAGCAAAACCAAACAACATTCAGTATTTAATATAAAAGAAATTTAAATACAGATAAGATAACGTGTTTACATATGAGTTTCAAATGGAATGCAAGTCCCCCAGTTGTTAAAGGTATTAACTTCAGTAATTATTGTTTTACCAAGGTATTTATTATACTGAATTACAATGCTGCAAGGTTGTTGTATGGTCAGAAGCAATCAGTATTTTATATCACCTCAAGTCTGCTTGTGTGGGCAGGCATAGGAATTTGTAAACTGTACATTTCTATAAACATTAATAGCTGCATGTGTCCATTTTTGATGCCATTTAATTACATGAAAGAAATTTGCATAATATGAAGAAGAATGCATAGCAAAATACCAAAGAATTAACTCTGTCACTTCTTTCAATTATTTACCTTAAGCTGAACATACACTTTGTACTTTGTTGGGACAATTTCAGTTCATAGTAATTTAATATAAGTAATATAGTCAATTTCTTGTGTTGGCATTATGACATATAACTTTGATTTTATGTTTTTTAAAACGTCACAACTTATAAACTGGTCTATATAAAGTGCTATTCCTTTGCTCTATTGGATCATGCATGATTAGATGTAGAATATTTTACTTTCAAGTCTCTAGGCTTATCCTTTTTGACTTATAAAGTTTCATATTATCCACTTGAGAGTTAAGGCTCCATCATTTTCATGCAGACAAAACAACATTTTGGTGCATAGCTTAGGCTGATTGAGTAGTGATATGTTTGTCCAAATTTCATGATGTGTGTAATCCATTCAATTAAACTCGCCCTGTTTCAGTTAATTAACTTGTGTTTAACAAATAACTACTAGGATAAATTTTGACATACCTTTGTCATGTGTGTCTAGTGGCAATATCATTTCCCTTGACAGTAAAGTTGTCAGAAAACAAGAGATATCTTGAGTTTAAATATGTTCAACCCATCAATGTTCACACTTTGTGCTGCAGAACAAGTCTTCAGTGTTAGCTAGCAAGTTTTGTGTTTTATTTAAATTCCTTCCCCTTCTCATTTTCATTAGACAGAGAAAATCAAGCAATTCTTTGCACGTAAGTATTTTTATAGCCTTTACAAATGTCTGTCAAGTTTAATTTCTGCTTTTAAATGCCAATTTCTCATTTTATTGTGAGCCTTTTTAACCGAATTTTGAACTGTGGCTTTTCTTAATCCACTACCTCAGTCAATGCCTCCCTAATCCTTGTCCCCAAGATGATCTTTAATCCAAACCCAGAGTCCAAAATAGAAACACAGAAAATGATGCAAATCATGTCATGACAAATACAAAATGGTATAGTTAATTTGTTTGTATAATAATGAAATTATTGTTTGCATTGCAGAGGAGAAAGTGGAGCTGGGAAAACGGAGAATACGAAGAAAGTTATCCAGTATTTGGCATCAGTTGCTGGTCACAGCAAGGCTCATCTTTCAAGTAATGTACCTCCCATGAGCCCTAAAGTTGGCATTTCCAGTGCACAGGTTTGCCATTTCCTTCTTACTTGAAGTTTTGGTTGCAACAGCAATTAGCCATTGCAACTTTACTAATGAGGTCTTCTTTCAGGCTGAACTAGAGAGGCAATTGCTGGAAGCAAATCCTATTCTGGAAGCTTTCGGAAATGCCAAAACTGTCAAGAACGATAATTCTTCAAGATTTGTAAGTACTTATTGCTCATGATACATACATGGATGTTTATTGTGGTACCCAGACTAGTAAAATAATGCTTACAATATCATTATGTGTTTCACAGGGTAAATTTATCAGAATCAACTTTGATACCTCTGGATTTATTGCTGGTGCAAACATTGAATCTTGTATCCTTTTATCCATTCTTTATTGAAACCTTATTTATTCATGTATGGCTATTATTGATTTCCCTGGCTGATACCATACTGAACCATCATTGATGTACATGTATGTACAAATATCTTTAAGTTTCCAAATGTTTTACCCTAACAGATTTAAGATCTTCTAGAAAAGGCGCGTTGTGTGAGACAGGCTCCTGAAGAGAGATGCTTTCATATTTTCTATCAAATTTTGAATGGCATGAACAAAAATATGAAAGGTTAGGTTATCACATAGTTTGTATTCAAAGTACAATGTTATTGATTGTGACCTCTTTGAATGTGAATTCCATTGTGAATGATGTTTTTTTGTTCAATGGCATGTTTTCTGTCCAAGTACTGTAGCTTCATGTGCTTTTTCTCCCTGTTCAGATGAGTTTCTGTTTGATGATATTAAATCATATAACTTTCTCGCCAATGGAAATGTTGAGGTTGCTGGTATTGATGATAGAGAAGATCTCAAAGACACTTTGGTAGGAAATTACATTGGTTTAGAAGACAAAAATTATTTGCTTTAATCAGTGAAAGGCAGATGTGAAGCAATTTCAACTGCTTCTTAAATAATTTTAGACAGTAAGCTTGAATGCCTGCCTTCTAGGATAGGACTAGGATGTGATGTTTTACTATGGTATTCATTTTTTAATGTATTTTTACTGTTGATTTAGAATGGAATGAAAGATATGGGAATAAGTCAAGATGAAACCAACTGTATGTCTATGTTGTTTTATAATTGATAATCAATTGACAGCAACCATGATTTCATTCCTAATGCCATATATTCTCATGTTGTTTAGCAATCTTCAAAGTCATCTCAAGTGTTTTACATTTTGGTAATCTCACATTCAAACAAGAAAGAAGCTCTGAGCAGGCAACACTGCCAAACAACACAGTTGCGCAAAAGATTTGTCATCTTCTCGGGATGCCTGTTGTTGACTTCACAAAATGTTTGATTCGTCCCAAAGTGAAAGTTGGTCGAGAATATGTTCATAAATCACAAACTAAAGACCAGGTTAATAACTTCACGCTTGTTCAGTACATAGTTATTACTTTTTATTACCAGCGTTAAATTATAATTTTCATATTTCCTTTAGGCTGAGTTTTCTTGTGAAGCATTGGCTAAAGCACTTTATGAAAGAATGTTTAAATGGATGGTTCATCGAATCAACAAATCTTTGGACAGAACAAAGCGTGATGGTGCCTCATTCATTGGTATCCTTGATATTGCTGGTTTTGAAATATTCAAGGTATAGTTAGGATCTAAAGCATTGTTTGTTCTATGGAAATTTCTAATTTGTGATGATTTCAACCAATGAGGTCTGGTACTGTACATGTATGAATTTATATTTAATGAAAAAATTATTGCAATATTTCAGCTCAATTCATTTGAACAACTTTGTATCAACTACACAAATGAGAAACTCCAACAATTGTTCAACCACACCATGTTTATCCTGGAACAGGTAGGATACTCGTACATTATTCATACAAGTTTAGATGGTTCAAAAACTGGCTGCATCTGCACAACTTCATAGATGTGCAATGTTTTGGGGCACAATTTTGCACTTTGAGTTGAAATTCATATTTCCTACAATTTTCTTTAACAGGAAGAATACAGGAAGGAAGGAATTGAATGGAAGTTCATTGATTTTGGTCTTGACTTGCAGCCATGTATTGATCTCATTGAAAAGGTAAAACATTTCAAGCAATAAAAATGAAAAAGATGGGGAAAATGTTAATCATCATTTTGAATTTTAGCAAGTTGGCGTTCTTGGTCTTCTTGATGAAGAATGTTGGTTTCCAAAGGCAACTGACAAGAGTTTTGTTGCTAAGTTGGAGAAAGAATTATCCTCAAGTTCTAAATATCAGAAGCCAGATTTCAGATCTACTGCTGATTTCTGTATTGTTCATTATGCTGGAGTGGTAAGCTATTTTATCATCTTTAGACATCCAGGTGCTGGTTGAACCAAAGTCTTTACTTGTTTCATTTTACTTTAGGTTGACTATAATGGCGAGAAATGGTTGATGAAAAACATGGATCCTTTGAATGACAATATTGTGAGTCTGTTTCAGAACTCAAGTGATTCGTTTGTTTGTGGCTTGTGGAAAGACACTGGTAAGCCATGTTCTAGCTTGGTGTGAACTCAGTTAACAATTTTATCTTAATTGTGAATCATCAGATGATGAACTACTTGTACAGCCAGCATGGTTTGCTTGAATGAATGGTATTTCATTCCTGCAATATTCTCAACAACTATCAATATTTCATATCCACAAATTTTCTTCTGATAGAGAACATCGTAAGTCTTGGTGCAGCTGCTGCCAGCTCTGATTCACCATTTGGTTCTAAAGTTAGAAAAGGAATGTTCAGGACAGTTGGACAGTTGTACAAGGTAGGTACTGTACGTTGTAAGAATTAACTTCTGAAGTTGTCTGTTATGTATTTGTATTTCTGCCCTGCTCAGATCAGCGCTCTGTAGAATATTTATCTTTTCCCAGGAACAACTGGCAAAGCTCATGGACGTTCTGTCAAATACAAACGCAAACTTTGTCCGTTGCATTATTCCAAATCACGAGAAGCGGGTAAGACGATACTCTACGAGTGTTTCCACGTTTTTTTCCCTGCTCATTTCACTGCATGCTTTTTCTGATGAGATTTTCTCATATTTGAACGTTTTAACTTCATTGCTAACTCCATGAAAACTTTCTTTCAGTCTGGCAAGATTGATTCGCATCTTGTTCTTGATCAGTTAAAGTGCAATGGTGTTCTTGAAGGAATAAGAATTTGTCGTCAAGGTTTTCCAAACAGAATTGCGTTCCAAGAATTTAAACAACGGTAAGGCGAGAAGTCGGATCGCACAAACAACTCGCTTCAGCTTCATTTCTCAACCTATTTTCTCAAACTGTTTTACGTAGATACGAGATTCTCACGCCAAACTTAATTCCAAAAGGATTCATGGATGGCCGGAAAGCTGCGCAACAAATGGTGTGAATAATTTTCTTTACCAATAATTTTTAAGCAATTGACCATCGTTGGCTATATTTTGTCTTCACCAAATCTCGGTTTTTTCTTCATTTTGTCATATTTATCTGATTAACATCATCCGTACGGATATTAACATCTGATCATCCTTAAATCAATCTTATATAACATCATTGATCATCATCTGATTATCATTGATCATCATCTGATCATCATTGATCATCATCATGTGATCATCGTTATTTTACCTAATCTTACAGTTGGACCATCTGGAATTAGACAAGAACAGTTATCGTGTTGGACAGTCAAAGATATTTTTCCGCGCGGGTGTTCTGGCAAAACTGGAGGAAGATCGAGACACGAAGTTGACTGAAATCATCACAATCTTTCAAGCTTTTTGCCGTGGAAATCTGGCTCGTAAAAACTACGAGAAGCGAACGCAGCAACTCAGTGCAATCCGCGTCTTACAGAAGAATTGTTTGAATTATTTGAAGCTGCGAAATTGGCCTTGGTGGAGACTCTTTACGAAGGTACGGGATAAAAAAAACTAGTTGTATGAGCTAATCCTGACATTGAGAATAGTTACGCTGGCCAAATTGTTTGCTAGATTCGCCACAGGATAGCGAATATATGCACACAGTGATTCTACAGTAGAAACAAATGGTCCGTGATGTGTATATCATCAGTTTCCAGGATGATAGATACTGCCCAGGATTCTGTGATCTGCCAGCCTGCCTTGTTAGAGAAATATAGAATCATGAAATGACATGTTTGTGTAAATTTCAGGTGAAACCATTGTTGGATGTAACTCGTCAAGAAGAACAACTCCATCAACATCAAGACGAGTTAAAGAAAGTCTCAGACACGCTGGAGAAACTCGAGACTCAGTTCAAGGAACTCGAACAAACACATGCGCAAGTCAGTGAAGAGAAACAAGTTTTATCTGAGAAATTGGAGCAAGCACAGGAAGCTTACGTTGAAGCTGATGAAATGAGACAACGTTTGTCAACAAAGAAGAACGAGTTAGAATTACTTCTTGAAGAACTGGAAGCCAAGGTTGAAGAGGAAGAGGATAAAGGATTGAAGCTGGCTGATGAAAAACGAAACCTTCAGCAGAGCATCTTAGATCTTGAAGAACAGTGAGTCTTCTTATCTTGAAGCTGGTAGGACTGGTATTAGAACTGGCATTAATTCAACTTTGTTATTATTTTCTCGTGTAGACTTGATGAAGAAGAAGCGACTAGGCAGAAATTGCAATTAGAGAAAGTTCAATGTGAAGCTAAAGTCAAGAAATTTGAAGAAGATCTATTGACGCTAGAAGATTCAAACTCCAAGGTAAAAAAATACATCTTGTGTTTTCCGGGTCTATTCAAGTCATCTAGCTTGCAAATATCTGCTTGCTCACATGACCTTCCAGAGTGTGCGGCCTTGACAATGAAGTGATTTTTTTATATATAGCTTGGTAAAGAAAGAAAGCAACTGGAAGAGAAGTTGGCTGAAACAATGACAGCTCTTCAAGATGAAGAAGATAAGAGTAAAGGACTGAGTAAAATGAAGGCAAAACATGAAGCATCTATTACAGATCTTGAAGATAGACTTCGTAGCGAAGAGAAAGCTCGTCAAGAACTCGAGAAAGAAAAAAGAAAATTACTTGCTGAGATTGCCGAGTTACAGGAGCAACTTCTTGAAGCTAAACAAAGGGTAGGCTTGTGTTTTATGATGTGAACATAGAGAACGTACACTTCATGTCTTTGTTGTTATTCGTTAGATTGAAGAACTTGAAGGTATGCTCACAAAGAGAGAACAAGACGTCAACGAAACTAATGCAAAGTAAGTCTGAATGGATTCTTGTTTATAACCGTGCGTGTGTTGCCAATTTCTAACACTTTCTTTCTGCCGTGTATTCAGGGTTGACGCGGAGACCAACAAACGACTCGAACTGGAAAGAAATATTCGAGAACTGGACAGTAAAGTTGAAGAATTGACCGAAGATCTTGATGCCGAGAAGGCTTCTCGTTCCAAAGCTGAGAGACAGCGAAAGGAAATCAGCGAGGTTTGTCAAAGATCTTTCTAGGGAAAGATATCGTTACTCTCAATATCAGATATGCCAATGAAAACCGCTTTTGATTTCTGCAGGAATTAGAGAACTTGAAATCGGAATTAGAAGAATCAATCGACACAACAGCGGCAGCACAAGATATGAGAGCTAAACGAGAACAAGAAGTTGACTCATTGAAGAAGAGCATCAGTGAAGAGTCTGCTGCACATGAAGCCGCAATGTCCAACTTACGACAGAAACATTCTCATCTTGTTGAAGAACTCAATGGACAATTGGAATCAACAAAGAAGGTAAAAACTATGATTGATTGTTATCAACTTCTGTGATTGAATAACAGAATACACCATCCAATAAACTGCATGATCAACTTTACATGATATCTAAGCCGCTTTGTCTTCCAGTCTAAAGTGCAACTCGAAAAAGCAAAAGCGAAATTGGAGGAAGAGAATTCCGAGTTGAACGAAGACTTGCAAATGACGAGTAAAGCAAAATCTGATCTTGATCGACGAGTGAAGACCTTGGAACATAGTTTGAGTGAAGTTAATGTTCGTTTGAACGACGATGAAAGACAAGTGGCTGATCTTCAGTCGACAAAAGCTAAGGCTGAGAAGGAAATTGATACTCTTCTACTGCAATTGGATGAAGTTGAGGAGAAATCAAGAAACCTGGAGAGAGACAAAGCATCTTTGAGCTCTCAATTGCAAGACGCGCAGGTAAGAAATACCACCTCTAGCTTACAGTTGTCATATTTACCTTAAAATTATCCCACATCATCATGTAGCAGACACATCAAATCCTCCAGGCTCCACTTCTCTTGGCGAGTTACAGTATTACTAACATATCAAATATTTCTAATGTCGTCTTTATGTATTTCAGGAATCAATCGCAGATGAGACTCGTCAGAAGCTGTCGATCAGCACCAAACTACGCGAAGCCGAGTCTAATTTACAGAGTGCAGAAATTGAATTGTCTGCTGCGTCAGAAGACGCGGAGAAATTACAACAGAAAGTCGGAGAATTGCAGTCACAGGTGTGGACACTTTTCATGCATTTGTCTTTCAATGACGTCTTCTTTTTTCTGCGTTGTTAACATATGCGGTATTTTCGCATGAAAATTGACTCTCCCAGGTTCTTATTTTCACTTCACATTCCCGCAGATGATAATGCGTTTGTGTTTAGATCACCTCTCATGTCATCAACCTGAAAAACAAAGATGAAGAAATCGAGGAATTACACAACAGCAAAAAGAAATCAAGTAAAGACGCCGAGGCCCTTCAAACCTTGATCGATGAGCTACGAGCAAACAACACAAAACTGGAGAAGTCAAAGAAACGATTGCAAGAAGAGGTATATTTTGCAATCATGATCAAGCTCTTGGCATCTTTCAATAGATCTGGTCCACTGTTTATGATAAATCACCAAGGATTTTGCATTTTATAGTTGGATGACCTGAGTCTGACAGTTGATAAGGATCGTAGTCGTGTCTCGGAATTGGAGAAAAAACAACGCAAGTTTGATACGGTTCGTCATTGATGTAGTTTTCATCGTCTTTGTGTCGATTGACATGGAATTTCTCTTTGAATTGCTTCAAATCAAAATTTTATTGTTTTTCAGATGCTGGCTGAGGAGAAGGCGAATTCAGAAAAGCTTTCAGCTGAACGAGACGCTGCGGAACGTGAAGCGAGACAAAACGAAACCAAGGTATGTCAATGTTTTCATCTATGCTATGCTTTGATATGAAACCTTTCATCTCATGGCGTCCTATGTCTCTCTCACCAGGTTATTTCACTGAACCACGAGCTTGAAGAACTACAAGACAAACTTGCTGAAACAGAAAAATTAAAGAAAACTCAAACGGTGATGATTTATAAAATGTTTCTTTCTCGTTTGCTGTTCATTACCTTGACCAATATTATGTTTTTGCCTTTTTTAGTTGGAGCTTGAAGCTCTGATGGAAAGCAAAGACGATGTGGGGAAAAATGTGAGTTGATATTTTAAGTTTTAGGAAGTTATGTTTGAGCTTGTCTGGGAACTTTCTCACTCTAAATGGGTCCATCATCGTCTGTAGGTTCATGATCTTGAGCGAGCCAAGCGAACTTTGGAAGCACAAGTGGCTGAAATGAAAACACAGGTTGAGGAACTTGAAGATGAACTACAGTTGTCAGAAGATGCCAAACTACGTCTTGAAGTGAACGCTCAAGCTATGAAGGCAAATCATGAGAGAGATCTTGCTGGGAAAGAAGAAATGAGTGAGGATAAGAGACGACAAATGACCAAGCAGGTTTGTTCTTATTTCTTCTGACGTTCATCTTTCGACATCTTCACCTGATCGCCCTAACAAACTTTCGGGACGAGAAAAGCCAGAACTCCCACTTTTTGTGGCAGCTCTTTAACTTGGACGAACTAGGCTCCATTAAAAACTATATTGAATGTTGAAAGAAGCGTGATTCCCCGTCTTACGTCGTTCATTATCGTCATTTATAGATTCGTGAAATGGAAGCAGAATTAGAGGAAGAAAGAAAGTCGCGCACAAGCGCTCAAAATGCAAAGAAGAAATTAGAACTCGATATGAAGGATATGGAAGAACAATTAGAATCTGCTAGTAAAGTTAAAGAAGACGGAATTAGACAACTGAAGAAATATCAACAACAAGTGAAAGATATTCAGAGAGATTTGGACGAGGCAACATCATCCAGAGATCAAATTGCTGAACATGCCAGAGAAAATGAGAAGAAATTGAAAAATCTTGAAACAGAATTCTTACAAATGCAGGAGGTACTGTAGGTCGTCGTTATCAAAACTAGAAAATCTTGAAACTTGGCTTAGATTTTTCCCTTCCTTCAAAAGCACGTACGAGTCCCAAGATTGCTTCGTCAAGAACGAAAATCTTTTTTAGTTTGACAAGTTCAAATAATGTTTTAATTTAGGATCTTGCTGCAGCTGAAAGAGCTCGTAAGAATGTTGAAAACGAACGAGATGAATTGATGGAGGAACTCACAAGTGGGACAACTTCCAGGTGCGAGAAAGTTTATAAGCTATAAAACTAGAATTACAAATTGTAAGTGAAATGCTGCGTGTGCCCTTTTTCTCCCCCCAGTCACATCTTGTTCATATTATGATAAACGTATACAATATTATATCGTGGTTATGTTGATGAGAATATGAAGCATCACGTATTCTCGTGGGATGAAACCGCATATGGTACGTGTGCTCAAAATATCTTCCTGACAACATTATTTATTTCCAGATCAGCTCTGTCAGATGAAAAACGTCGTTTGGACAGCAGAATTTCGGAACTCGAAGAGGAATTGGAAGAGGAAAGAGCTCAAAATGAAATGTTGGAAGAAAAAGCAAAACGCGCTCAACTTGCGGTAGGCAGAATGTCTCAGAGTGCTGCTTGCTTTCATGGCAGCCTCGTTGTTTTGAGAGGATAGTTTAATAATAACAACCACCTTTTATTGTTCCAGGCTGATCAATCTCACAACGAGCTGAGCACTGAACGATCCAACTCTCAAAGACTTGAAAACCAACGCACATCCTTGGAACGACAGGTTAAGCGCATATTCATAATTACCATTCTTTCCAATTCATCTTTCTTGTTTGTTTCACTGTTTGTTGAGCTGGTTGTGGGGCAAATTGTACAAGATTCTGTCCTGGGTTTTCAGTTTCTTCTTGAGTGATGTAATTCTTAGTTTTAAACATATCCTTGCTTGTCTTAGAACAAAGATTTGAAGACCAAACTTCAAGAATTAGAAAGTGAACTAAGATCGAAGACAAGAGGCATTATCACAAATTTGGAAGCAAAGGTTGCCACCTTGGAGGAACAGTTGAACGCCGAATCTACGTAAGTTGATGGAATAATTTACATTTGGTGAAGATCCTCCAACCTATGTTTTTCAATTGCAGCCCGTGTTTTTCAATTTCAACTTGTTTGTTTCAGTGATCGCGCTAGCTTTGCAAAGAATTTGAGGAAGTCTGACAAGAAAGTTCGAGAACTCTCACTTCAAGTTGAAGAAGAACGAAGACATGCTGATCAGTATAAAGAACAGGTAATAACATCAAGATATCTGCGAACCAAGCAAGACGATAGCTTTATTTACTACTAAACTATATACTTTAGTATGATAAGACCAGTCAAAAACTCCGTCAGACGAAGAGACAGTTGGATGACACAGAGGAAGAGCTTCAACAAGCGAATGGTGCCAAACGAAGACTGCAACGTGAGATTGATGATCAGAATGAACAGCAAGAACAGCTACAGCGAGAAATAACTACACTGAAGACACGTTTAAGGTAAATTATCTCTTTTGCCAGGCTGACAGACATTTATTGACTTAAAAACTGTTGCTGCTGCTTCAATCTATTCTGATGAGTTAAACTTATGCGACAAGGTTATGATTCTCAAACAAGTTATCTTTGGTTAAGTTTGTTCATAGTATTTCTTCCTTGCAGATCTCGTGGTGGTGGTGGACGAAGTGGTTATGACACTCCACCCAGTCGATCAAGGCGAGATCGTGAAGGCTCAATGGAGAGTGGGTTAGAAGCTGATCTTCCTGCAACAGATGAATAATTTAATATCTCCTGTTCATAGTAAGAATGATGGCAATGAGACAGTTTATTTTTAACAAAATAATGCTTCTAAAATCTTCATATATATTTGGGAATTTTCTTTGCATAGTTAGGATTTTTTACGTTATTAATTTATAGTATTATACACTTTATATTATCATTTGCTATATGAATGTATGAAACTCTAGTAATTGTTGAGTTAAAATGGAATAGCTCTTTTTGTCTTGTGTGAAATTCCGATGCATGCGTAAGCTGGTTTGTTTGCAAAATTTAATGAAATAAACAATTTATATATTTTCAATATGCGTTAAGTGTTCTAATTGATGTAAATTACGCTTAATTGATAATTAGACAATTTTTGCATACTTTTGACCAATTTCATTTCTTTGCATTGTTTATTCTTACATGAAGTTCTCGTAGAATACAGCTCAAACCTTACTGTGTTGCTGGAAAATAATTTGCTATATTGAATTTAAAAATTCATTTCAAATTCAGCGAAATGAAACCAGAAGAGAAAGATTTGATACGTAGAAACGAACCTGAATTAGTTAAGGATATAATTCCTTCGAGCTTATTGAGTTGGTTGTTGTGTTTAACAAACGAAGATAAGGAAGTTATCACAGCAGAGGAAAGAAACTATGGACCAATAAAAGCCTCGATAACTTTGTTAGACCGTTTAAAAAGACGAGACGAAGCATTTCAACAGCTAGTTGTTGCTTTAAGAAAAAATATGCTAGGTCATTTGGCATTACTCTTGGACCCAGACAATAAAGGTGAAACTTGCTACAAGTAGTTATTGAATTCTATAATATCCGTGTTGACAATAATTGTTTGTTTAATACAGGGTATTTTGTTGTCTGTTTTAGTTGAAGATTAGAAATTTGTTGAAATCGAGGCACTTGTAGTATAGTTTCCTCCAGCCATATCTAGAGAAGTGCTCAAGAATGAAGGAAATATCTTACAAATATCAAGAAATGTAATGAAAGACAATAGTTATTAAGAATATTAATGATGATGAGGGGATTGAGGTATGTTGTGCTGCCTGTATATTAGTCATCAAATCTTCATAGCATGAATATTCACTTTGTTTCAGATGTCTCTCATAGGGTTTACCAACTTGGTAATAACACTTTATCCATCATAAAAAGGTGTCGATAAACTGTTTTTCATTAAACAAATGTAGTGAATTATAAACAATATTGTTACACCCAATTAAATGTCAACATATTTTTTACAGTTGTGGACAAGTGTAAACAAATATGGGCAGCACAATATTAAATGATGTGAAAACTTTTAATTTTTCCCATATTTCTCAAATTACATTAAAGGTGCAGCTTTAAAACCCAGCCAATTGCTATTATTGTGTTGAACCACCAGTAAATCACAAAACCATTAAAGTCTGTAAATTTAAAATACTTTCTATAGTTTTGCAATAGGTGTACGAGGGAAATCCAGCAGTTGCATTTACCTTCTTTAGGCCCTGTTCATATGAGCCGGGCTAGTTTATTTTCTTATTCACATGAGGCGGGCTAGCCCGGTAGCGTTACATAACTTGTTGACGCTTCACAAATCGAAAAATGTTGCTTGCATCGATTATAGCGGTTTTGGGCAGATATATTTCGTTAATTTTTGAAATGTATTGTGTTCTTTTGGTTTGCAAATACATATAAAATGGCGAAATGATGCTATGAAGGTATATTTGTAGAGAAAGCGATCGACGATTTTCAGCCCGGTTTACCGGGCTAGCCCGCCTAGTGCGTTCATATGAGCCCGTTTTGCCGAGATCTCGCCTCGCTTAAGCGAGATCTCGCCAAAGCGGGCTGGCCCGCTTTCCATGTGAATCAAATTTCAAAAACATATAGAAAAACTTAGGAAGCGGGATCCCGCCTCTAGCGAGTCAGCCCGGCGAAGCGGGCCAGCCCGGCTCATATGAACAGGGCCTTACAGATGTATAAACAAAAGAAAAACAAAAATATTTGTTAACATTTATTTCAACTTATTTGTACATTCAGTTCTTCAACTCTTTAACATCAAGTCCTACAAAAGAAAAAAATACAAATAGTAAAACATTGTTTTCAGGACTGACTTTCAATAAATAGATATGAAATATACCTGGAGGTAAAGATTGCTTTAACTTGTCTGCCTTTTCTTTATCTTTGATGACCAGAGTGTACAAATATCGACTACACCTCACTTTAAACTTGGTTCTGTCCTTGCTTTTCATAATCTTGACGGCTAAAAATAAAAACAATTTTTGCTTATCAATGTTCATATTTCTCCATTTCATCGTAAAAAATTTCAAATTTATATTCAAATATATTTAATATTATATTTACACTTTGCATCTTTTCTGCGTGCTGTTAGTAAAAAATCTTTGATTTCGTGAATCTCTTTAGGCTATATGATACATGGAGATCGAATTAGTCATTCAATAATAATTTTCCTGTACATACATATCACATCAAAGATTATTATAAACCTAATACATTACCATTTTGTGGGGCCTACCAAAACTGGTCAATCTACAGGAGATAAAAGGATGATTTATAAAAAAAATGTTCAAACGCAAAGATGGATAGAAATATATAGCTATGTGGCAGTGATCTTTGTAAATAAAAGAATAAAAAGGTAGGATTCAAATGGATTTAAAACTTACAAACAAAAATACCAAAATTTGAAAGTCGAGGTTGATCGAAAAAGAGAAAGACTTTGTAACCAAGCCTTTCTTTTTCGTCACGTTTTGAGCCTGCGATTCGTTACTAAAAATAGCTAAAAATGAAAATTTTTTTTTTTGCTACTTTGAATATTATTTATAGTCATAGGCGTGCGGGGATCCTTCCAGTCTTTAAAATCAAACAATTCAAAAAACGGGTGCCATTGTAATATAACAGCTAGTACAGTAGTACGCAATCGTAGTCTTAGTTACACGTTATTTTATAGTTACACTATACTGGAACTTATCAACTTCGAATCAGAATTTCATGTAAAAATTATATACTGGCTTCTTGTTGGCAGGCACGCCACTTGTCATTTTGTGTTCGAAATTTTTCATTTTTTTTCGACAATTTACGTAATTCAATTGTGACTTACAACGTTCTTGTGTTATTTTAGAGTACTACTCTGTGGCAAAAAGCAGGTGGAGCAGCTCTATCAGTAAGTAGTTTATATAAATCATTTTTGAGTTCTAACACCCCACCTGGAAAATGGGCAGTTCTAAAAAAATGAGTTTTGGATTTGAGTAAGATAGTTCCTTCAGAAAACATCCTTGAAGAGCTGAATGACTTTAGTTACTTCCCAAATTACAGTGATTACACAATAGCACAATTAAAATCTTTTTTTTTATCATGCTAACAACACATGTTAGATCTTGAAGCAGCTATAAAATGGGCAGTCCTAAATTTTCCTTAGGTTGTAATATAATTAAGCAATTCAGCCGATGCTCGTTTTCTGTATAAAATGCATGCATAATGTAAAGAATAATGTCCTCTTCAGCAGAGTAAGTGTGTTTGAAAAGTGAAACTGCTAATCCTTTAATTAGGAAGTAGGGTCTTTGCTTAAAACAACATCAAAGTTCTTGTTATTGTTGATTTCACATAACTTTTCAAAATGTGGTTGCGAAGCTCATTGCGAAGTTCACAATTTCGTTCAATTTCGTTCAAAACAAACTTTGAAGGTCAAGCTCATAAATTTGAGTCACAAAGCATTAAAATATACTGTAAACTATGACTTATCAAGCTGACTGCATACAATGAGACCATTTCAAATCAAAACAAAACTGTTTTAGCAGTAGTAGGTTGACTAAATTCTGTTTAAAAAGGTATTTTCAAATTGTTTATGAACTTGGCCTTCGAAGTTTGTTTTGAATTTCAAACATTCAAAAGTAATTGCCAACTTTGCAATGAACTTCGAACCGTGCTTTGAAAAGTTATAGGAAATCGACAATAAGTTTAATGTCATTTATGCAGTTGACAATCTATGTTGTAGAAAATTCCTGCAAATAGCACTGCAAAGGAGACCATAGTTCATTTCATGTTAATATAGTAGAAATTAAAATAATTCTGCCTGGGTTTCAGCTTCAAAAGTTTCAGCTTGAAACATGCCATTAAACTACAATAGGAACAATGTGTTCTAATATGTTTCTTTGCATTGTAAGTTTCAGATGCTTTCCAGGAGATTTCAGAATTTGAGAGACCAACATGCATGGTAATTATGTGTTGAAGTTGTGATAAATGGGGCTGGCATTTTATCAAAGGTTTGTAAAAATATACACCAGCATTATTAGACAGGTTTTTATTATGAGATGTAGAAAATCATGAAATATCCTGAGTCAAAAGGAGAAAGATATTTATGTTTGATTTGGGCTGTTGAAGTGAAAACATTTTCTGGGAGAATATATGTTACTGCTGGAGCACAATTAAAACTGAGTGTTTACTTAGTGCTCAAATTTACTTAGAATCTTAGAACTGAAATTTACTAAGAATCAAAGTAAAAGAATTCAATAAAATATTTTCTTGAAAAGAAATGCAAACACAAGAGTAAAGCATGATCTTTAATAAAGAGGTTACAACAAAACAATATACTATGTTATCAAACATCATCCTTTTCGTATCCTATTCTATCACGTTGTCACCACAGTTAACATGTGCTTTCATCACTGGATACAACTTTCCCATTACAACACTCTTTTGTTTCAAGATCGTAGACCACTCGTTTACAACAGCCTTGATTTTCTTCATCATAGGATGCCTTGCCACAACACTTTCTTGAGACATCATGAACAACTCCTTCACAACAGATTGCATCATCAGGATCATACGTTTTATCTTTGCAACACTTTTTCTCTCCATCTTCATTTTCTTCAAGATTTCCTTTACAGCAGATATGAGTGTCTTTATTGTATCCCTCGTTACCACAACAGGAGTTTTCTTCAGCAGTTTTCTCGTGTGTTCCTCCGTTACAGCAGTATTGAGTACTTCGATCATACACCTGATACCAACAACACCCCTGTGTTGTTCTATCATAGGTCACGCCATTGCACGATCCTGTATTGTCTACAGGAGAGGAAATATTGTTAAACTATTGTTAAGAAAGGTTCAATTTGCCTTCGAATGGTGCCTTATTCTAGTGCAACTGTTAGTTATGAATAAATTACTTGAATCATTAGCTATTTTCTTTGGCGTAAATTTGTTCTGCTTTTCATTTCACCGTCTTTAAATGCTTGAATGCATCATTGATCGAATGTGCATACGTATCTAAACGGATATGAATTCATCGAATTCGCCACACAAAAATGCCGAAGTAAATGTCGAGGCAAAATGCACCAATTTCGAGGGTATTTCAATGAACGAAAAGTCGCTTGCATGTACATGAATATGCAAGTATTCATGAGGTTGCCTCGAGCTCATGGCTATTTTTTCAGTTTTTACCTTCACAAAAAGTCGAGAGTAAACTGGGCATTCACACTTCGTCAAATCATTCCGCAAAATGCCAGAAAATTGTTCATGAATTTCGCGCGACTGTAAAAGCCTGTACTCACCGTTGAAAAGTTTTTCAATATAGTCTTCTTCATTCGTTGATTTTCCCCAAACCACCGCGAGGGTTATGATCAGCACGAACATTAAATGAAACTGCATTCTTCAGCAACAAGTTTTCTTCAGGTCGTAATCTTTCCAGACGCTCTTCCAGTTAAAAATGATGCTTTCTCGAGGTTTTGCGTTGTTAAGAACGTCAGTATCACGTGGTCTTTTGGTCATGCTTGGTCACTGAACTGGTTCGTGGCATGATTGTGGTTGCGCATTGTGGACACCAGACCACATGCAAATGTATGTGTAAATCATTGGAATGACTGCTTTATGTCGCAAAAGGGGAAAAAATTTAGTAGGCACTGAACCATTCTCGCATGTCACAAAATTATATTTCATAATTTGAGAATGTCTGTTTCTTCAAATTACGATTGCACGATGAAGTAAATTGAAAATTGTGAAAGAACTTTATTTTGTTAAGAAACACGAAACAGCCGAGTATTGATACGGTTACCTAAAAACGTTTTACTTTTTCTTACTATTTTCTTTTACAATATCGCGATAAAATAAAAGCAAGAAATTATTTGATATTGTAGATTTTTATGAAGGAAAGAAACTTTCGTTGTAGACAACTGTCTTCGTGACGGCGACAGATTCAATATAATCCTTGTATCAATAGGAAGACACACTTGGCTGTGATTGATCTCCTAATCACTGTCACAATTGTGTTGTGACTATTCATATGCAACACTGATCAACCGTCAAATGTGGTTAAGCGCTCCTCCCCGGAACACTCTTGCGAAACAAGCATTTTCCTGAGATTTTCCAGCGCGGGTTTGTCTCATAAAAATGATCCGATTGAGAGTTGCGCTAAATTCTATCAATTAATAATTCAACAAGGATCAAATGTACCAAAAAATGGTATACTTGATTAAGTTCGAATGTACTAAAAAATTGTATATTCAACCGTAATCGAATGTGTGAAAATAATTTATTTTCTCTTCTTTTGTTTCCACGGAAATCTCACTTGGTGATGCATATTTTGCATACATCATATGCAGTAAGAATCATCTCTTATTGATCCAGTGTTTCTACAGGAGTAAACCTAAACTAAACTAACTTTATTTATACTGGATAGCTCTATCAGTTCTAAACTGTTCTTCATAGAGGTCCAGTAAGGATAATCTCTTATTGATCCAGTGTTACTACTGGAGGAAACCTAAACATACTTTATTCTGATCAGCTATTTCAAACAAGATACTAAAAGAAATGAACTTGTTTCGCCACAGAGCGGCTTCCTTGAAAGATCCGAATAAGAAATATGACCTGAGTAAATGGAAATATGCTGAGTTAAGAGACACCATCAACACCTCGTGCGGTATGTGTTGCTGTCATTACTTGGTTCCTGTGGAAAGGTTAGTTTTAAATACAAAATACGGACTTCTGTTTTTGTTTTTCTAGATGTCGAGTTATTAGAAGCCTGTAAACAAGAGTTCCGTCGCCGTCTTAAGGTTTATCATCAGTGGAAAAATAAAAATAAGGCATCGAAGTCGACGGGTCAAAGTGCTGGTGATCAAAGAGCACCTGAAGAGGTCGTGGAAGAAGGTTGGGAACTGAACTGTTGTTATTACAGGAGGAAACCTAAACTAAACTAACTTTATTTATTCTGGATAACTCATTTAGAAAATCCAGCATTGAAGAAATCAAAGGAAAATATTTTATATCTTCAGGTAAACATTGTTGGTAACCAAGGATGCATGTGGCAAGACTTCCCTTATTGATACATTCAATGCTGGTAAATTTCCATCAATTACCTCTGTGTCTTGTTACTCTTGAGTCTTGTTACAAGCTAATGGCTGTGAATAATATTCCTGTGGAGTTTATGATATAATTGCGGTAGAAGATTATGAAGATGTTAGGACAAGATCTTTAATGTAATGTTATTCAGTTGGGTCAAAAGAAAGTCAGAGATCAGTGCTGCTCGCATAAGGAAACCATTTTTATTAGTTAGACTAAAAAAGGAGCTTCGTCCTGGCAAACAAACGCATGAACTGAGTAGGTGAAAGCTAATGAAGGTAAAAAACTTGCAAAATATATTGGTGCTGTAGGTTTTTAAGAGTGCTCATCAGTTACTAATAAAGGAAACAATGAGATTTTTTAAATGGCAGTAAACAAGTGCCAGATTGTGGTAAAAAAGAAAGGGGGGCTCAAAAACCAAGCTTGGGTGTATATCTGTTGTTGCAAGACAAACTAATGAAGTACTTGAAATTTAAATCATTATATATTTCAAGTTTGCCCTGAATACCTGAGATGTTTGGAATGACACTGGAAAAGGATACAATTTTGTTGTTTGGTGTGCAATTTTCCACGGGCAGAGAGGGTCGGCTGACGGCTATTTTCCATTTACAAAACACTCAGAATCTTATAAAGGACAAAGCAGACTGAGAAAATAAACCAGACCCTGAAATAACTCAAAAACTAACCAGGTATTTTCGGTGGTTCAATTTCGGAGTTTGCAAATATCGAAAAATAAAAGAAATGGTAAAAGAAAATTGCTACCAGGAACCGAGAAAAAAAGTTGTTATAGTTTTAGTTTGAAAAGATTAACGCGAAAAGAGAAGGCTTTTATATCAAGCTAAGAGTATTTTCCATTAATCGCTTAACGGAGAGGAATTTTGCTAATTACTTACAACGGACAATAGAAATATGCAAAACATTTTTATTTCGCTAATTTATATCCATTCCGGGCAAGTCTGGCATGAGTTAGTTGATTATCTATTGTTGTCAATGCGTTAATTGTCCGTTGGAATTTTCTTTGTTTGTTGAAGTATTAAAAGGCGGTTGAATCTAGACGAAACTCAGTCTTTGCAGTCTCGAAAAGGAAACATCAGTCAAAGAGGTTCAGGAAAAGTTGAAAGATTCTGGTAGGTACATGGTGATTGTTAGTTTGAACAGCTTTTGGCTTGATCTTTTGGCTTTGTAAACAAATTGACTGATCGCTGTGTTGATTTGAATAGCGTGGGAAGACGTGAGCGAATGGAGTCATATTCTTGCCGATTTTTACTGCTTTATCTTGTATATTTCGATTGAAAATGTCCAATGCAAGTGAGCTGTTACTTTAATTTAGTTTTTCCTTGCTTATTTGATTTCAGAACGAACTACGGCACCGAAAGATGGGAAAGGAGAAACGTAAAGGCTTGCTCGCAGCGAATAATAGGTATTGTTCTATTAATATAATTATGTGTATTTTGAATTTGTGACTTGAAAAAACACGTTTGCACTTTGTTTACGGACAGTCAGGGTGAGCGAAACTAGAATAGTTTTGATATATAGAAATGAGTTCCAACTTTATGACTGTAACTAACTTTCCCGGCTGGCCTATTCGTTTTTCGGACAGGGTTGCCCAAAGGGAATGCTCGTTTTGAAAGGGAAAGACGGATTGAAACTCAATGCCTATATAATTATTTGTATTGGTATATGATTGTACTATTCTAGACTTCCCTGTCCCTTTGTTTTACCGAAGTTCTGTTTTTGTAGAACGAAAGAATCGTAAAGAGATGTCGGACATGCCTTGGGACATTAATGCACGCAAATACAAAACTCGATTTCGACAATATGCATGAGTAAAAATTGCATGGAATTTGGCTTTTTTGACTGAGATATAAACTGAACACTCTTCTGTTTACCTCCTTCATTTTCAAGTTTTCCGCCTGTGCATGATTTTTGCATGAAGTCTGGTCGTATCAAGCGCATGCGGAGTGAATACAAGTGATTCTGGGGCCCCAATCACTTGTGTTTTCTCCATCTTGACGACTATATATATAGTCCGGACAAAAATATCGCTCAGAGAGCGCCTAAAACATAAAAACATGAAATATGTATTTCTAGAAGGAGATGATAGTCCAGTGTTCTTGCTTTCTTGTACAAAAACGTGCATAATATTTTGTATGAAAACGTGCATGACATTTTGTATTAAAACGCGCATGACATTTTATATTAAAACGTGCATGACATTTTGTTTTAAAACGTGCATGACATTTTGTATTCAAACGTGCATGACATTTTGCATTCAAACGTGCATGACATTTTGTATTCCAACGTGGATGACGTTTTGTATTAAAACGTGCATGAAATTTTGTATTAAAACGTGCATGACATTTTGTTTTAAAACGTGCATGACATTTTGTATTAAAACGTGCATGACATTTTGCATTCAAACGTGCATGACATTTTGTATTAAAACGTGCATGACATTTTGTATTCGCGTGCGCAATGCGAAGGCCACGAGTGACTGACGTTGGAGTGTTGGAGGTTCGATATAATTTATCCTGAGTGCTTTATACATAAGTGACATTTCTCTCTTGAAAATTATTCATATCATACTTTTGTTGTTAGATGATGAAGGATCGTCGCAGGATCAGGAGGATCGTCGCAGGATCAGGAGGATCATCGCAGCATCAGATGTTGAAGAATCGTCGCAGGATCAGATGGTATGGTATGGTATGGTATGGTATGGTATGATATGGTATGATATTGCTACCTAAGTGATATTTATGACTTGAAAATTAATGTCATATCATTGTGATAAAGTATCGTTGCAGGATCAGATGTTGAAGGATCGCCGCAGGATCAGATGGATCGTCGCAGGATCAGATGTTGAAGAATCAGATGTTGAAGGATCGTCGCAGGATCAGTGATGAATTAGATGTTGAAGGAGCGTCGCAGGATCAGTGATGAATTAGATGTTGAAGGAGCGTCGCAGGATCAGTGATGAATTAGATGTTGGAGGATCGTCGCAGGATCAGTGATGAATTAGATGTTGGAGGATCGTCGCAGGATCAGTGATGAATTAGATGTTGGAGGATCGTCGCAGGATCAGACGGTTCGTCGCAGGATCAAGTGGAAGCTGGTTGAGGTATATACTATAGGTATGGATGATTAGTGCATGCTGCATGGCATTGGATCCTCCTGGTGGTCTAACCTAGTATATTCACACATCAAGTGACATTTCAATCTTTTCGACTATGCATGATAACAGGAAATTTCTCACAGCTCTTCTGAGGGCATTTTTCGAGTTTTCTCAATAAAAAAATCCTAATTTTGTCACTTGTGTGAATACGTGTGAAATCAAACGACGTAGCGTCTGCGTATGCATGATGGCTTTAAAGCGTTCAAAAGAAACTAACAAAATGCAATTTGTTAGAGAAATTATTGAATTCGTATTAGCCTAATTTTAGATTAATACGAAGGTAATCGCGAGTACTTATATGATTATATAAGTTCTCTGTTCAGCCTGTTATAATGCGTTTCGAAGGACCGTCCGTCAGTGGCAACAAAAATTATACCTTAGCATGGAATCTTGAAGTTTGAAATGAAAAAAAATGAGTGCTTTGCTGTTTAGACACTAGTACTCTTCTTTTTCCCTTGTTCGTATTAATTTTTTGGTTTGCAGTTGTAAGCTTTGAAAAATCCGATTAATCCCGAACATGAAGGAAATAAACGTAATCTAATCACTTTGACTAACTTGATGAAATTTGTATAAGAGGAGAAAATATACCTCCCATATTGCATTGCATGATAACTGGACTTATAGTTATGGGTATCTCGAGGTATAATGTTTAAACTGTAGGTTTAATATTGTATAGTACTCTCTTGCCTGAAAAGCCAACCCTGTAAAGAAAACCCTTTGCATTTTGACACACTTACTATGTTGTTTAATTTCTTACACGCCCAACCGTCGAGATGCTGTTGAAGAAGAACATAACTGTTTGGAGTGGAGCAACGAAGCAAGTGAAATTCGATACATTGTTTACCAAAGGTAATTATACGTTACGAAAATTTAAAGGTAAGGGGACATTATTGATTAGTTATATTGAGTAAGTTGCATGTTCAGCCCGATTACGTTTATTTCCTTCATATTCGGTCAACCGTAATCCAGAACGTATAAAATAAAAATAAAAACAGTGCATGAGGCATGTCTTAAAAAAGGGGTAGAAGAAAAGTGTTATTGTCTACATCAGTTTGATATGAAAAAGCATGCAAGTCGTGAATACGAAGTATTTTTTATCATAAAATTAACATTTGAATAATTCGGAAATAATTTTCGTTGCCATTGTCGGACAAAGCGCAGTTGAATGTCTAAGAACATGATGTTTTGCGCGCTCTAAATATGCGCGCGCTCCGCAGGTTAGACCACCAAAAGATTTGAATTAACGAGGATCAAGAATTGCGTGGCAATTCCTGGGACTCGGTTTGAATGAGCGGAACTGAAACGATGAATTATAGATAAAAACTGAAGTGCATGTCATTGCGAACGATTTCTAATAAAAATACCAAATTCGGACCGCCGGTCAGGTAACCTGAAATTCAGGTTACCTTTGGAGGGTTTTTCACCGGGCACTCCGGTTTCCCTCCTTTTCGTTTGGCTTTAAAAAAGAGTGTCCAGGCCTGGGGCCAAACCAAAACGTGTTGTTTGATAGTGATAAAAACGCGTTTGTGGCTTCTGGGTTCGATTCCCAGAACACTGTCGTAAAAGAATTTTAAAAAGATGGCTGTGGAATCATTACGTAATTTACGTAATAAATAGGAAATATCTGGCATTGGGATTAGCACGTAATAGGTCCTCATGGTCAGGGCCGCGGGGATAGACCACTGTCAAGGGGGAGGGCACCTCCTGCACTCCAAAAACCTGGGAACGAAGATGTGGGGGGGGGCATCTCCTCCTCCAAGAAAATTTTGAAATTTACCAGGCCTCCTGTTTGAAAACCACGGTTTAAAACATTGTCTTTGAAGTAATAAAAGGCAGTTGAACCTACAATCTAGACGCAACTCAGTCTTTGCACTTGCAGTCTCGAAGAAGGTCGGGAAAAGTTGGAAGTCTTGCTTAGGTACGTGGTGATATTCCTGCCGATTTTTACTGCTTCATCTTGTATATTCCGGTTGAAAATGTCAAATGCAAGAGAGCGGTTACTTTAATTTAGTTTTTCCTTGCTTATTTGATTTCAGAACGAACTATGGCGCCGAAAGATGGGGATTTTTTTTCTTTTGTATTGTGCATGCTTTATAAAAAGTATAAAGACAGGTTACAGCGGCTTCTGCGCATGTGCGAGCTTTGTTTACATTTTTTGTTTTGATCCGCAATGATTCTACAACATGAAGTATAACATATATTCGCAATGATTTATTAACAAAAAAAGAGGAGCGACGCTTCTTTCAAAAATATATTTGCGGAAAAAACTATAGAAAAAAAAAAATAAGCAAATACAACATTTTACGGAAACACTTTACAACAGTGGATGAAAAGCCGCTTTGAAATCGTAGATTAACAGCTGGAGCGGCGGCCGAAGTTGTCATACAAAGGCGCGAGTTCTAATCGGTTCGCTTTTGGTTTGTTTATATTTGGGACTTGATAGCCTTGGAAGTGTTAGTAATGTCTTTAATAATGAAATATACTGTGCGGTATCTTTCCGCCGTCGAAAACTCATTCATACCAGGGTGGTCACATCATGGCAGGAGCAATTGAAGGAAGCTTTTCGCTTGAAGATTTCGAAGCTAATGTTTTGGAAAACGCAGCGGCTATGCCTAACCGTGACAAAATCACAGTGTGCAAATGTAGAGGGCACTGTCTTCGTGAAAAAGGACGGAATTTCTGTCCGTGCAGAAGCATCAATAGCTTGTGTTCGAGCGCGTGTCATGGCGAAGACTTTGGCTGTTGCATGAACAACCGACTTGTTCAAGAAAGCGATAGTGATGAGAGTGTAAGTAAGATTATGTCATTCTTTAAATATATGGGTGGGAGAGAGCCAAGAGGGCTGGTTTCATTGTGGAAATATTTTTCCACTTTGTTTACTTTGTGATTTGCAATTATCTAGGACTCTGAGTTCACTATAGAGGAAAGTGAGAATGAGGGCGAGCAGCAGCTGCAGATTGAAAAGAGAGGACGTGGTAGGGGAAGAGGTCAGGGAAGAGGGCAAGGTACTGCTTCACAGAGACGTGGAAGGGGAGGTAGTGGAAGAGGTCGTGGTAGAGGTAGCGGGAGAGGGCGTTTGTTAGAAGAGCCAAATATTGCTGAAAATCAAGCAGATCATGAGCAGCATTTAGTGGTAAGATGAGCCTTTGTCAACACTTGATTTCATACAATTATTCTTAAAAGCCTTTGTGTAAAAACAATAAAACATAATAATACATGCAGCACATCTTATATTTTACTCTTATGCTGATTTCAGGATCTAGTTGAGGCAATGAATATAGACAACCTGAGAAGGCTTGCTCTTGAATTGCTAAGAAGACAGCCAGCAGCATTTGCTGACATTGTTAATGGTGAGCTTGTGAGCGGAAATGAACCCCAACCACCAAACCCAGAACCTGATAATGATGCTCCAGATTGGTGCAAGTGTGGGTGCTGCATTATTATGCCCACTCAAGAAGAGAACAAATGCTGCACCCGATCAAGACGTCCTTGTATCTCAAGAACAAATCTTTTCAGTCAACTAATCCTTGATGGAATGTTTTGGAGATCTCAATGCGATACAGAGAAGATGTTTTGGTGTTGAACAATGTCAGGAACAATGAAAACTTTCGCCATGCTGCATATAGACAGTATGTTCTATGGCAACATGGTAGATTAGGAAGAGGAAATAGGAGAGTAGTACCAAGCTGTTGTGTGGTTGCTATTCGTAACTGTTATCCTTCACCCAATGGACAGTACAGGGGATATTTGCCTGCATGTGTTTAGATAATTTAGCACTTAAAGTATAAATGGTGCCCCCAAAAAGTAGACCAAAATAAACCACAATCGATGTTTGTGGGCATAAATATGTTTTTGGTCTGATGTTATAGCAGGCCCAAAAAATATTAATGCTCAAAAACATAAAGTATATTATTATATATTATATTATATTTATACAATGCAAGTGAACATTTTTAGAATTGGGCTGAGCCAGCAAGGTAATAAAATATATAGCTAGGTAAATTTTTCATTTTAGTCTTCATACATTGTACTGCTGATTTAGTTGTTGTAATTGTCCATGTGCATGATTAGCATCAACTTAAATGCTAATTTTCCAATTTCAAAGTGTTTAGTTTTTTGGGACACCCTATACATATATCATAATAATTTAACAAAACATTCCATTTAAGATATTATGTGTCATATTTCATTGATAATGGGCTCTTAAATTTATGGCTGTTTCGCTCTATATCAGAACTCGTCAGCATGCCTAGGAAACACAAATGAAATGATGATAACATCAATGATTCCGACATGGACAGCCTGACCTAGGGTCTGGGGGTTTGAAATTAGAGTTTTCCTTCTCTTAGGTGAACTGCCTACCATGGCTAATGAGCTCCACCTACCCAAAGTAACTTGATTTTACACACAACCATTAAAATCTTGTTTTATGTGTGTCGACAAGTGTCTGTACTGATGGAGGAGGAACAGGGGCAATATTGGGTGCAATTTGTCTAGGATCATCACTTGGAATACCAAGTCTTTTGTTTACATTCCCATCTGATGTGATCCTCTTTATAAAAACCTTCTGCATCAGTTCAGGAATGTAACTAAATTCTTTTGGTACAAGAACACGAACACGGCACCACTGTTGTGTACGCTTACTGAACTTCCGACCGTACCTAATTAAAAAAAAACTTTACAATTCCATACAATATGAGTACCATTACACTATAAGAATGCACAGGACCTGAAAAGTTGTTCACACTTAGGATGGGAACACTAAGGCAAAAATTTCAATACCAGTACCTTTCTTTCCAATCAGCTGTAGTTGCTGGTGCTCGGCCTCTGTGGTGGTTAAAGTCCAAGGCAGCAAGCTGGTTTCTATAAGAGTTTTATCATGATAGGAGTTTTATTAGCTGTTACCTTTGTAATAATATGTCATATACTTACGAATAGGCATAACGCTTTGGAGCATACATCAAAATTACATTATGAAAGTACTCTAAAAATCCTGTGTGCCTAAAAAATATTTCAAACTTTGAGATGATATAATGTATCTGAAATTTTCAAATATCCAATCTCATTTGTTACCTGAAGTTAACATAATACACCAAAGTGTTTAAAAAGCGAGTGTCCAGAATGATCTTTGCCAGTGCTTTATGGGCAGAAGACTCTTTCTTAAGCCATGGCTTCTTTCTCTCACTTTCATTAAGAGGATCATGTTCACATTTCCCACCATTTACACCTTCCTCCAACACCCACTCATGCTCATCAACAACATGGTGTAAAATACCAATCCACTTATCCTATTAAAAAAATATAAAAAATACAACATAAAGTGACTACATATTAACACATGTATGTACAGTTTGCACGAACTAGATAAGTATTGCTGCAAAAACCAGTAGTACTTCAATGTGAATCTTACTTTGAGATTTTTTGAGTCATTAGCACATGTTTTTGAACAATACCAAAAATGGTTCCTTATTGATGGTGCCCACAAGGTCAAATCTGCATTGTCTGTAGATTTAGCAGCCTAAAGAATAAAATCAATTCTAAATAAAGAAAGTTTTTTAACTAATTGCTGGTTGATATCTTCAACACTTATAGTAGTGATTTTCCTTGCAATGTTCTTTGCTCCATGCCACACATCATTCTGATGTGTGACCTCCTTATATTTCTCTTCCCTTTCTAAAAAATGCAATAATGCTTAATTAATAAACAAATGCATGTTGTAAATATTCCCTCACTGTCTTTTAAAGGGTAAACACAATTAATTATATAACATTGTAATCAATCTGCAAATGAAGTTGTTAATATATTGAAAGTCTGACAATATTGATTATAACAGGTTGAACTATTAGAGTTTCAGGAATTGCCATATTGTTATAATGTAGATACTTACTCATCAATGCAGCAATTTCAATATGACCATCAGTTACCACCTCCTTCATAACTATTGGTGGTGCAAGCAGTGTGTCCATCTTTTTTTCAAACCCAATCCTCTCCATATTATTGCTCTTACCAGCAGCTTCTCTCACATCAACCACATTCATTTGCAGTATGGCACGATCATTGGTATCAGCCAAGCTGTAAGTACAATATTGTGCACTATGGCCAGGCGAGTCATTCCTTCCATCACCACTCAATATAACCTCTTTGTTCTCTCTTTCTTTCCAACATTTCTGTTTGTGTTCTTCCCAGTAGTCATTAATGGCAGGGATGATGTACAACTTCTGATACTGATTGAATAATATTGATGAGAAATACTGCAGATTACAGAAGTTGAACATCAACCCCACCTTGGCGTAGGAATTGCCAGAAACAACAAAGCAGAAGCAAGCACAAGGTTGCCTGCTCTAATCTTGTTGCAAGAGGGTTGAGCTGCCCATCTGCCTCCAACATGACCAGACCTACACCCCCAAGATACGACCAGGCATGTTCCAACATATGTTTTCTTATAGCTCAACACACGGCCACATCCTTGTCGTTTACTAACACTCCCATGTAATGATGTTATCAAAGCTATAAGAGTGTCTGTAAACACAATACACTTTTCCTTCTTGATTGCATCTTCAGGACTGACTTCTTCCACAGTAGAGATGTATTCTGGTTGAGTCGTCTTATGTTGCTGCTGTTGTTGTTGTTGGGTTCCAACATCTTCTGTGGGCTTATCTCCATCATGTCCACGGATTGTCACATTGAGCAAGTCATCCAGTAATGGCACGTCAAAACCCGGGGGACATACACTACAGTAAAATGGCAGTAAGAGATATTATAGGACGAAATATTTTATGCCATATTCAGTGATATATAATGTGTATATTTATGTTTTAAATCAATAAGCATTACAGTAGGAATGTCACAAAGATTATTATTGAGGTTTTGCATCATCACTTACTCAAGAGAATAGTCCGACAAAATCTGGTCTGCCTGGATAGTGTGTTCACCAAAATTGTCATTATCATCATCACTTTCATCATCAGAACTATCATCTTTGGCTGTCAATGTTCGACTGTCAGAAATCACACTCTGCCCGACCTGGATATAACACTATGCGTATTTAAAAGTATACTCTCTGCGCAAACTTTGCATGTATGGGTTTCAAATTATAAACTCAGTAATCACAATAAGTTCTCAAATTACCTGATAGAATATGATGTTCTAACATCGACAAAGCAGACAATGGACGCGGATTGAGTGCGCGCTTGGCGTTGAGGTTTTAACTATAAATATTTCATACAAATGTTTTATGCGAATATTTTAAAAAATAATAAATGTTTACGTTTTTGGAGCAGCACTTTAAAACATATGTTCTTACTGGGAGAAGAAAAATATTTGGAAGGTATACCTGGCGGCATATCCGTTGATTCCATGACCGTTTCGGTTTGCGTCTCTGCATTGCTAAAGTGAGTTCAACACATACATAAAAAGCAAATCAAGTAAACAAATAACACACAAAAAGATCAGAGGTTTTATCATTTTATACTTACCAAACTTACGATTCATCGCAAGATAGCTGTCAAGAAGCATATCCGCCACATCCTTGTCTGTTCTCAATTTATGCTGCTCCTTAAACGCTCTCCATCGAGGGAAAGAACCCAACAAATACACTTAAGAGGCATCTTTACTAGCATAATATTCTTTTCTACTCGACGACATGACTCAGTGCTCTTGAAAGATTGAGAATTTCTTTCTTAAATTGTCGGCTGGTCATGGTTTTTAGACTGAACAATCCGGGGGATTATCAACTTCGGGTGGAGTCCCCAGGCTGGCGCACGCGCAGAAGCCGTGTCTTTAAACAAGCAAAAAAAATAAGAAATTTCAACCGCTCTTCACCGCAATTTCGGCTCTCTTCACCGCAATTTCCACCGCTTTTCACCGCAATTTCCACCGCTCTTCACCGCAATTTCCACGGCTCTTCACCGCAATTTCCACGGCTCTTCACCGCAATTTCCACGGCTCTTCACCGCAATTTCCACCGCTCTTCACCGCAATTTCGGCTCTCTTCACCGCAATTTCCACCGCTCTTCACCGCAATTTCCACGGCTTTTCACCGCAATTTCCACCGCTCTTCACCGCAATTTCCACGGCTCTTCACCGCAATTTCCACCGCTCTTCACCGCAATTTCCTTTCGCTTCTACGCATGTGCGAGCTTTGTTTATATTTTTCGTTTTGGTGTGAATCCATTTCATTTGCACAACATGAAGTATCCAAAAAACTAAATTAAAATGGCGGACGCATCAAGAGTGAAGAGTGGAGCTTTATAAAACCATTCAACAATTGTCTTTTAAAAGACAACCAAATAAATATTTTGAAAAAGAACTACTGGAAGATATCTCCTGTAAGTTTGTCGATTTTATCTAAGTTTGAGATACTGTGTATAATTATTTTTACAGTGATTGTTGAATGATTATTAAATTTCAAATTTGGATAAAAGATTATACTCAGATAATGATTTTGTTAATAAAATACCTTCGTACTCTGTTCTAATATTGCAGGATTCAGATTTATGAGCAAGATAATCATGCTTCCATGGTCAAAGTAGCTCTTCTGAGTGTGTTTCATCATCCACATCAATGCCATGTGGGTCAACATCACTGAATGAAACTGCTTCAATACGAAAGCTTACAAGTGAAGATAGATAGGAGAGGATTTTGATGGCGAGTATGGTTATCGAATGATTGAACTTTCAAACCTAGCAAGTGCATTTCAGTCCTTGCATAATTGGGAATTAGGCGAAGAGTTGAAAGTTACCGATGATGAGTCTCGTAGATATGGAAATAGCACAGTCATTGTTGAGTCAGATATTGCAGAGATTGCTGTGAGTTATGATAGCACATGGTCTAAGCGCGAGGGTTCACTGCAAACTTTGGAATTGATTTTGTTATTTCGGTTGACACAGTTGAGGTTCTTGACTATAGTTTTGAATCCAAATTATCGAAGTTTGACATGTATGCATTATTGATAATTGGTGATAAAGTTGCCAACCTTAGTATAAATTAATATATGCTAGTCACTGAGTAGCATGTACGCGCACAAAACACGAATGTTGGGCTACCTATCGTATTACATGATGTTTCACCATTCGTTCTCTCACTTCTCTGAGCATGAAAAAAAAAATCCTGAAAATTCAACCACATTCACCACAAAGAAAAACTACGCCTCGTGTTTTAATAAGTCACTGTTGGTATCTTTTTCTTGATTTACTCAACTATATGGATCGCTTCTGACACTTCACCCTCGCAAAATTTCGTATATGCTTTAATATTTGTGCATGGTGAGACTGAAGTGAAGACTTCTAAAAATCGGACAATTAATTGATAATTGTCATGTAATTTCCTGGTATAACATCCCAACCTATACATTGTAGTTAAAATATAATAACAATATCAACATCAAATTCAACTAATATTTTGTATGCAATCAAGCAAAATTTGGAAATGCTGGTTGTTAATTTTACTGCAATTATTACACAAGATAGGATTACACTCCTTTATCATTACCCAATCCTGTCAGAATTGCTATCACATGTGAATGCAATATAATTTTTGTACACAATCATTATTTAATCATTGTTTTCAGCATAAATTATGCCTTAAGAGGCCTTCTCCAGACAATATTTATTGCAAGCTATATGATATTTGCTTCAATATTTGGCTATATTTGTGAAAGATACAGTTGCAAGCTCATTATGATCTATTGCCTTGTTGTCTGGTCATTAACAACATTTCTTAGCACACTACTTAATAAACACCTATGTAAGCTTTTACTGATTTCATACAGTGAGTTAGAAGTTAGATATGTTAAAAAATGAAGGAAAATGGTAGGTTAATGAATAGTTTGTTATGTTCTTGGTTCAAAAGTATCTTCCGCATTTAGTGGTGGCAATAATTTTATAATAGAGAAAACACAGGTTATGTAAACATGTGAAATAAACATGTTATTACTTGATGTGTTTCAGGTAACTCCAATCTTGGGTGTGCTTCTTATCATCTTAGGCTTTATATCTGTTGTTTGAACCTGTCTAGGGGCAAATTGAAAAGAGTCAGGGTGATATTGTTGCAGACAAGGATGTTATCATTCGTTGTTCATGGTTGAATGATGCAAAACATATGTTACGCTGGTAGGTGATTTTTAACAACAGATGTTGCTTACTGCAGGATGAACTGTTTAGAACTGACAGAATTATCCAGTGTAAATATAGTTAGTTTGTGTAGGTTTCCTGCTGTAGTAACGCTAAATCAATAAGAGATGATCCAGTATGCCATTCCTTGTTATGCCCTTGATCCTAGCTTCAAAATATAATGTTCTTTCTTATGTAAGTTAAACATGTATATCTGAAATAAAACATATATTTAATATTTCCGTAAAGACATTTCTATCATATAAGTGTTAGCAATTGTCTTGTTTCTTTGTAGATACAGACAGAGGCAAAGCATTGGCAGTCCTTATATTGTGGGTTTGGTATGTAATATACAATTTCTTTAACCTAAAGCTATGAATCACCAACACGCCCACTGAATCTAATTATGACGTCACTTCCGGTCCGCAAGGCTTATTTCGCTACTTCCTTATGCTTTGACTTTTGACTTCCGGTTTTCCAATGAGCGTGGTCAGACACGCCCATTTAATCTAATTATGACGTCACTTGCAGTGGACAGGGCTTATTTCGCTACTTCCTTATGCTTTGACTTTCAACTTCCGATTTTTTTTGGCGTTGTCAGACACGCCCACTTATACTAATTATGATGTCACTTCTTGTGGGCGGGGCTTATTTCGCTACTTCTTTACGCCTTGACTTTCAACTTCCCATTTTTTGTGGGCGTAATCAGACACGCCTACCTAATCTAATTATGACGTCACTTTCAGTGGGCGGGGCTTATTTCACTACTTTCTTACGCTTTGACTTTCAACTTCAGATTTTTTGTGGGCGTGGTCAGACACGCGCACTTAATCTAATTATGATGTCACTTCCGGTGAGCGGGGCTTATTTTAATACTTCCTTACGCTTTGACTTTCAACTTCCGATTTTTTGTGGGCATGATCAAACACGCCCACTTAATCTAATTATGATGTCACTTCTGGTAGGCGGGGCTTATTTCCCTACCTCCTTACGCTTTGACTTTCAACTTCCGATTTTTTGTGGGCATGATCAAACACGCCCACTTAATCTAATTATGATGTCACTTCTGGTAGGCGGGGCTTATTTCCCTACCTCCTTACGCTTTAACTTTCAACTTCCGATTTTTTGTGGGCGTGATCAGACACGCCCACTTAATCTAATTATGATGTCACTTCCGGTTGGCGGGGTTTATTTCGCTACTCCCTTACGCTTTGACTTTCAACTTCAGACTTTTTGTGGGCGTGGTCAGACACGCCTACTTAATCTAATTATGACTTCACTTCTATTGAGCAAGGCTTATTTTGCTACTTCCTTACGCTTTGACTTTCAACTTCTGACTTTTTGTGGGCGTGATCAGACACGCTTACTTAACTTAATTATGATGTCACTTCCGGTAAGCGGGGCTTATTTCGCTACTTCCTTACGCTTTGACTTTCAACTTTCGATTTTCTGTAGGCATGATCAGACACGCCCCCTTAATTTAATTATGACGTCACTTCTGGTATGCGGGGATTATTTCGCTACTTCCTTACGCTTTGACTTTCCACTTCCGATTTTTTGTGGGCGTGATCAGACATGCCCATTTAATCTAATTATGATGTAACTTCCGATAGGTGGGGCTTATTTCGCTACTTCCTTACGCTTTGACTTTCAACTTCCGATTTTTCGGGGCGTGATCAAACACGCCCACTTAATCTAATTATGACGTCACTTTCCGTAGGCGGAGCTAATTTCGCTACTTCCTTACGCTTAAACTTTCAACTTTCGATTTTTTGTAGGCGTGATCAGACACGCCCACTTAATCTAATTATGACATCACTTCCATTCTGCAGGGCTTATTTCCTTACTTCCTTACGCTTTGACTTTTCACTTCCAGTTTTTCAATGGGCGTGGTCAGACACGCTTACTAAATCTAATTATGACGTCACTTCCGGTTCGCGGGGCTTTTTTCACTACTTCCTTATTCACTTCTTTTCTGCATTGGGATTCAAATTGGGATTCACTTTTTTCTTGAGATTCACTTTTTTCTTGATATTCATTTTCGGTTTCATTTTTTTCTCTCTTTCTTTGCTACTTCCTTACGCTTTGACTTTCAACTTCCGATTTTTTGTTCTGATTTTTGTATAGTTCACTAACAGTTCAGTTCTGATTTTCGTACAATTTACACACAGTTCAGTTCTGATTTTCATACAGTTCAAACACTGTTCGATTCTGATTTTTGTACAGTTCACACACAGTTAAGTTCTGATTTTCGTACAGTTCACGCAGTTCAGTTCTGATTTTTGTACAGTTCACACACAGTTCAGTTCTTGTTGCAGAGGTAATTTGATTGTTCCTTCAAAATTTATATTAGCCTTGCAGCTGAAATTCTTGTAGTGACCTTGTAATATATATCACCCGCCCAGATATATATTTTGTTATTTACTATAAGGGGGAATTTTTTGCAACTAGGATCTTCATGAAAATCATCAGGCAGTCACAATTTTGTTAAGATTATAAAGTGAACTTTGCTTCTATACTCACTATGTGTCACCAGTAATAAATTCCTGTGCTTGGCTTTGAATAAATATAGCAACCATAGTTATATTAGAGGGATGAAGTAACCATAGAATACCTGACGAAAAACTAGACAATAATTAAGATAGTTGAAAATGGAATTTTGTCTTAATAATAACTTCTTTATATATTCAAGATTTTCCTTTATCAAGAGTGCAACCAGCCACATTAGCTGCTGTGGATATGGACTTTACTGTCAGAGGAAAATTGGAAGTGAACAAGATTTTTGCAGAGGTAATTTGATTGTTCTTTCAAAATTTATATTAACCTTGCAGCTGAAATTCTTGTAGTGACCTTGTAATATATATCAACCGCCCAGATATATATTTTGTTATTTAGTATAAGGGGGAATTTGCTGCAACTAGGATCTTCATGAAAATCGTCAGGCAGTCACAATTTTGTTAGGATTGCTAAGTGAACTTTGCTTCTATGCTCTCTATGTGGTCACCAATGATAAATTCCTGTGGTGGGCTTTGAATAAATATAGCATATTAATATAGAGGGATGAAGTAACCATAGAATGCCTGACCAAAAACCAGACAATAATTAAGATAGTTGAAAATGCAATTTTATATTAATCATGTGTTCTTGTAATATTCAAGATTTTCCCTGGTCAAGAGTGCAACATGAACCGTGGATATGAACTTTACTGTCAGATGTACATTGATTGAAAAGTGAACAAGATATCTGCACTGAGGTAATTTGATTTTGTCATGGATGGTCAGCATTTTATTTTAAAAAGCCACTACATGTTGAGATGACAACAATAAAATTGTAATTTGCTTCTATAGTGATCATGTGTGAAACCAATGATGAAACTTAATGCTATAACAGCTGAACCAGTCTGGCTGATTACTAAAATTGCTGTGGTGGTCTTACAATGAATATCCACGAAAAAGACCAGAAATTACTATTTTAAACTTGGGAGAAATTTTTCTGATTTCCATGTGATTTATATTCATCTGACACATACATCTGAGATTCCTTCAAAAGAAAAGATTGATCGCAGTTCATGCTCGAGATTGAGCTCGAAATATTTAGTTGAAATTTGCGGGTAATAAAAAAAATTAGTGAAAAACGAGATTGTGCCTGAAAACTATCATAAATATCGTATAATTAGGAAGTTAGGCGGGAAATCAGCTTGAGAAAGAATGCCTAAGGTCGTTTTATCAAAACTTTCATACTCAAATTAAATATACTTGATGAAGAAAAGAAAAGTGATATTTTGGTTCGAAATGAAGGTATGCATTACATGTAACGTTGTTTTGAGCGTATCGCTGCGTCTATATTGCTTTTTTTGTTGGTTTAAAGGGCTATTGCATTTAATATTCGCACCCCCCCAGTTGAGGACCTTTGCTTTTGCAACTAAAGCCTGAAAATATGCAAAAAATGCCAAAATGTTTTATTCAGAAGGCAATGGAAGATATTAGTCTTAGAAAGCCATTTTTAGAATTTTAAGACACTTTTTGAACAATTGAAAAAGTGGTCAATTTTGACAAAAATAGTAAGGCTTACCCCTTACCAATTTGGTCAATAGTTCAAAAACTGTCTTAAAATGCTAAAAATGGCTTGGTAAGACTAATATCTTTCATTTTAGAGCATATTTGGTTATTTTTGATCAATGGTTAAAAAACTGTCTTAAAATGCTGAAAATGGCTTCCAAAGACTAATATCTTTCATTTTATATCATATTTGGTTGGTTTTTTGAACATTGAAAAAGTCGTCAATTTTGTCTTTAAGTATTGAAATGTATTATTTTATGGCACGTATCAACACACAATGCGGTGGCCTAGTGGTTAAGAATCCTGCAAGGGTAAGTGTAATTTTTCCCACCTAAATTGCTATTTAATTTAAAATTCTTCGAATAGGATTTAGTAAATAAAAAACAAGAACTATTGACAAATGATGCTGTGGCCCAGTGGTTAAGATTACCGGCTACCAGGTTGTGAACCTAGGTTCGAATCCTGCCTGGGAAAAGTTCGATTTTTCCCACCGAAATTATTCTTTAATTTAAACTTTATCGAAAAGATTAGGTCAAATAAAGAACAATAGCTTTCAACAAATGATGCGGTGGTCTAATGGTTAAGACGTTCGTCTCTCAATCCGAGGACTAATGCTTCAACTCCTGGCAATGCAACAAAATTAGCCTAAAAAATTTCAGTGTGACTTAGAATGTTTAAAACAGTTAAAAGACTTCTCGGCCTTTGCAAAAGACAGTAAATTGGAAAAATTTGAAATATAAAAACCAAAAAAAATCTATCGCCTTCAAAAGTACCTGAAAATTGAAAGAAAAGCACAAGAAAAAAGAGTTCTAAAAACACGCATCTTCTAAAAAGCCTGAAAATGAAGAACGTCGGCTGGGAAAAAAATTTAACAATGTCCCGCTTTTAAAAAACTCATGTTTACTTACCCTAACTTGACACAGGTAGCCCAAGACATAATACTTTTTCGTAAAAAAAAATCTCGGAGATAAACTAGAGATATAAAAGAAAAAAATAGAAAATAAACCAGAGACCACAAGGCAAAAATCAAGTTTTTTCTTAAACTTTTCAAAAAACATTTAGAAAATACTTAGAGAAAAACATTAAGAAGAAACTAGAGAAAAAAACTAAGCAGAAAAATAGAAAAAAACTAGAAAAATAGAAGAAAAAACCAGAGAAAAGAAAACTAACTAGAAAAACTAGAAAAAAAAACTAGAGAATAAAAGACAACAGAAAAAAGAAAAAAAAACTAGAGAAATAGAAGAAAAAACTAGAGAAAAAAAAACTAGAGAAATAGAAGAAAAAACCCGAAAAAAAACTAACTAGAAAAACAAACAAGAGAAAAACATTAAGAAAAAACTAGAGAAAACACTAAGTAGAAAAATAGAAAAAAAACTCGAGAAATAGAAGAAAAAACCAGAGAAAAGAAAACTAACTAGAAAAACTAGAGAAAAAAACAAGAAAAAAACATTAGGAAAAAACTAGAGAAAAAAAACTAAGTAAAAAAAAAAAAAACTAGAGAAAAAGAAGAAAAAACCAGAGAAAAGAAAACTAACTAGAAAAACTACACAAAAAACTAGAGAATAAAAGACATGAGAAAATAGAAAAAAAACTAGATAAATAAAAGAAAAAATAGAGAAATAGAAGAAAAAACTAAAGAAAAAAAAACTAGAGCAATTGAAGAAAATACTAACAGGTTTAACTTAGAAAAATACTAAAAAATACTAAGAGGTTTAACTTAGAATTGTCAAGTCACACAGAAGAACTTGCAAAATAAACTAACTAGACTAACTAGAAAAACTAGAGAAAAAAACAAGAAAAAAACATTAGAAAAAAACTAGAGAAAAAAACTAAATAGAAAAAAAACTCGAGAAATAGAAGAAAAAACCAGAGAAAAGAAAACTAACTAGAAAAACTACAGAAAAAAACTAGAGAATAAAAGACAAGAGAAAATAGAAAAAAACTAGATAAATAAAAGAAAAAATAGAGAAATAGAAGAAAAACTAAAGAAAAAAAACTAGAGCAATTGAAGAAAATACTAACAGGTTTAACTTAGAAAAACTAAAAAATACTAAGAGGTTTAACTTAGAATTGTCAAGTCACACAGAAGAACTTGCAAAATAAACTAACTAGACTAACTAGAAAAACTAGAGAAAAAAACAAGAAAAAAACATTAGGAAAAAACTAGAGAAAAAAACTAAATAGAAAAAAAACTCGAGAAATAGAAGATAAAACCAGAGAAAAGAAAACTAACTAGAAAAACTACAGAAAAAAACTAGAGAATAAAAGACAAGAGAAAATAGAAAAAAAACTAGATAAATAAAAGAAAAAATAGAGAAATAGAAGAAAAAACTAAAGAAAAAAAAACTAGAGCAATTGAAGAAAATACTAACAGGTTTAACTTAGAAAAATACTAAAAAATACTAAGAGGTTTAACTTAGAATTGTCAAGTCACACAGAAGAACTTGCAAAATAAACTAACTAGACTAACTAGAAAAACTAGAGAAAAAAACAAAAAAAACCATTAGGAAAAAACTAGAGAAAAAACTAAATAGAAAAAAACTCGAGAAATAGAAGAAAAAACCAAGAGAAAAGGAAACATAAAAAACTAAGAAAAACAGAAAAAAACTAGAGAATAAGAAAGACAAGAGAAAATAGAAAAAAAACTAGATAATAAAAAGAAAAAATAGAGAAATAGAAGACAAAAACTAGAGGAAAAAAAAACTAGAGCAATCGAAGAAAAACTAACAGGTTTAACTTAGAAAAATACTAAAAATACTAAAGAGGTTTAATTTAGAATTGTCAAGTCACAGCACTTGCAAAATAAAAACACTAAACCATCAGACGAAAAAAGGTTTATTTCTTTAAACTTTACAAAGAAAAAAATTTAAATCCAAGTTTTGAAAATTGTCACATAATTCATAACATTTCACACTAAAAAATATTAATCAATGAAACTGGGTGCCTTTCAACTTTCTTCAACACCAAAGAAAAAAAGAATTTCATCAACAAAATAATAAGGGAAAATATATTTAGAAAAATTACTAATACTAAGAAGAAATTAAAGAAAAAAGAAGTATGAGAAAAAGCCAAAAGCAACTGCTAAATATTTTCAATTGTGAAAGCACAGGGAAAACATGCAAAATCAAACACCAACAACCACCAGACAAAAAAAGTTTACTTCTTAAACATTACAAAGAAAAAATTTCTTCTTTATAAATCCCAAGTTTTGAAAATTGTCACATAATTGAATCACATTTCACACATGTTATCACACACTAAAATATTCAATGAATCTAGGATAGGGCTAAAATATATTCAGGTTCTTCTGGGGTGCTTTCAACAAACTCTTCTTCAACTTCATTCAATTCTAAAGAGAAAAAGCATTTCATCAATCCTTTTACGCAAAAAGTTGTATTTTCAACTGACATCATTATCAAAAGATTTACTCATTATCTTACTTTTGCCATCTTTCATGGATAGACAATACATTCGTGAATGCATTTTGTTTTATGCCAATTATTTTATAGCTGTTTTTCAATAAAAAGAATGTGTCACATGCATATATTCAACCCAGAAATATGTCACTATTTAATTTGAACACAGAAAAACTGGGTACCACCCTTCTGAGTACTACAGAATATAAATAAATCACATGGAAATCAGAAAAATTTCTCCCCAAGTTTAAAATAGTAATTGCTGGTCTTTTTCATGGATATTTATTGTAAGACCACCACAGGAATTATAGTAATCAGCCAGACTTGTTCAGCTGTTAAGCATTAAGTTTCATCATTGGTTTCACACATGGTGACCATAGAAAGCAAATTTCAATTTCATTGTTGTCATCTCAACAATGTAGTGGCTTTTTAAAATAAAATGCTGACCATCCATGACAAAATCAAATTACCTCAGTGCAGATATCTTGTTCACTTTTCAATCAATGTACATCTGACAGTAAAGTTCATATCCACGACTCATGGTTGCACTCTTGACCAGGGAAAATCTTGAATATTACAAGAACACATGATTAATATAAAATTGCATTTTCAACTATCTTAATTATTGTCTGGTTTTTGGTCAGGCATTCTATGGTTACTTCATCCCTCTATATAAATATGCTATATTTATTCAAAGCCCACCACAGGAATTTATCATTGGTGACCACATAGAGAGCATAGAAGCAAAGTTCACTTAGCAATCTAACAAAATTGTGACTGCCTGACGATTTTCATGAAGATCCTAGTTGCAGCAAATTCCCCCTTATACTAAATAACAAAATATATATCTGGGCGGTTGATATATATTACAAGGTCACTACAAGAATTTCAGCTGCAAGGCTAATATAAATTTTGAAGAGAACAATCAAATTACCTCTGCAAAAATCTTGTTCACTTCCAATTTTCCTCTGACAGTAAAGTCCATATCCACAGCAGCTAATGTGGCTGGTTGCACTCTTGACCAAGGAAAATCTTGAATATATA